TGGGTTTATCGGTCTAATTCCACTTTTTTCCATGCCTGCAGGATCGTCTCCTCTTTAAATGCAATATCTCTCGCCTTCATATACTCTGAATCACGTTGCGCTTTTTGATCCCCTCCCCAGTCTCTTCCATCACAACCTCACTGCGTCTCTGCCATTGTTTCTGTAGGGGACCAAAAACGCCAACATCAAGGGGTTGTAAACGATGTGTCGTGTGCGGGGGGAGACAAAAAAGGTGAATGCCATGTTCTTCTGCTGCTTGACGAAGTTTGATGGTCTCGTGTGAGCGGTGTCCATCATATATTAGGAGGATCGGTTGACCGGATGAATTTCGTGCTTTGGCTTGCGGCACGAAGCTTTTCACAAACCACTCAGTGCCAATAAAGTCACTCGTCCAACCATTTTCGGATGTTGCAACTCTATAATTGAGTGAGTTTCGTTCTACCTATCATCGAGCAGAGACTCACATTATACCATCTTCTTCATAGTATTCCGGGTATATTTGTGACCCAGAAAATACAAAGCCGGGCTTCAGATTGGAGCCATCTGCACACACGCACTCGATCACGGTCACCAGCTCAAGTTGGTCACTCTTTGCCCTGACCCTGGCTTTTGCGTTCCGTGAAAACAGGTACTTCGTGTTATCACATTTCCTCCCTCCCCCAAGTTGTATCCCCTTCTCATCCATGTTATACACGTTCTCCCAGGGAATGTTTCTCTCTCCGATTTCAAGAAGTTGTCAAGGAGTTTGAAGTGGTGATTAACAGTTGTGTAATGAACATTGCATGCGCTCGGATCAATTCCAGTAGCGTCCCAGCTTGATTTCCGGATGGCGAGCAAAAAATAGCTGATCCACATTTTTGAAGGCCCCTTATCTTTACCAGTCAGCTTCTTCTTTGCCTTTAACTTCTCGCTCAGCTCTGACCCTTTGACGAAGGCTGCCTTGGAGAGAGGGTGACCCGTCATTGCCAGGTACTGGGCCCAGTGACATAATGTTTCTTCCTGTCCTTCGGTGAGTAGCTGTTGGTTTTTTGTGGGCTTTCGAATGAGGTTTGGTCAGGTTCATGCCCGTCGACGAAGAGTGTCATATGGCACTTTGAACTGTGCAGCTGCTGTCCGGAGGTTCTTGGTCTTTTGTTGTCTTTGACAGCCTGGATAGCAGCTGTGAATTTGGCCTCACGAGTTGCATTCTTCTTCAGCTTTCCTTCTGAGGGTTACATCACCCGGCGGTTTGGCAGGCATGCGAGAATACGAGAACCGAGACAATGCAATGTGAATGCGACTGACTGGACAGTGCTGTGTATCAAGCCGAGTGTGCCGTAGAGGAGTATTGAATTTCTTACACCACTCTCCTATCTGTTGTCACGCTTTCATACATGTCCACAATCCTCCGTCTATAGCATCTTAAAAACAAGAGAATGGACCTCTATCGAAATTGTGTTCTGACACCCTGACAAGGTGGCTTGATATACCCCGGGTGTGTAATTTTTTGAATATCTCTCTAGGATCTATGGGATCTGGATCATTTATGATTATACAAGGTTGCAAATTACCACTATTCCGTCTCTCACAGCTGGCAACACTCAAGAAATGTTTTATTCTACTTGGGACAGTACATCATCTCTAAGTAGCCTACATGCATCTAAATTTTTTGAGGTGATTCAAGCAGCGCATTGAGGTGTTTGCACATTTTGCATATTACATGCCAGTTGCAGATTCCCAGGAATGATAGTACTTCTGATCCTGATACACGCACTCAACCATCTTGGACTTGTTTCTGATATCGCAACACTTGTCAGTACTAGGCATCGGCGGACTTGAATTATTGCTGGGTGGCAATGATCTGAGATTTACCTGTAGCCTAAAGTCTCCGTTAAGAAGTTGTGCAAGTCATCGAAATTGGACTAAAATGTTAAGATTCCCGGATGTCCTGAGATATGTCCCCAGTCATCATCGCGCGAGCCGCGGAACTGGTGACGAGGCTTTCAGATGACGAAGAGCTGATACCAAGAGCTCAAACGCGCTGTCAGCGAACGGCGCTATGATGGATCTGAAACGTCAATGCACGACACCTTGTCCAATTCTGTGCATTACACGGCAGGTGCGAGACATCATGATGACGTCTGCTATTGTCATCATTGCCAGTATCAATGTCTTCTTCTTGCACTATAACTGTTGATATGTAATAAGCGATAAACTTAACAGGATCTGCGCGGCACGTAACTAGGAACTCCTCCAGAGCTGCATTTTGCCATACTGCCTGAATATACGCAGACAAGAGAATGTTTGATATCTGTTGGCATTGACGATGATGACGTTCAACAACAGAAATATTAATGATTTATTGATGTTTATTGATGTTTATTATTGGCACATAGTCCGTCAGATTTCGTCGCATGCCATATGACCTTGCAAGCAAGGTGACCTTTGGGCTCCTTTACATTTCTGTGCATGATAACCTGCTGGTGCTTATGTGATTGTCAGATCTTGCCCTAAACCCGTCACACACACACACACACACACACACACACACACACACACACACACACACACACACACACACACACACACACACACACACACACACACACACCCCTTTACCCTTCCGCGCTGTCCAACTACCCTGTTAACATGAGACAACATTACTCACCTAATATACTCTTGTCTGTGTATAATGCTCGTTGTTCAATGAATAGCGCGGTGTCAAATCTTGCGTCATTGGATGCCACAACTGGCGACGCACGGATCTTGAAGAAACATTTTGAATTGCTGATGTGTGGGCGAGCGCGTGAGAGGACTGTCAGATATTTGTAGACGTCGATACGCTCCTGTGGAATTAACTTGTTATGTGACCGGATTGAAGTTGGGATGTGCTCGCAGATTTGAGTGATTCGAGAGCAGGGATAAATAGTAAGGCACCGCAGGTCTTGAGGAGATACTACCGTCAGAGCCTATGACCTCGAACATGGTGAACTATGAGACATTCCATAGCCGTACTATAGCCTTTACCTATATGAGCTACAATGTGCAATATAGCGCAAATTAGCAAACCAGTGAAGCTATATCATGATAGTGCTACATCGAGGCAACCTCAGGCGGCAACACGTGACAGTATATGTAGGTTCTATATAGCAGTTCGCATTTTTGCTGATGGGCGCTGTAGTGCGTTTAGTGTGCAAGCAGGCCTTCTAATCCAATTCGTAGACACGTAAGTATTACACGTTGAGCCTGACATACACCGTTTGTCACTCTAATGGAACTTCCCAGGTCAAGCGTACAAAAAAATGTTTCACACTCCTGTTCACTCCCCTCAATCTGTGCGCTGACGTAAATTTAAGTAGTATCCACCTACCAAACACCTCGCACTGAGGGCGACCCTCTCCAATTATATATATCTGTGGCCCATACCGCGGGGACTGCCAGTGGTCTCAGTATCCGGTGGTATCATGTATTCCAGGCGACACCGTGGAGCACTAGTGACTACCATCAGTCCTGTCGCTCTCACCAAGGTTCTGACATCGTTCCACCCACTCAAGTTAGGTTCAAACTTTGCTTCACCCCTACATATTTATTACGTTGGTTGCCCATGTCGTTGCCAGTGAAAGTTGAGACCTGAATGTTTTGGGGTTGTCTGGTTACCCGATTAAAGTGGGCCAGCTCTTAAATTTCAGTATTGGGTCTGTTGGCAGCACCCGTTTGTTGTCATTCGATTGGTCTTAACGTTGTAACTGTTTCGACCATGTCTCTCAGGCTATCTTCCCAGTTCATGGAAGACCTTTGGGTGCGGAAGTATGTCTATATTTCGTACGATATCTCTGGATTCTTACCTATTATCGTCTAGGTCATTCTCTGCAGCTGGCCATACGTTACTAGTCTACGACTATCTCCTAACTTTCAGAGATGAAGTGAGTTTATTTGAGTGACATGCTTAATGCTCACAATATACCCTTGGTTGCAGTTCGTCTATATCTGGGACCCCCCCTGGACAGTTGTCAAAGTCTTGTTTCTTCTCAACAGGTATGGGAACCTTATTGGACAGACTGTCATCCAGCTGGAAGAGGCTGGTCTCCTCGCACATGATTCTCAAAAGGTATGTTGCAGTATCATGAGTAGATATTTATCGAGTGATCAATTTCGTCCCAGTTCTGTCAACGCTTCGTAATTTTCACCACTTGCTTTATGTTTGTATCCACCGAGTCGATCCACAGTGCGTATATATACTCTATCGTTGCACGTCTTGACGGTTTTGGTTTTTCCTCAGTCCTCGTGCTCATGCGTGCATGGGCTATCTGGGGAACTCGGAAGCGCGTGACGAAAATCCTCACCTGGAGCTACGTGGGCTATATCGTTATGCTGTTGTCCGGCTCAGCGTTTAATTTAAACGCCAGAAATAGTGGGTCACTTTGCACCAGTTTACTCCTATTTATAAAAATGGTTGCATTTCGGTAGATCAGTTTCCGTTCCTCGACGTGATTCATGTTTGCGTGACGATAATGCCTAGTATGTGATTGTTATTTGACTCCTGCAGCGTATTAATGATCTGCTACTTCAAAGAATATGTGGTTGGTTGCTTTTACATCGTGTTTGGTATATTGACCAACGCCTCATTGTCATGACTGATATTATAACGCTAGTGGTTGGTTTATGTCGGAAGGTTAGGATGGTTCTGTCCGGAGTTTATTGTACTTGCTGAAGAGAATCAATCAAGCTTTATTCTCGATACATTACTCTTCGTCTTGACGATGCGAAGTCTCCGGAGATACTCTAGGGAATTTCAGCAACTCTACCCGTCTAGTCTCCTCCATGTACTCTTTCGAGACGGTGAGCGTGCTTTTTGGAGCACTTCAAGGTCTGTAATTGACCACAATTATATAGCGATCATCTTTTTCATCGTGAGTGTAGAAACCTGCATGATATATCTCGTTGCCGACAACACGGACAGGTTAGTACGTTCAGCAATGCATTGACCATCGCCTCTTGGTGAGACTCGCTCATACTCTCGATTCATTCTATCGGCTTATGATGTTTAGGATTGCATTCGGGGACGTCAGTATTCTTTATTCAGAGCGGACCATCGTTCTTTCTGATTGATTTACAGAATCCAAAATATTTCCTTGGTAAAGGGTGCGTTAGCCACAATGCGACTCCATAATGTGACCCTATCACATTCGGTTAAAATATTGCATGTAGGTTCGCGACTCCGTTACTTTCAGTAGCTGGTCAGCGTCTAGTCCTGAACCTTCGAGGTCTTAAAACGCGTACCTACACAACTCGCGATCTCAGCCGTGAAGTGGACCGGCAACTTCAAGCATTTGCTGAAGTGGATTCTCCAGGCCTGGATGATGTAGAGTTGGAAGGTGTGCGGGAGTAGGTGAGTGTCGGGAATATGGTTCCAAGGTTCGTCTTAGTTAACTTGGTAACCATCTGTTACAGGATGTTGTTCTGTACCAAATCGTTCGAAGATGGCCGACCTTTGTGCTCGCTTTTTGTTTTCGGAATTTTCTTCGCGTTTCCTATACCCCTTCTAAATATTCATATTAAGTCGTCACTTCCAGTCGTCGCATATGATTTTAAGTAAAACTGTATTCATTACAAAAGGAATCCCGTGTACACGATATTGGCACTATCTTGTCCTTTGTTCGTCGATGAAAGTAAATAAACTGTATCTCCACGATTGTTCACACCATGCGCAAAATTTGGATCTGTTCTGAAATACAGAGCGGTCCTTGAGAGTCAGTCCTTGGAGTCACTTCTGAATCAATTATGGCGCGAGCATTGCATGCCTTCTTCAACGCGCGGAAGCTGTGTTAGTTCCAAAGGTAAAAATAGTGATGGCCAAGTCATCGTCAGGCAAAGCAATGGAAATAAATTTGCTGCCATTGATACCTGGACGCATCCTGAATACCGACCAATGGTGCAGGTTGTAGCGATGTGCTGCTAATTAATATTGGAGACTAAGGCTGAAAATAGAGAGTAATTAAGAGCAGTGCATGGCATCAGTGCACGCGCTAGTGCTGCACAGCATGACGGTGTAGAGCAGAATGCTCTAAGAGGAAGAATTGCAAATACACAGCAGTGACAGCACAGGCTCACGCGGACGGGGTGGACGGAAATGCGTGCTTAAATGTTTAGCTGGTAGTAATGAGGCTTAAAGCCTTGGTGCAGCCATCCATGCTTGTGCGGTCGCCTACCGTAACGTTTCCAGTGTATGGCAGCTTGCAGAATACCTGCCTCTCAGGTTTTTCATTCGGTCCCTGAATTCCTTCGTGCAGTATGGAGCACCCTGCACCCCTATTCCACGCCCCCCTTGCTATGTGAACTAGAGGGCATTTGGATACGGGTGCGGGGCGCTGGCCTGATACTACGCAGAGGACATAGAGAGGGATGTCATGCGAGCGAAAGGTCACTAAGTACCAAAGATACGGTTAACGCACCATGTACAACGCTATGCATCGTGCACGACATGTCGATTGCGTAATGCTGGCAACGTGTTCAAAGGGATATGATGATCAATACGAGAAGACAAGGGAAGCGCGTTTGAAGTCACTAAGTTTACGAAGTGAGGCATAAACACCTGAAATTATAGGATCCGAGTCTGCTTGGAGCGAAGAAAGCACTGAGTGATTCTGCTATAGATTATCAGGGTATATTCCCACACTATATACGTTTGTGAGTTGCTCAACAGCCAGACTGAGGATACGTGAGGGAAGGAATGGGGTGAACGGCGCTAAATGCATCAGAATGTGCAACGAGGCGTGACGGTGAAATGTTAAAATGTGAAATATGAACGTTACGAGAGACGTGTCAAAGTCGTGCACGAAGGAATGTATTTGCGTGTCTCGGATGTGAAGAGTAGAATCTCGTCGCACCGACGATACTCGGAATGGCTTGCACCTTTGATCAGAAGTGTTAGTTCATGGCGTAGAGGGTGCGGTGTCCCTACAATTGTGCAAAGATCACATCATACGTCGACACTCATGCCATACAAGATAAGACTATCTGGAACAGACTGAAGAGTTACACCACGTGACTCGAGCTCGAATATTATGCATGAATTAGGACCTAAGATTGTAATCAAACATGCATGAGGTATGATATCATGCCATTGCATGCCTACCCCTCCAACGAGCGGGTCGACCGAGTGCACCTTGAACGAGCCGCATAGCAGGCCGAGTCTCTCCCGGTGATGCAACACCTGCACGGGCTGGCAAAACTGGGAAGCTGCCCACGAAGTTGGGGTTCCCTCGTTTCCGAGCTTTCTCCTTCTCCTTGGAGTCAGCTCGAAGTTGCATTTTGGCTTCAGCGACTGGCTTGGCCAAAATAGTTTCCTGCGTGTGAGCACATAATCAGGGTAAAGAACAGTGACAACAATTAAGAACTTACAATATAAGCTGAAGCCTTGGCACCTATTTCTGTCAATGCCTCTCGACCTCGATATTTCACGACTTTCTGAAGATTACGCCTCGTCGTTGGCCGTAGTTCGCTGCTGTCAAATCCGTCCAAGCTCAGCTCTTTTGCAACAGCAGTCTCCGCATGTTGAACACCACTGTTGACGACACCGCGGGGTGAGTCCCACCGAAGCTTCTCATTCAAGAGTTCCCGCCCTACTGCGCGTGCAGTCATCTCCAATTTAAAGTCCCGGGGATTGTCGACGAGCTCCAGGAGAGCAATGGGTGCATTGTCTCCGAATCGATTATCGAGCCTATGAATTCGCGTATAGCCTCCCGGCCGGTTTGCATAACGCTCAGCGAAGGTGGTAAAAAGTTTAGGGAGGACAGGAGGCTTCAAGATGAATGCTTGGGCCTGGCGATACGAAGTCTCGTTGTTCTTCTTTCCCAGCGTAATGATCTATTCACGCGTAAGCAGACGGCAAGAAATAACAACGTGGTCTTTGCCTTCTCTGCTAGCCTGGCGGTGTCTTTGGCCTTGGCTAATGTTGTTCTAATCTGCTCGTGCTCGAAGAGGGAAGTCACAAGATTCCTATGGTATTTTCAACGCCAGCGTAATCAAAACGAACCAGCTTGCCTACCGCAGCATTAAGTTCCGATGTGAGGACGTCCTCGAGAATTTTCGAAAGGCTACTCCATGCTTCATGACTGCCCAAATTTGCAACTTGCTCTTCAGAGCAAACGAAGTGACACAAAAGGAAGTGATAGCTAACGTATAGTGCCGCCTACTAATAGTGCACACGCGCCGAAAATTGCTCACACGTGATCTGATGACAACGATATGTATAACAGCAGGTACTTATACGTGCATAGATTTATCGTCCGTGAGTATGTGTACTACAATGTGCTGTATGTAACGCATGACAGTGGGAGCGATGACTTTTTACGAGAGGGGAAGAGGGCAGACACAAGCATGAGAGCGAGGCAAGAAGGCGAAGGGAGAAGGTGAGAGAAAGATATGAACACGTATGTAAGGGTTTTGGACGGAAGGAGACGAATGCACAGGCGGGTAAGAGGATAGTATGAGCACGTTGTACCAAATGGCGGGAGACGATGCACAAAACAGAGTACGGCCGGGACAGCATGCTGACAACAGCAAGACAAGAAGTGGCGAGGTGACGGAACATGATACATATAGTACGCGTGTGCGGGTAGGGACGCAGGTTCAGGTTTGAATGTAGTCTCCAATACGAAAACAGACACCGCATGCCAAATTACTCCTCTTGCTGCTGCTGTTCTCTGCCGACCCTCCTCTCCTTCTCGCTTTCGAGCTGATTGTAGAGCAAGAAAAGAGCTTTTTCGTTGGCCTCCGGAGTACCGATGATAGTAAACATCCGTTCGCCTGTCTCATCATGTGGAGCTTTGGCAATGGAAATCTTGGATCCTGACAACCGCCGGATTTCAGTAATCTTGCTTCCGCTTCGACCGATGATACATCCAACCATATCCGATGGTATGGAGATGTTCTGCGTGCGCAGGTTGGCTGTTGACTGTGCAACAGTAGGTGAATGGGGCGAAGGTGGTGGTGAACGTCGGGCTACATCTCCATTGGACTTGCGAGCTCCAGCCGAATAGCCATTGGCTGATCGTCTCGTACCTGAGGTAGCATCACCAGCACCAGGATGGAATGGAACGGTGCCCTGACCCCTCTCCCAATCTTCCAACAAGCACTTTCCAATCTCCTCGATGGCACGACCGATCGAATCAGGTGCGCCCTGCACTTCGACAATGCGCTCAGTTGATTGTGGAAGCATCTCCTTTGACGCCACCATGCGCGCGCCCGAAGCATCCTGAATAGCCTTTATTTTGCCACCACTGCGACCTATTATCGTACCCATGAGATTGTGAGAAATTAGAAGACGGATTGAGGTATGAGGCGATGACGATGATAGGGAGATGGGTGATGGGCTGGATGACACAAGTTGGGAGATTATGAGGTTGTACGCCTGAAGCAGAAGCCACGACGTGTGAGCGCTAAATTGAGCATATATTTGAGTTGACTTGCCTTTGCAACGGCTTCAACAGATCCGCCAACGGTAAGGACGCGCTCGTGCACGCCAGGGATAACTTTACTGACGCCAGCTCTGACGCCAGTTTGCTCACGAAGATCAGCGACATTTTTCCCGCCTTTGCCTATGATGACACCAGCTTCCTTTGTGTTAACAAGAGCACGAAGAGTTAATGTGTCATGAGCATTATTTGGAGAAGATGAACGTGATCCTGCGGGAGAAGCTGGTGTGACATTAAAATATGAGTTGTAGAGATCACCCCTAGATAAAAAGATGAGATTACCAGAGGCGTGTCGAACTGGAGACTCAGCAGACATTGTGAGCTGAAAGAAAGAGAGGGGAGAAGTGAAAGGGGATGGAGATGAGGAAGACCGAACTTAAATGATGATGGAGGTTAAGATGCAAAGAAACTTGTTAGCAAAACTTGCCTCCGTCGATACCTTTTTCGGTGCCGTCACCGTCCGATCACACAGCCACATCTTATGACGCATAAGGCCGTCTCTCACAAAGTGTTGTCCAAGTCAATTATCAATTTATATCATATGCATGCCTAAAACTACATCTCTGTTGCAAGTGTTTTTGGTGGAGGTTCATCGTCATAAAAAAAAACGCCAGCTCAGCAGAGATCGCATAGTTACATGCATGTCTTATGGGAACGATCATAACATAAAGCAACGCAAGCACATAGAAGATGAAGTAGTCTCTCATCCAACTAGTACCCCAGCGTTGTCAGTTTCTCAAAGGATGGCGAAGCATCCGAAACTGCCTTTTGGCGCAACTTCAGTGCTGTAATCTATTGATAATGTCTCAGTCAGTCTTGTTCAATGAAGCTAGCCTAGTTCACGTGCCTTGCGCTGGTGGAAGGCCTCTGCCTTGATCTTCCTCTTCTCCTCAAGACGGTCCACAACATCCTTGTAGCCCCAGCCAACCTCATGCGACAGACGCTAAATCACACCCTGTTCATCATCCAAGTCATACGATTGAACGACTGAGCCTACCTTAACAGTACAGTATTTCCGGCCGGGCTTCAACCGCAACACACGCAAAGCCTCAGGAACAACCATCCGCTTCTTGTGGTCGTATGGTGGTGGAACACCTTCGAAGAGCTTCAAGCGCTCAAGAGCGGCAGCGCCCCGAGGAGTCTTGTGGGGAGTCATACCACGAATAGCACGGAACAGAATTTTGGAAGGAGCACGGTGATGGAAAGGCCCAGATTTTCTGGGGTTGACAATATGGCGTTTGTGGAGGAAGTTGTGGTAGCGCAGCTAGATATTTAAGTATATGCATCTCGTTTATTGACTGGTGTAATGAAATGGCAAAATACCTTGTTGCGGAAGAAGCTGCCGGAGATGTTGATCTCCTCACACCTGACGACAACAATCTTCTGGCCAGAGAGAATCTGCTTGGAGATTATTGAAGCCAGTCGACCAAGGAGATGACCCTTGCCATCAATAACGATGGGTGTCGATGAGAAGGTGGCCATTACAAAGTCTATCAAAACGCGCCGGGTTCAGCTTTGAAATAAGTGACATGACTATTCCGCGCTCACCTAGGGGATAGAAATACGTGTTCAGGAGCGTCTACACGGCAGATAGGATTCTTACCTTGAAGGTCTTGAGGTCGTTGTCGAATGTGGGAACTTGCAAGTCTCAGCCACTGTGACAAGAACTATGCAGTTCCTCTCGGCAATCTCCGAGCTCTCAAATGAAACTTTGTTTAAACGTCCTCTACATCAAAATTTAACATCGCAGACTTCAACCTTCGCTCAAAAATATCCAATGTATAGCTATAGTGCCATCGGAACGTTATCACGCCTCTTTCTCTCTCAACTTAATAGAGGCTCAGCGCTCAACCGCCAGCTATGTTCCAGGTATAATATTAAACATAAAATACTCCCGCTTCGGATATAAGAGGCTTGTGGGGCGTTTCGTAAACTCCATCGCGACGGGGTTATTTGCTAATTGCGCTGAGGCGGGATGCACGACAAATTTACGGCGGTGTCGTTGGCATTGATAATGTTGACGGGACATACGTATACCATTAAGAGACACAATATGGTACGTCGGTGCAGCAAAGCCTCCTATAAACGCGACGTGTGTGTGAACTGATCATCAAACATTATCACGTGGGCCCTGGGAATCCTGCCTCTCATAACTTGGCCAGCAAGCTCGGCGAGTCATACTTTGCTGCTTCCCTTGCAATCCACTCTGCTGTTGCGTACTCCGAGAATGTCCATGCCTTCTCGGCGATCATATGTTCCTTCCAATAAGCAACAACTCTTGGGCGAGTCATAACTGCCATCCATAATTGCCCGCACAACGGGAAATCCCCTCCAGGCGTCAGCCCCCGCTTGGCAGATGGGAACACTTGCGTTATAAACGTGATAGATGCTGCCACTGTTGCATGAAGTGCAGTCAGTTGGCCCGTCTCTGCTGGCACCACTTTCATTTCCTTCTGCAGTTCTCTGAGTGTGGCTTCTGTGTTGCGCAAGTATCGTACAGTGATTGCTTTCCAAATCTTATCTCGTGATGGTGGCGCTAGCCAATCCTGTGGTTTTTATTTCTCAGTTCACGTTCTAATCACAGTGACTTTGAGTACCTTTTCCGCACTCAATTGCCATACCCTGTTGGTGAAGAACAAAGATGCTTCCTTGATCATCTGTATGCGCACACGGGTTTGGAGTGGGAGGTCTTTGTTCAACTGCCGGATGATCAATACTAAGTTAGTGCTGGTGCAGTTTATTCAGGGACGCACAAGACTTACCGTAGCTCCTGGCGGTGTCAGGATCTCCTCGAGGTAAGACAGGATAGCTGAAGTCTCTCCAAGCAGAAATTCGCTCCTTTGTTCAGAGCTTTTGTCTGTTACTCGGAGAACAGGTACGACGCCGTATGGAAACACCGCGGGCGTAACTTGACCTGTCTTCTTCATCTCCACCCACTTCACAAGAGGAACTTCTTTGTACTCAAACTGCATCCCCGAATCTGCGAGAATGAGTAACACCGACTCACATCGCCCTCGCGAGGGAAAATAGGTGATGTGGATGTGGTATGTGGATGTGGATACCATGGAAGTTACAAGCACTCAGCCGAACTCGAGCCGTTGACAGACGAGAGTGATGGCGTGTTCATAATTCGGCTGACCGAAGCGCTTAATTCATAATGTAAGCTTGAACACGTCATTCCGTACAGTGTCGACAACCCAGTTGTGATCTTCACAACTCAAAGCTTGAAGTATAACCCCAATCACTTCGCTCCCTTGCAGGAGTCCAGACATTGTTGTTGTCTCATCCATTGCACTGCAACATAGACATATAATCCACTCCAGGCTTAAAAAAGTCAAAGTCAGGTGTAGTTCCGAGTCTTGAAAAACGCTATTGGCCTCCAAAACAGACGTTTGGGCGCAGAAGGGAAAGACAGCTTTGTGGCAAGCCAACCAACTACCCACAAGTCATCACTGACGGAGAATATCATCACGTACCAGGCACCCTGGATATACCGCTAGCCATGCATAACAGTGACAATACATTTGACGATTGTTGATGCCGGTCCTCATCAAACATATTGATCAAAGGTCAATTGGCGTGCAGAGAATGTCGCTTCACAACTTTGTCTCATACGGTTATAGTAAAAACGCGATACAATAATTTTTACCGCAGTTGTATAAATGGGTAGGGGCGCGTCAAAGGGCTGGTTAATGACTGTACTACCAATCCCTCACTGAGCTACAAAGGAAGTCAGTAGATACATTGCGAAGACAAATGGTGGCCTGACCTTCTGGTGTCTTTGCGATATAGTCAATAGCTAAAGGACGTTCACAAAGAGTTAGTAGACGGCCCATATAAAACGGGCGGCGGAAACGCACCTTGCTGGACGGTTTTTATCTCATCAGCTTCCGCATCTGGAATCTCGATAGCAAACTCCTGTTAAAGTACGTGTTGATGAAGTTCTCTATGAACATAGACATGACCACGCACCTCCTCTACGGCCATAACCACCTCAACCGCGTCTAAGCTGTCAAGCCCGAGATCGTCCGTGAATGAAGACGAAGCTGTGAGCTAGTGAAGAGTACCGTCAATAGGAAAAGGTCATCGAGAAAATATTCAGACCTTGGCTGCGTCCACTTTCTCGAAGCCCTTTAGTACGTCCAGTACGCGTGTATGTATAATCTCCTTCGACAACCCTGCCGCTGCCGAGTAGTTCGCACGGAATGCCCAGGTCTGTCTCAAGGACACCGCAAGCACGGGTCGCGCACGAGTCACACTACGAAGAGCAAGGCGAGTGAAAGACATGTTTTGCAAAGGCAACGTTTTAGAACCTGGAGGGAAAAGTTAAGACGTCCGGCTTTGGCCGAAGGTTATGCTTAGACTCAGATCACGTGGGCGCAAAGGCTTTTTTTTGATTTTGATTGACAAGTCTGAATCGATTGCCATGATTCCTCGACCTCACCAGCAATCCGAAGCTGGCCCGTCTCGTCGCCCTCAGAATGCGTACCAGCATGAGGACGCTCGGAATTCAGCGTACGCATATGCATCCTCCCAGGCTGCGATAGCAGGAAACGCCATAACAGCCGCACTGGCCAACCCGTATGCTCAGCATGGAATGTCTCCCCATTATTATCAGGCATATATGCAGGTCATGCAGCCCGTAATGAATGCGCAGGGATATACCTTGTCGTCCACTTACATGCCTCAACACACCACCGGTGGAAACACTTCACGAAATGTATATCGTGATGCTAGCAATAGTGTCCCTGCGCGGACTAACGATAGAAAGCCAGACTCCACCAGTGGCCAAACGTATGCTAGTTGGTACCAGCCTGGCAACTGTCGCTGTACTCGTCAAGGTTGTGTGTTTACTGGCTCTAAGAAATCAGTCGAGACACATATGATGGACCGCCACTTCATCTTCCCCCCTGGATGGCAGAAAAAAGATGAATGGGATACCGATCCAAGTCTAAAAGGGTAGGTTCAACCTAAATTCCGTCGAGTTAGTGACATTGGATTAATCCGTAGCTTAGCAAACCTATTGTGATTCAAGGAACATCTCTAATCCTCGACTCCCAAGAAGCGATCGATGGCTGGATAGCAGAGCGCAAGAACCGGTTTCCTACTACACAGAAAGTGGAAGAAAAGAAAAGGAAGCTAGAGGAGGCTGTCGCGAGAGGCCAGCTGACACCTGAAGACATGGGCTTACAAGCCAGGAGGAAGCGGAGAAAGGACGATTCATCATTTCGGAGCCAGCAACCAAGGGGTCGAGGGAGAGGAATGGGTCGTGGCAGTCATACTAGTTTCACTGTTTCGAGGACTCAAGATACGTCATCACCGATGAAACCTCAGGCAGCACCTCTTCCCCCATCAATTCCTGCGGAGCAACAGGATAGACCTGATTTGGACTCAAGTTCGGATGACGGCGCTCCTGAAGTTGTATCTTCTAAGCCTCCTCAGGCTGCAGAGGCAGCCTTGGTCTTAGCACCGCTCAAGCAAGAACCGCAATCACAACCGCAACCCAAACCCATAAAAAGGCCACCTCAACCTCAACCCAAGCCCTCGCCGCGAAATCCATTTGCATCACGACCTACATTGCTCCGAAGTGTACGTAGTGTCCATTAATTATCTGTTGGACTGAGTTGATATATTCCGTCTAGCTACTTCTTCCCGAAATTCGCATCACGGTATCAAACCTGTCTCAAGCGATTCGATTTTTGGTTGACAACGACTTTCTGCGAGGAGTCGAGATGAAGCCAGGCGAAGCGCAGCAAAAAATGATTGAAGTAGTGGGAAGCACTGGACCCCAAATTCAAACTACTCTCTCAGATCTGAAGTCCCAGATGACTGCACCAGAATAGTAATATCATTGACTAAAGCGAGTAAGTAGGGATGCGGTGTAGATTTATATCCTCGTATAATTATTGTTCATCGTCCTGAGTCGCTCTCACTATCACTGCTGCTCTCACTTCCACTCCCATCCTCATTCTCATCGGCTTCGACCTCCAACGTCCGTTTCTCGACTTTGAAGCCATGACTAGTCAATCCGGCAGCAATCTCGTCCGCCTTAGAAGGTGCGGTGACCACTGTAACCATAGATAGCTTCGAGTCGAACACGGGTAAAATATGCTTCTTCAAGGCAGCAAGTACATCAGCCTTGGTCACCTCCTGGTACTTCTCAAGCATTTGCAGGTTGTGATCCTGGGGAACTCCTTTAAGAGCTTGGTTGGTAAAGGAGTTAACAGCCTATGACCACTGTTAGCGTGATTCGAGCTTGAATAAACACACATACAGCTCGACCAGCCGTTGCGACATTCTTGGTGACGCCATAAACAATGCTACTTTTGGCTGCATCAAGAGCGGTTTCCTCCAGTGCCACCTGCTTTTGATCAGTAAATGCCATGATCGGGAAAACATAGAACACACAGTCCCATCAACTAGTCCGCTAACGACCTCTTTTGCTTGTTTAAACGCTTCCAGGCTGTTGGAACTCTGCAAGAGTATCAACGAGAAAATTCACCATTCGCCAGAGATCTGCATACCCGGTAAAGCGAGAATGTGAGCAAGCCAGCTTCTCTATCAACAGACATGTAGGCGCCATACGCAAGACCAGAGCCTCGGATAGAACGCTAACACATGTAAGATTTGGTTCCGCTTACTATGAGTTCACCTACCCAGAGGAAGCTTTCTGCAGCATTGAGAACCTCGAGCGCTACTCGGAGAGCGGGAAATTCAGGATGATCGAAGCCTCGTATTGCTTTCGTAGTGTGGTTGACAAACGAGCTTTCGATCGTTGGCAAGCTGACCACAGTAGCCTAAGAACAAGAACTGATGAGAACGCTACAGAGCCGCAAAAAAAAAGCTCTTCGCACCTTGGTTGCAGGATTCTTACCCAATTCACTGAGGGTGTCGCTCGTGAGCTTCAACGGAGCAAGTTTGGATTCCTGCGTGACCATAAAATGATGCCGTCGTTGCCAGACGAAGAAACACGCACCGGTAGAAGGTCCCCGAAGTGTTTTGACCAGACACTCCGTGGCTTGGGTACGTCCAAAATGTTACCTGTGACTGATATCCGTACTCCAGTGGGATCCGTCACTGGTCATATTGTGAATGAATGCCATGACATGCTTTGATGATACGTACGGTATTTCCTCAGTTCCTCAAAGTCCGCGACCACCGTATCAGGATCCTCTTGAAGGTTCTGGATAAGCTTCGGCACAAATTCTGCTTGAGGAAGGATGGCGCCAGCAAGCGATGTCGAGCTCTTATCGTAGAGCATCTCGGCCCACACAGAGGACAGGACATTGTTTCCATCACGCTTGAGTTCCGGAAGTGACTGCGCCAGCTTGGCAGCAGAGATTTGCAGTCTACACCGCATGAGACATAAAACTAGACGAATATCACGAGAGCCTACCTTTCCTTATCAAATATCGAATTGTATACTAGATCACGTAACCATGCAATGGCTGATTCATATTGGGATGTCTCGACCTTGAAGCTGACCCGCATTGATTCGGAAAATTGGTCGGATATACCGAGAACGGCCTCATATGAGACTGTCCCATCGTCGAGCTGGTTAACGACCTCTTCATGGCTGAGTACCTCTCCTGAAGCGCGTTGCACAGGGAGCGAGAAAAACACCGAGAGGTAAGTCGAAAGGTAGGGCCGTAGCCTATTAGGCAGCTTGGCCAACGAGAAGAAGGCATGGACAGCAACAAAGTCGGACTGGGCAGTCTTGAGCATCATGGTCAAAATGAGATTATGGAACCTTTACCTTGACATGGTCGTATTGTACGAACATGGAAAGTGGAGACCCATCAGACTGGATGTGCTTGGAAAGCTGAGACTGTCCAATATTCTGTACAGTACTTGACCGCCCTTTGCCAGGCTCTTGAACGCACTGGACAGGTATCCAGGAGATGCTCTTTACATCCGGAACCGGGAACGACGTCAAAACATCAGTCGGTATTGGCTTCTCATGTTCAGCTTTTGCAGCTTCTAACTCCCGCTCTGCCTTGGCAAGACCATCTGGACCGAGCGTCTCCCGCTGCGTAGCAAGGCGACCCTTTTCATCTTGCTCGAGCTTCTCTGCCAGAGTTGCAGAAGGTTTACCAATGACAACAACGTAAGGGCGGTCGATGATGTACCTAAACGACCGTTGAGTTATGTCGCGATCATTATCTATTATGACTCACTTGTGCACGAGATCCACCCATTGCGAGCTAGTCCATGTCCGCAAAGTCTTGTAATGATTGATTTCATCTAGGGCAGGGTGCATGTCCGAACCATCCGCAGCACCGTACAGGAAGTCACTTATAATGGCACCTGAAAAGGTGTCGCCTTTAGCTGACTCCAATTTGCTGCGAAGCTAGGTAGCGTCAATAACTTCAATGTTTGGTCACGGCCTGGTGATCCCAACCCACCTGGCGCTCATCCCGGTTGATGACCATGGACATTCTCGTCATATCTATACCATCAGACGCAATCCGTTTAAAACTTGCGACAAGCTTCTCATCGAAGTTATCCAATTCTTCGACAGGGACCGAACCAATGTAGATCGGTAGATCAACCATTGTCGCGCGAGTGTCTTCGCTAAAGTAGATGTACGAACTTACAAGGCGCATCGTCAGTCTGATGTCGTACCAAAGGTTAAACCAAGGATACTCACCAGAGGGGTGACTCGATTTCGATGTACTCCTTGTTCAAAGGGGCAACAGGCGATGATGTAAGGTATGTAGCAAGAATGTCTAAAGCCTGCGAGAAATCGTAAGCTCCGAAAGAGAAGGTTTGTAAGATCACAGACTTTTCGCTCCATGAAGTTGTTGGGCGAGGGACCAGCATAAATGATCAAAAGTTCGCCCTGGCTCTCGTCCTTCTCAGGAAACTCGACGGTTTCCTTCATGATTTGCTTGATGGGAGAACGCTTGGCACTAGCAGTCTCTAGGAAGGGTCGTTTCCAGCCGCTCGGGCGGGGGCCATGGTTTTGACCATGTGAAATAATACTAGGCTCAACCTTCTCCTGCACTACAGCCAGCAGAGACTTCGTTCCGCTAGAAAGCTTCCCGGTAACTGATCAAGGACAGATTATGCGGGACATAATAAGTGGCGTGATAATCCCTGACTGAGATCAGAAGGACGTTAGTAAGGGATGGACACCAAGAGGGATCGATTCACTTTGCTCGACAGAGAGAACCCTAAGTGCTGACATGAGTCCACCGGTTTCACTACGATAGGCACTCCCAGGAGGGTACAAGAGACGCTGCGAGCTAAGAGATGGATATGAGCAGCAAAAACAAACGTATAACATAATAACAGACCGAAGGCCCATGAGATCGCCTGACGTATTTTCGCGGCCTTGCATTTCACTGTATACAACACCACTATTCTCGCCCTTTGCATTAACGTGGTGAACCTACGCGTGTGTCAGTGTGATCAGGAACAACAAGTTTGAGAAACTGCCAACCTCAGTCAAGAAGGCTGCCTTGGTCATCGTGGGATAGAGGATGTGATCCACATATATCGGTAAAAGCTGAAGGAAGCCCTGCTCTCCAGCAGTTGAGGCAGTATACGCTGGGAGTATAAGGTCGATGGAAGGAAGGTGTATGGCGCTGTGGAAAAGACTTACCAGTATGATCGGTGTCCGTCCATGCATTGGTTCCATGAGAGAACCCGCGATTCGCAAGATGGTCTATGATGCCTTTGTATGGGTATTTTTCCGAACCCATGAAGACAAGACTTCGGAACGGTAATATTAAGCTACATTTGTAAATCAATTAGACGCTCCACTTACTGCTCTAAAGTGTGCGGGCAGCCGCTATCATCGAAGACTGTCATTTAGTTAGCCCCCGACGTCAAGTCGCAAGATAGAGTGTATCACACTGACTTTCAGTACCAACAACGAAGTAGCCGTTGACGATGGGTGCTGGCCAAAAAATTAATGTCGAACATGTTGAAGTAGTAGATGACAAGATGCATACCTTCATAATCGAGATGCACGACAGTGAGGCCAGTGATGCGGCTTTGCCATCTTGATACGACAACGTCAGTGTAGTCTAGCTTGACACGTTTAACTAGGTCGAAATTTCCATAAGCCTCGAAGTTATCGTGCGGGAGAGCTGAGCCATTTAGAGAAGGTGACATCGATGAGATGGATGATTGGAAGAAACGGCGAGGGGAAGGAAAGGGGAGATGGCGATTAGCGCCGGTTTGCAGTTGGACTGATAGGTTTGATAGTCCGATGCGCCTCCGAGAGAGAGTCCGTGCAGAAAGCCGGGACGCCGTCAACAGTCGTTGCATTCACTCAATCCTTGAATTTTCTGAGCGGAACGGTGCTCTTTACGTCAGCACTTACTTGGGGTCCAATTTTATAGTGCTCAGTGCTCACACATGTGACTACAACCGAGGACGCTGTCTCCTGTGTTCTCTCGCTCCCGTTCCTCGAGGCCGTTCATGGAGACAAAGCGTATGTTTTATTACAAGCCAACGCCCGAGCAATCGGCTCTTGCGGAGGAACGACGTAGACAGCGCGAAGAAAAGAAATTGCAACAACAGAATGCACAAAATCATACCCATCTCCCTCCAATGTTTCTTTCTAGGCCATGGAAATCTTTGCCAAGCACACAGAGTGCACCTCGGTCTAGCATCAAGGTCATGTCTTGGAATGTTTGTGGATCTTCATCTTGTATTTCGGAACCATGATGCATCAATAATTTAGCTTCTTGCTCAATGTCTGATTCGTGCGTGGTTTGGTTCACGCCCGGTGTGTGCTGAGGCTCAGTGATGATCGAGAATAGGCTCGAACCTTTTTCCAACAAGTTCAAAAGCCCTGAAAACTTCTCAGAGGGAGCCTATGATACATGCAGAGATTCTGTCCCATTCTGCGGATATAATGTGCATGCAGGCTAGTCTTCAACTATCTAAGACGTTCAAGTTTCCATACTGAGTACTGCCACCCACAGGAAGTGGATCGCCTAGAAAAGCTTTCTCCTGTCCTAGAACAAGCAGGGTATTCCTCCGCTTATGCTACAGGCCCTGGAAAGCAGCATGGCTGCCTTATTGCTTACAAACAGAACAAATACAATCGAGTGGACGAACTTATAATTGAGTACGACAAGCAGGAAGTGCGTGAGGATTCTTCCCATCCTGCTGCACGTATTGGATCGAGTCGCGTTACGAAAAATATCGGTTTCATGGTCGCGTTGGCTGAAGCCGGCGCCGATCACCAAGGTGTCATCATTGCAACCACCCATCTATTTTGGCATCCTGCGTTGGTGTAATCAATATAGCCAACTGAGCCCTCATTAATGTCAATTTACTGTTTCAGATTCACGTACGAAAGGGCAAGGTACTCCAGCTCATTCGCCGGTTGAACAAATCGCTGAGCTGGCTCACAGGCAGGCCGGCATCCTCATTCGAGAAGTCCTTAATTTCCGACAGTCTATGAAACTCGACCATTGGCCCTGCATCATCGCTGGCGGTAAACACGGTGAATTCGGGGTGGAGTGTCATGTATTGACTTCCTGATGATTCTAGACTTCAACTTTACTCCCGATGACCCGGCATACTCTTTACTCGTCGGCGATCCGCTTACTGAGGCCCAGTCTCAGCGTTTGCATATATCTCGTGTTATTCATATAACCATCGATCCCACTGTACCATCAACTACCAAGAAGGCGGACGATGAAGAAGGAGATGGTTCAGAGGCTGATCCAGACAGGGTCATTAATAAGTCCCGAGTAGCCACTTCGTCAGATGGACTGCTATCCGACCTTGAACTGACGTCACTCTTCATCAATGGTGCCAAGCTTCGGAGCGCATATGATGAAGGTCAAAGAGGTCAAAGAGACAACGGCACCTCAGGTGATTTATACACATTTGGCGATCGAGTCTCTTCGTCCCCGACCAGACTTGGAGCCCATGAGCCAATGTGGACTAGTTACACACACTACTGGAAGACGACGCTAGGTTTCTTCGTCTCTCCCTTCCCCCTTCGCTTGCTGAATTTGATTTTGTCAGATTACATTTTCTTCGTAGACACACCCAAACGCAGCATAAATGTTGCGGGCTACCTCAACCCACATCGTACCACTGACATGGAAGCAGGTCTTCCTCAGATTGGCATTTGCGGAAGTGATCACGTCTCTCTTTGCGCAGAACTCTTTTTATCATAATAGATTACAATGTCGGGGAGGTATGTGGCATAACCTGTCTAGGGTATTTCAAATGGAATGGATCCCAGCCAGCATTGGCAAATGGGATGGTGTAAAAAAACTTGATGTGATAAACGGAAGGATGAAGAAAACACAGAATTAAGAACACAGACCCTGCTCCAGCGGAACGACTACGACACCCCAAATTATTTCGACCTGTCCGACCCTGCAAGTAATTTATCAAACAGTTCTTGAGCAGTCTGCTCGTTCCGAAGTTGGATCATGTAGATGATGCCTGTCCGTGCACCTTTGGCGTCGCTGAGTTCAATGGCAACACCAGTTTTTCCCACTCGTTCCACACCATCCGTAAGCACTATCGTCGAGATGAGAATGTTCTTCTTGTCTTTCGAGCCCGCTTCAACAACGAGTTGTTTGACATTAGTTGGCTGCTGATGATAGAGAGCCAGCTGCGCAGAGCCCAACGACTTCCATTGTGCATGCTGCTGTTGGTGGAAGACCCTGCACTTCATTTCCGTTATCGTGGGCTTGGCCGGACCCAGAGGCTTTCGCTCTTCAATCGGTGAAGTTGGAGGACTATGATCGTGGAAATTTGGTTCGGTGAACGAGTTTGCTCTGGAACTGATCTGCTGCGATGGTAGGATAGGTCTCATCGAAGCATTATTGCCGCTGCCCGCAGAACTGATTGAATCTGTGCGTTGGCCATAAGGTCGTGATGGCATCGGCAGCCCTCCAGGTAAGGAAGGAAGTGGTGGTGCGTGACCCGGACCTGGGGCATAGTCATACTGAGAGCGGAGAGACCGCGATGATGCTGACTTATGGAGTCTCCCGGAGGACGGCTGCGGCTCAGACGGTGGCCGAGGGGGAGGGAGTCCATGGGGAGGACCTCCGGGACCCGTAGACCGAGAAGGAAATGCCTGTGTGTGATGTTGTTGTTGTTGAGAAAAGTTCATAGATTGAGCTTGGGGAGGTGCGCTTTGTGGAGGACGAAGATGTTGATGAATTGACGGGTATTGATGATTGAGAGACGGTTGATGGTGAAGAGGCTGCACCGGGGTGTGATGTGACGAATGGACTGACGATTGATGACGCAAGGGTGGTTGTTGCGGGTAGCCTTGAACAGCAGGAGGAGAGTATACCCTGTGAGGTGCGCCTCCCGCATTAGGGTCCTGCTCGGGGAAGGGATGCGAAGAGCTGGTCATGCTTGCAGTCCGAGCTGGCGGCATGACCGGACCGAAGGAGGAAGGTGGCGGATGTGAGGAAGCTCCTTGACCAGCAGATGGCCTACGTATAGGGTGAGAGACTCCAGAAGGAGCATCGTGCAATGAAGGCGTCCTCTGAGCACCTTGGAAATTTTGCATCTGGGGCATACCAACACCTTCACTAGGACTAATGTTCCCATTCCCCGCCACGACTTGCCCTGGAGCAAATTGTGCTAAGCTTGTTTTTCGAGGCGCAAAACTCTGTTGCGATGTGATGCGAGGCCTCGAGAAATTAGGAGCCGAGGGAAGCTCAGGGAGCTCAGGTCTTCCATTCAACATACTAGAACTGGCAAACTGCTCTTGTGGGACACCCTGTTGAGTGTCACTGGTTTGTTCACGCGAAGGAAATCCCTCATTTGCAGGAGGAAAATTAGCAACTGGTGATACAGGGAGACCTTTAGGCAAGGGGGGAAGTGGTTCTGAAGTAGCTCCAGACACTTATCAAAATGTCACTAGGGGATATTGCAATCAGAGGTACATGCACATACTGGTCTTGGCAAAAGAGATGCACTCCTTGAATTCCTTGATGATCTCGTCTCGGGATTGCATTGAAATGGCCTCAAGAATGAGCGTCTCTTTCCGCATGATGGAAATCTGAAGTACGTTATCTGCCAATATTTTGAGGTTCTATTCGGTGTGATGATCACGTTACGCACCTTGGTCAGGTACCTCGGTCACCTTCAGAACCTTTCCCGAAAGTGGAGGGTAGCAAAGCCGTATATCGGAACCGTCCACACCTGCTGCAACCCTGTCGTCCAAGGACATCTTCTCGCATATCAAGAACAAATCTGATAGAATAAAGACAAAGCCGTGCTGGTGAACAACATTCACGCCTGTCGAACGAGGAGTAAAACGGACAACGACATTGGCCGTCAATTTAAGTTCTCGAGCATAAGGCAACGTTGGCGGAGACATTTGCAGACGAACTAGCTAAGTATTCAACGTACAACAATCAGTGGGACACCACGACACCATGCGAACGAACGAACCTTGGGCTCCATGGTAAATAAGTCGAGTGTCATATCTGTCGCCAAGCGTTTCTCCAGGTTAGCGATGGATGTAGGCATTGCTGGTGCGGAGTGACGACTGATGGATGTCATCCCCGTTTCCCGGGAAAATCGCTCTCTAATTGCACGTCAACATCACGCCATAACATCACTGTGCATGCTCACCCGCTTGAGGAACCGCTTTCACGCACAGATGTGGTTGCGCTTGCATTTCCTCCCCCAAATTGACCTGAAAGTAGCTGGTCGCGCGTTGCGTCAAATTCTGTTACCGGAGACATCGCCGGAGAAGCGATAGGCTCAGGCTTCACGTCAGGGGAGACAGGCGACAGTGCAGGGGAGGAAGCGGGAGGGCCGTGGCCAACCTTGACCTGACATCTTCCGTCCAAAGTCTCCAATAGATCATCTAACTTCTCAAGAGCACCCGTCAATAGTCGATGGTCGCTCCTGCCCGGTACCGTGCTCTTTAGCAGTCTGTTGTATAGTTTCCTATAATATAAAAGACGACCCTTGGGCAACAGAAATAGGGCATCCAAGGTCCATAACGATGGGTCTGCTAGCTGAGAGGACTGAATTGCAGCTATTGAGGGAGGGCTAGCCGTAGAGAACGCCTCGAGAACGCCTGGAAGCTTCGTATTTGACTTGACAGGTTGCCATTGATCGAAACCAGTAGAGAATTGCTGACAGTACGTCGTGTAAGGTCGGTCAAGGTCATCGATCTTTAGAGCACATTCAGGATGAGGAAAGTCTTGCCTAGTGCTGAACTCTCACCCATCGCATTAAGAGGTCACCCAGAGCTTTGGGTGAGGACGGATTGGCACCAATTTCTTTCAGTTTCTGTGTGCGTGTTAGCCACATTGTATACGTGAAAATGCATTGCCTACCACGAGGAGTGTGCGATTTGTCTTGTAGACACTCTCGATGCTGCGAAACATGACATCGAGCTCCGGTGGTGGCAAATTGGATCGTGACCATGCTGCGGCTACTCTCTACAAAAGCAATGAATTTGACGTGTCTGTAATGAATTCAGGAACGCACTCGTATTATACCAGTCAAGTACTCCACATAGATCTTTTCGCTCTCGATAAGATCGGTCAAAGGACTAGATTTCTTGGGCTTTTCTATTGGAGAGGTTGGGGAAGGAAAAGACATTGATGAGGTAGCTGGTTCAACTGCCATTGCGGGAGACTTGGGCGAGTCACTGTCAAATCCTTGTGGCCGGTGTGAATATGTGCCTATGAAATCAGGTCCAGGGCGAGAAAGATGCGTTACCTAGAGATGCAAGACTTGGTATTGGAGGTAATTGAGGTCCGTTGTCATTAGGGTGGGTATCTATTACAAGGCCGATATTCTTGGGAGGTGGCGGTGGTGATATAAATGAATCTGGTGGTAGAGGAGGTAGCTTCATATCACGACCTAAAGGTCTGTGCCCGATACCAATGGAAGACATTATTGATAGTCTAAGAGTGAAAAGTTTCAAGTGGCTGGGATTAGAACATTAGTCCTGTAGGCATGACGCTCTGGCAGGTGACTGACAGTCGCGAGGATAACGTGCACAACAACTATTATTTCAATCAAATTTTGATATGAGAACATTTTCACCAGCGCAAACAACAACCTTTCATCCTGGCATGCAGTACACAATTTATTTTCAAATATTTTAACTAACAGAAGATTTAATCAATAACAATTACTACAAACTAACCTTGACACGATCGACAATGTCATATCCCCTGCACTGGCTCCAAGCCACTTTCCCCTCGCGGTCACGCGCCGTCGAGCTCCTACAGCCAGAGTTAGAGAAAGGTGTCATCACAAAGCATGATTTTGAGCTAGCAACCGGATTCCTGCCTGGGGGGCACAGACACTGGCCTGTTCGTCTGCTGTTCCGGTATCATGTTCATATTTGACCGCGGATCCTTACGAACAGACGATATATGGGGTCGGGGCTACAGGCATCACCCTTGGTTATGGGTACTCAGTGGCGCGTCCCAGGTGGTCCCACACAAAACTTACATGGGGTTCGGGCGCTGCCACCCTCATAGGGATGGTTTTTGGCCGGGTCAGACAAGTCCTGGCCCACAGACAGTTCACAGAAGCTCTAGAAAACCCCGCAGGTTTCATAGAAGCGCTGCACAATGTTGACCGCAGACTTGGTGGCGATGGGCAGTTGGGCTTCACGTTGGCACGAATACGGAAGGATGCTGCACGTATCGACACTGCTACTTCTGGGAGTAGTCAAGAGCATGGTCCTGAGATGGTCAATGAGGAGAATTGGAAGAAATCTTGGCCTCATTCTAACGCTCCCGATGGCGAGTAACCGCATGGCTCTGCTATATGCCGTCCTAACACTTTTCGCAGCCGCTTCACCCCAAGCAAATCAACCAAAGAATCGCTGGGAGGAAATACGTGCAGCGAACGCGCGTTCTGCTGGTTATGTGTCTTCGTGGGACACTATCCGACAACGTCATGAGCGGAACGGATTGCCCAACTCGACGTCATCGCCGAGTAACGACCCACCATCATCTGGAATGGATGATCGAGCAGCAGAGCAAGCCAAGTTTGACGCTATTCTGGAGGCCGAAAGAAGGAGAGGACAGTGACAGGACTGTCGCGATTTTGTATGACGCTAATGCACCCATGAGACAATTCTTTCAATAAGTAATGAGTATCAGTCACCAATAATTCAATGCATTCATTATAAGTAAGTGATATATGCAGTCCAAGGCAACCAACAGTATAAATAACGAAACTAAGTAATATAAACTTATGTGCGGTAACTCCATCGCACCAATCCGCTCTCGGAACGGAGCGGCTGCTGTAGCTCGTGGGGAGACCAGCTGGGCTGGAGAGGAGGTGGATTGTCAGGGGGGCGGCAGTATAAATCTACTGAACCCGAATCTCGGATGAACACCGGGGAATCGTACTCCATCGAGTGTGATGTGGAGGGATTCGGCAGAGGCGCCATCTGAGCATTTTCAGGTAATGTTGACGTCGCAAACAATGTAGTATGAGAGAATGGATATAGGGGTAGCCCCACCTCCAATGGTTGTTTCTGGCTTGTCAATCGCACTATTTCTCTCATAAGGCCTTGCAACAACTTCTCTTGCCGAGCTGCACCATGATGAATGATGTGTCTTTAACAAAAAAGATATACGTACTACCTATGGGAGATCTCGCTCCGTAGTTGATCATTGCTTGTCTGTCATACCAGTCAATGGAGGTGCCACGAACTTTCAACCGAGGGCGTACCGCAAGACATTGATTTCTCCCCATACCTGGTCTTCTCTCATCTCATCCCCTATTTCTATGAAGTGCTTGCAGACCTGGACTTGAACGACTGCGGCAAGGTACCAACAGATCTGGGGATAGACAATGAATGACTTCTGATTGGGACAACTCAGAAACTCACTGCGACAAATGGGTGCAATCGTGATTTATCCAAAGAGGTCTCGGATAACTTGAAGTAGGCTGAAAGAATGGCTCCTGCTGCATTGATACATCGGCTCGTGGATGTGCGATTCAAGTCTGTTAGGTCAAGATAAGGATTGTGGAGTGTAATTGTAGCTCTTAAAGTCGATCCGTGAGAATTCGCGAGAGGAAGGTAAGGTAAGGCACTCACGCGTGCGGTATAATATGGACCATATATAAGTCCGTGTCCACTGAGCCATGATTACCAGGTAGTTCATTAGCGCTCGTCATTTTGAACATAGTCGGGAGGTTCTCTAGGAAGTCATTGTAGACAAGTCGATCAAGATCCGCAAAGCCAGGTAATTCGAAAGGGTCTTGAAACTTGCTAGGCGCAGTCGGAGCACGCAAGTTTCCTCGGACATTGAAGTCTGTGACACGACCGAACATCATTATGGCCTTGATTAGAAGTAGAAAAGAATCGGTGTATTTCGGCAAATGTGTAGTAAAGACGTCTTCCGTACACATGTCTTGAGGATTGCTGGGCATTAGTTGCTAAGAAAGGTGAGGTCAACCCGGAGCCGTCATAAGCTCTCAAACAAACGATAAGCAATCTCACCTCTGAGTCGAAGTCTTCCCCTCGGAGAGGAAGCTCAGTTCCGATATCTCTCTCATCAATTGCATGGATCCATCCACCGACCGATACTATACGGTCAAAGATGATTGTCGTCCACCAGGTGCGACGACGTGACTCCAGATCTCTGAGGTCTTTTGGGGGAGGGAGGTACCCACCTGATGATGCAGTATTGTGAGTCGAGAAAGTTCCTGGATAATTTAACCGTAGTGGTATGGCAACACGAGTCTGGAATCCTGCAAAAATCCAAATTTCGACCCAGCGCCCTTCTTGATAGAAATACCAAGCGAGCAAGATGCACGCCTGAACGACGGGAAAGATATCTTGGCCATTGGCCATGGTTTTGTCGATATACTGCCGAGTTTTACTTGCGTGGAACTCTGCAAATTCGTCACGTCTCGTGCCGTCGGGCAAAGTTGCCACATTGCGGGAGGACCACCTAGAAGCTGACGCACACTACCACTCCTGTCAGTAAGATCCAAGATTAAAATTAGTGACAGATTCACTATTGCATGGAGTATGGCCGAGTGTGGAAAGGAAGGATCCCTAGGATCCAGACGTACAGCTGCAAGAAAGGATGGGCGATGAAGGATGCGAGGACCACAAGGGTCGCACTTGAAAAACACATCTATACTATGGAAACGTTAGTGGACGCGATGGGCGGAACGTCAAACCTCACTAGTGCTCCAAAACACTGCGCTCAGGAAGATCGGGATTCCAGCCGGAGTATATGATTTCGAGAATAGTGTCAGTGGAACTCTTGTGCCGAACCTCGTAAAGTTCTGGACTGTTGCTGTTGTTACGGTGATCAGAATCGTGCATATGCCCTGGAATTATAAGATCTTTTGGATAAGGAACCGACGGTGTTTGAACAGAACTAGTTGCCTGACTTCCGGATTCAAGATTCGAGGAAGACGAGGCGGATCCAGGGCGCAGCTGACTGAGACGGCGTAGTGGTTGCTGAGATGGTCCTGAAAGTCCATTGTTTCGTTGCTCTTGAAGTTGGGTCTTCAATCTTGCTGCAGGAGATTCAGCCGAAGAATGGTTATATTGGTTATGCAACGTACAAACTTCTTCCTCCAGAAGCCGAATTTTGTCGAGAGGATTTGTATCTGGCGCCAAAGAGAGACCGTCCACTGGGTCATAAACGCACTGCGGTTCTGCTGGGTGCCTGAGATCTAGATGTGAAAATCACCAACCTCATGCATTCTTAGAGAGCTTACGCGTAGTCGGGCGGTGCAGGGACACTTATGAGAGACTGCCATTGCCTTGCGTCCGGCGTGTCAGGCTCTCTGGTTATCGAATGTCAAGAACTGTTATACGCACTTTACACATGTGCCACAGTGGGGACGGGCAGCATCACATTTCTAGAGGTCTGAATTCAATTTTTGGCGAGCGAAGGCAGCCGATCGCAAACTCACAAGTTTTCTCTTCCGACACGGGCGACAAGCCTTTGAGGGATAGTAAAGATTCCACTTTAAGTAAGGCAAGATTTGTATGTGCTTACCTGGTTCCTACGAAGTGCAGGGCGGTTGGTAGCGCTAGCGGCTGGGGGTGCCTTCGGCATTAGTTGATGTAAGTTAGTGTTTGATGGTATTACTACTAGTGCTCGGCGAATGCTAGTAATACCCGGACTTGTGGTTCTGTGAAGGCGTAGCGAGCGGGGAGAAGGAGTCCTGCTTTATTGGTGGTTGAAGAATATAAGCAAACTGCTCGCAGGGAGTATTCAAGTGTGGTATAGTCGATGAGGAGTTCGCACTTGCATCATGGGGATACCATCATTCAAATATTCATGGACGTATTTGGATGAGCGGCCTCGCGGACCTTTAATAATCGATCTCAGGTACAAGAAGGTACGAGGCTGAAACGTTCTTTGTCAATTGCACCGGTCACCAACTTCAAAATGGTACATAGTTAACTCAAAAAGTCTAGCACACCTATCACTTCCTGCAGGTATGAATGTTACATTAACATACTTAATGTTACTACAAGTCCCTGCGTACAGGCCGCCGACATCTGGAAGTACTTACACGCACAGCATAGTGCCAGCGCCTTTCCAAAAGGAACGACCAAGTCACTTTCGGGGCTGTTCACTTCGGTCCATACCAGACGGAGATTCCCAGTCAATATTAAATCGGTTTCCAATTGCCCTGCAGTTCTAGTGAGTCATTCAAGTTAAATTATTTCCTTGCAACTCGGAGCGTTCACGGAAATACATGATTGGTGGTGTCATATTGAAGCAGATTTCAAGCTCGGTGAGCCTATCAATACCGAGGAAAATGATCATATCGCCAAGGGGACATTTGATGAAGAACGTGATGGCAGACCAAGGTCTATAAGACCGGAGAATACGGCATGATAACACCAAAGATGCACATGCAGTCCGAGTAAACCACAGAAAAGAAACGGTACGAGGGAATGAAAGCAACAAGAACATGTGTGCCACAAGGCAAGCACGGAAGCGAGTCCGTTGATACGCTGGGACTACCGTCTTTAAATTGGGAAACCTTGGAAGAATCGGCAACAATATGTACATATTATTGTCTTGCGTCGGGTCTATGTACGACAGGGGTTACGCGTTTTGGGGCACTCATTTCTTCCTGACAAGCTGACTCGCGTGACGCTTATAACGGCACTTCCGTGGCTAGCCCCCATTACCCTAGAGCATTTTTGGCTGAGTGCCACCGGAAGAAGTGCAACATTTTAGGATCTCTCGCGCTTCGAAGAACTTCTTGACCGGCCGGCATGGGTAAATGATAAACGATAACTGAAATGATTGTAATTGGCCATCTTGGCGCGGGTGTTACATGATGTGTGCCGAAGGGTGATTATTAACTTGGTCGCTGAAGGGAAATTTATCGCGAGAACAACGGGATGCACGATATTCCGTTGTTTTCAACTAGAATATGTCCTGAACGGTTTGAAAGCTTACTCACGTTAGCATTGAATCGTGAACACAATCATAACCACCCAAGTTCCCGCGTGACACAAGGTGCACCTACCTCACGCGCACGTTCAATGGAACTGCCGCTGTGTCAACTTTCTTTGAGTATGTAGATCATAATAGATCCTGATCGGTTTAGGCAGTCTTTCGATTTATTTGAGCGATCGATGTTAGCCTAAATCATCCACAGGGGACAAAGCACCATAGCACGTAACCATAAATATCCATGATAATGCAACAGGTCTTTACGATCGCTGTGGAATATCTGCAATTGCTCCATACGTGTGTTGCCGACAATCTATGACCTATTCTCTAAGTTAGCTGATAACTGACAATACCCCGAGAATATATAAATCACTTACAAAACTGTGGCGACAATCCGCCTAGAATGTGCTGCGTGTCTGAATTCGGTTAAGTAAATCCCTAGAACATGAACGGATGTGAATAATTAGGCGAGCTCTGCAGGAGCAAGAGTCTTGACCTTGCCAGGTGCCAAGGTTTAGACGGCCATCGGTAATTGGGATCGAGATGGTGGCACCGATCAAGGATGTCTTCGTGTGAGATACGCTGGGAGAACAGGATTTATGAAAACAGCGCCTTTGAAATTCGACAAAGCGACATACGAGTCACTGTAAGCCACACGCACGTGAGTCCACTTATCAGCAAGCAGTGAACATAGAATAATCACTCTGGGCCTTCGTCCGTGTGCATCCAGTTAAGACTCTCGGGGACGATGTTATCCAGAGCCATGTCCATATCTGTTGAATTGTTCAGCCGGCATGGTCGCCTCCTATTTGTTCATGATGTCTTTCCTTTGCGAACGTCTGAAGCACCGAACATGATGAGCACAGGCCTAGTACTTCACAGAGAACCGACCTCGATCATAATTTTCATTGATTGTTAGCGCGGCTGACGTGTGTTGACTAGCAGTGTTTTGAAAATGTCCGAAATATAGGCTACACAACACTCACATGAAGAGGAAAAGCATCCCAACCTGTGCAAGATGTGATCTGAGCAATGTTGGAGAAATCGCCGAATGAGGTGAATAGTACTAGTCGTACCTTCACATCCTTGATACCTGGTGTGATCTGGGCGTATACCTCATCCGTAATAAGATGACACCCTTTGGATCTTTGTGAAAGCGTAAAGGTTTTCTGCCAGCCCATCGTACGGAAACAACAAAAGAAAGATCGAGATTCACAACTCTAGAGATTCTGATGATCCGGGCCGTTCGGGAATTTGGAAGTATCTCATCGTAGCGGCGGCCCGACTCCCAGACCGGTCAATTCCTTTATTTGATTCCTTCTCCCGAAGGCTTGTACGGTACACAACATCCCAAGATCTGTGTAATACACGTCTCTACTCTTTTCTGGTGTCCAGCCGGCGTTCCCCAGGGTCATCATGATGTTCAGCACTCTTCACAGCAACCGGCTTCTCCCAAGTTCCTTCAAACATACACGCGAACGGCTTTCCGGTCAACACCATCCATTCAGCCTTGTTCATCGTTGGCTTTAGGCCCAACACCTTTTGTATTCGCAAGGCATTGAGGTTGCCCTGAGTTACAGGTAGTATCTTACATTTGAACGGCCCATTCCACATTCCCTATCTACCTGCACTGTAATATCAGTTGTCAATCACAATGTCTCTCTGACGCGTACGGAGGATCATTGACAGCCAAGGTGCTAGACAGTAATACGGAGAGTGGGAGCCGACAACGCACTTAGGTTATCCGCATGACACGAAGGCGTATGAGCAACCCAGACAGGATCGCCGAGCATTTAATGTGGCTATAAGATATTTGAATGCAGGTCCGAAAGAACCAAAGGCTGGAACACAGTACAGTGCATGTATGATGTCATCTCCAAGTGAGCGCGTGAAAATAAGATGTTTTCCTATCCCGGGCGTACCAGAACGTCGGATGTGGCTCTCGACAGAGATAGCATTGGCGGGAAGAAGGCGGATTTGGCAGTTCATTTAAGGCGTGAATTGCAAGGGTCCGCTGTCAGCACGCACAGAAAGTGGTTGCCGTGGCAACATTACTAGTGATACATTGGGTAATACGAGGGATCATAACAATCTGGGCATGAGGATATTTCGGGTGCAACATCATGGGATGGACAGTCATCAAGATTAAGCGCGGGTGCAAGGACTCTTGCGCAAAAATAACGACATGATTACGAGAGATCTGAGGAAACAGCGAGCAAAAAAGCGACAGCTACAGGAGACGACTTACAATAGGGAGAGACAGAGACAGAGAGCGACAAGACATGGCTTACAAGAATCCCAACATTGAACAAGGCCCTGAACTTTGTCAGAAAAAGGAAATCATTCCAGGCAGCATATACAGGTGCCTGGACGTTTGGAGCCGTCGGGACAGAACTTCCCACCCCGTGGAGTCGGGGAAACGATTAAGGTTGCATGCTATTCCATATGCATGCGTCGTTTGTCTCAAGGTGTGTAGATGGCACATTCATTCCAACGCACGACAAAGTATATTCATGAGGCAAATGGGTCCTCAGTAGAAGGCATTAATCGTCCATGCCGAACCTCTTGGCGCGATCTAAACCACCACGATTGCCTGGTACATTACGATTCCTACAGTGATTAGCATAATGGCCCTTTTCTCCGCACTGGATATCATTGATGAGTATTTTCCTTGGCAAATAAATGCACAGAAACAAACCTTGAAACACAGCACTTCATCGAGGTTTCTACGAGGTGGTCCACTACCGTTCGGTCCTCCACTGTGCGACATCACCTGCGGACCCATGGCTCCCCGATCGAAATCAGCATACCGACCATATCCTGGTGGCGGCGGGCCAAGATCACGGTTTGAAGGCGGTGATGGAGGTTCATATGATTTAGGTGATGGTAAGTTAGGTTTTGGACTGTGAACAACAAATAAATCAAGTAAGAAGAGCGAGTATGAATTACACGCACTGGCCACGAGGGCACTCTGGACCTAGGGGGCACAAGCCGGTTAGGTAGAGTTGACAGGCGACACGGCGAACATGCTTGCGAGGGCACGTTGGTCCTATGTTGCAATATCAATAAAATTAATAGGCTTGACGTGACGAGTAACTCGACTGAGGCGCACCTAGTTTGCAGAACCCGCGTTTGTAATCAGGACACTCAACACGGCGTTCCTTGGGATGAGCATAGAGGCATTCATCTCCTGCTGAGCAATAACCGTACTTTGCATACCACCAACACTCTGGCATGCGCCTGAGATTGTATTCATGCAAGAACTCGCACGCATCACCCTTTTTACACAAACCACGTAGCCAATGTTTACAGACTGTAGCTAAACGTTCTCGCTCACGAGGATGTGTGGGTAATTGCTTTGGAGGCTGGAAGTTTTGTGAAGAGGGCGTTGTATGTCGCAAAGGACAGTGAAGTGGTCCCAATGGACATCCAGTTGGGGTCAACGACAGACGACATATTTGATCGTCTTCAGGACATGTCAGTAAGGGTCGGTATTGAAAAAAAAAAACAAGAAATTTACCTTTATCGAGCTTGAGGCCGAGTTCATTTTTTATATACAGTTCTTCAGGAAAGTTGTTCTGGTGGAACTGAGGATGTACGATGTCCTTAAGGGCTGATGGACCAGCTAACGGGTTGGTGGCCATTATTGACAACTCGAAAGCGGAGCCTTTGCGAAGAAGCGAGTTTAGAACACGTCACGGGGCTTATTACGTAAAAAGGGGATGCTTGGCACTAGTAATCTGTACGTAGTCATTAAGGGTTGGATAGTTATATGAATCTTAATGAACACCGAGATAAATATCAGCTGACGAGGGCCCATCCGTAGCCTCACGTTTACCTCGTCAGGCCATCTTCCCTTCTATCATAGAACATGACGAAGCCGCCGTCAGTCAGCGTGTCCCTCACTGACCTTTCGACTTTTTTTCTTGCTCTCTTCGCATTGGCATGGTTCCTGCCACACACGTTGCTTGCCAGCGTTGCCAGGAAAAGACCTCTACCGCCTGGTCCCCCCACAGGTTGGTTTGGGAACTTCAGTTTGCCATCCAGCTATCAATGGCTCCATTATGCGAAGTGGAAAGAAATATACGGTAGGGCATATGGAACACTCAGGGTAATGTCTATATAAGAACATAATGTTTACAGGCGACATCATCTATGTCTACGTTCTGGGCAACCCCATCATTGTCGTCAATTCGGCGCAGGCGGCAGAGGAACTTTTTGAGAGGCGGAGCAGCAAATATTCTTCGAGGTAAGTCTGTTTTGTGACTTGATCTATCTCTTGAGTAATAATGAAAAAACACAGGCCCATCAGAACTATGGTGGTCGAACTGTAAGCACTGCTGTGAATCGATTGCTGAGACGTGGCTGAGAGCCGTAGAATGGGATGGGATTGGCTCTTTTCGTCAATGCCGTACGGGAGGAAGTGGAAACAGCGTACGTGGTCTATTACAGCAGGCATGTAAAATTGGATTTTCGGCCCTCAGACAGATCGCTCTTCCATCGTCACTTTCATAGGCTGCTGACGTCCCAGTATCACTCAGTCTTAATAAAGGAGACTCATACAACTCTTCGAAATTTGGCCCATACACCGGATGATTTTGCTCACCACTTGCGCCGAACAGCCGCAGCTATCGTTATGCGAATTTCGTACGGACATGAAGTTTCGGACAAAGGTGACATTTACGTGACATTGGCGGACGAAGCGATGCAAGGTCTTGGTATGGCAGGCATCTTTGGCTCATTTTTGGTAGATTATCTACCATTTTGTAAGTTGGCTGCACGAGCCATGATCAGCAGTACTGACCAGTGTTCATGCTTGCAGTGAAATACGTTCCTGCATGCATGCCCGGCGCAAATTTCAAGCGTCAAGCGCTGATATGGCGCAAGAAGACCAGGGCCATGATCGACCAACCGTTTCAGGCAGTGAGGGAACGCATGGCGAACGGCACTGCTATTCCATGTTTTGCGCAGAAGGAACTAGAGAAGTTGCAACAGGGCGTACATTCGGATCCCGACTATGAGACTACAATTAAAAATGTCGCAGGTATCTCTTATGCAGGTTGGTAATTTTTTCATTACACAGATATATAGACTCTGATCCAATTTTAGCTGGTGCAGATACGGTTCGCTGCAAATATTCGCGAGTTCTTTGGTGTTCACTTATTCGATTTTGCAGACGGTGTCTACCTTGCTTTCCTTCGTCCTGGCGATGCTGGTTCATCCCGAAGTGCAGAAACGGGCGCAACAAGAACTTGATGATGTTCTTGCTATGGACCGCCTGCCAACGTTTGCTGACAGATCTAAACTGCCATTTATTGACTGTATTGTTTGGGAATGTCTGCGATGGAATCCGGTGCTCCCTATGGGGTTAGCTCGCTTCGTATCTTCAGATGACGAGTACAACGGATATTTTATTCCAAATGGTACCTCAGTCTTGCCCAACGTTTGGTAAGTCAAACGTCAATGAAATTAAAAAGTAATGAAACTTATACATGGTTGATAGGGCAATTCTTCATGACGCCGACGTTTACCCGGATCCATTAATTTTCAGTCCTGAGCGTTTCTCAGACCAAAAAAAGAACCACGACCTTGGTATCAACAAGCTTCCTTGGCCAGCCTTCGGGTTTGGAAGACGGTTTGCTACAAAAACACTCTCATTTGGCCAAAATTATTCACTTCGTTCAGGATGTGTCCTGGACGCTGGCTAGCTTACGAATCTGTTTGGTTTTCCATTGCGTGCATTTTATCCGTGTACTCGATCGAGAGAGGCATTGACGAGAATGGCCTCGAGATTGTGCCTGAAGTTGCATATACTTCCTCCATGATCAGGTGTGTCATGACGTTGCTTTCAGAAGATAAGCTATTGATAGATACGAATCAGCCGACCCAAGCCTTTCAAATGTCGCTTTATACCTCGTTCAGAAAGAGCTGATCAGTTAATCAAGGGTACTGCCCCTTGAACTATATGCATCGGTGGGAGAGAGCGAGAACTTCAGGCTCTTTCCTAGTGATACTTTCTTGGCTTTGCATGCTTGAAGGACGAAATTTTATTATGACAAAGTATGACGCAAGTAGAGCTTGCACGAAACGAATATGTTTGTAATTCTGGCCTGCACCAATGTCTATACTACCATATGCCCAGAACTGTGGATTCCAAACCTGCTTGCCTCAATCTTTCGACAGCCTGGTTCACACAATCGAACCAGGCAACATCGCTTTCTTTTCCCCCTTCGGCATACACTTCAAAAAAGTATACATCATGAAAGGTGGCTGAAGATAGGGACGGTCTTCGGTCTATGCGGGAGATGGGTATGTTGAGTGCCTTGATCGCCCGTGAAGAATCCCATGCCACTGAATCTCTGTCAGGCAAGAGCCGGATTAAAGCACGCTTCTGGTCGGTAGGTGGTGTTTGCCATGGGACCCGAACGTCCACGCCATAGGATACGATATAAAAGCGCGTCACATTCGCTACAGAATCTTAGATCGTTTCCGTGATGCATCATCAAGATTACGTACTTTCTCCATCTTGAATACCAGTGCGCAACGCTTCTAGGCCGGGAAACAGCGAAGTCACAACCGTTGAACAAATCGCTGCACTCTTCAAGGGGTCAAAACCATCGGACGGCGGGTTGAGCAATGCACGAGCAGCACTCGCAGTCGAGTCTTTCGGCACAAGCGATGCTCTTGGAAGGAATTCCTTCAAAAACGCCTTACACTGGCCTAAGGCCTGCAGCGATGAGTCAGAAAGTGCCATAAGCATGAAGGGAAATGTATTTTCACTTGTTCGTGGCTGAAAACGTGTTCGATGTCCTCGATTTTAACATTTTGGCGAACGACCTAGGGAGTGTTCGATCGGCAAGTTTGTCTCCCCTCTCACAAAACTATCTCGACCAACGAATTCGGATCGGAGTAGGTTGTAGGTCTCGATCACCGACCCATTGGTGCTATTTTCTTGGGGTATGATACCAAAGGGCAGCTCAGACGATAATGACTCGATGACGCCTAGAGGACTCAATAGATCACAAATCTGAGTGACAAGGAGAAAACCGACTTACCAGCAATGGTCTGTTTTGCAACATAGTGAACAGAATCGCCAAAAGCGTCAAACGCCGCTTGATGGGAATATGTTCCGGGCGGACCTAAGAAAGTCAGAGCAGGCAGCTCCTGCACTTCATCGGAGCTTGATGCCAATACGGAAAGAGTGTTTGACATCGATAGTCTGAATCGTTCTTCCAGGCTTGTCCAGGGCGTCCAAAAGTCATTAAAATGAATTTACACACACAGTCAAAACGCATGACATCGATGCATGATTGCTGTGTCATACTCGTAGCAAATCAAGATTCCAAAAAAACAAGAGAGTACACGAAGTTGTGGCTGCTACAGTACTTCATGGACAAAGACAAAACATGACGAACTTTACAATACATTATTTATTGCGATAACTTATTAACGAGACAGACTGGTGTTTGGCAAAAAAAAAGCTGGGAAAAAGTTAGGGCTGGGGATCTAGGTTATTTATCTTAAGGAATACTGCCATGTCGGGCTGATTTGTACTTGTCTGCGAGACACTAGCAAGTAGTTGCTGATCGGTGGCAGTGGAAGCTGGTCTCCCGCCCGCAGGACTCGAATGCACAGCTGCCGGGCCAGAGACTTCCGGAATGCAAGCATCCAACATTCTATGATACCGGTCTGAAAATATAACATTGAGTGCTGGAAATAAAAGCCATCCGAACAACGTACACGAAAGGGGAACTCGTTCGGCCATCTTGCTTAATGCCATCCTGAGCCAAGGATTTGTTATTCGGAGAATCACCCCATGTCACGCACCACTAACCTTACAAAGTCAAGCTCTGCTCGTAGGGTGTTTATTTGTTGGACAGAAGCAGCATCCTGGGCAGCGCGGAGGAAACGACCAAAACATTGACCGGCAAGATACCAGCAAAACTAGTAAAGCGGTTAAGATTATAGGCGAGCCTAGGTTAGCTAGCACATACCGGGCAGAAATAGTCCAAAAGCCCAATATCATAATTCGTGGACCACACTGCATATATGAGTTCAAGAATTGCACGGGCACTCTCAAGTATCTTGGCAGCCGAAGTGCAATTGGCCCTATCTATATTGGCGTGAGGTTCATGAAGTAAAATTATTGATCTAGAAATATATCAATGAGCTTGCACGCGTAATAATAAAACTTCAATAACTCACACATGCGCGGTGAGGAAAGTCGTGTATAAGTGCGTGTCCACCAGTCCATTTCTGAACGGGTCTTTTAGATTACCTGGAAACGATGACCGGAACGACACGAGCAACTGATCCAATTCTAGGAAGGCAGGGGACAACCGAATATCTGGCTGATCTCCAAATCCCTGGGTTGCAAAGTTCCTCGCTGGTAGGAATCTCGTCTCTCCTAGATTCGATTTGATCTTGTACCGGTTGTTGAAGTTTTTGATGAAAGAAAGAAGCATAGTGCTCTTGATATACAACGTGAAGGAATCGGTGATATCGGGAGGATGATAGAGCACCGCTTCTCTGACGTGACACCACTGCCGCACGTTATAGTTCACAGGTATCTAAGTAGATTATCAGCTAGCAAGAAGAAAAGCAAGTGTTTGTACTAACCCCCAACTCAAATTGTTCCATCGTGACTGGGAAAACTTGGGCGATGTCATCATCATCAAGAGAGAGCGCCCAACCAGTACCAGATCCATGTTGGCGATCAACTGCGTATGCCAGCCAGAAGGTATTTCTCCGTATTTCGTCCTCAATTGGAGTGCGAGGCGGCGGGATTATGGACATTGTTGGGGAACTCCCATGTAACGAACGAAAGGGAGGGCAAATATTGAGTCCCAACGGTATCGCAACGCGCAGAGATTGGCCACTGCAAGTGAACAACTGTGCATCAAGAGTCGTCAGCGATATTTAATGATTTACATGTAAATCATAGCAACCTCAACCCATCTGCCACAAGCTGGTAAGTAAGAGAACATTCGATAGAAGATAGACTTACTTGGAGTGACACCAATAGTACCACGTCAGTAGAGTATACGCTGGAAGACAGTTAGTTACCACGCAGCCGCTGACATAGAGTCACTGACTTTGCACGCATTGAACTAAGTGTTTACCTTTGTTCAAGTACTTCTCGACCGTTTCTTTAGCGTGAGTTGCTTGTTGCTCTGCAAATGTATCAGGCAGGTCGGGCTGTGCAAATTGGCCTTCGTCTGTCACAAGGTGGTTGTCAGCCAAATAGGCGTTGCAGCAATTAAAAGATAAAGTCTTTACATAGGAAGTCTGCAGCATTTGTGCGAGGTCCTCCAGCTGCAGTGTAGATGGCACTGACAGCGCATATGGCATGTAGAACGGGTGCAATGGGAAAATCTGGATGGTCTGATGGGTATGATAGTGAAGCTATGAAGGTACCCCTGTGGAAAAGGCGAGATGCGTGCGGGTGAAACAAAAAGAACATATCGACCCTGGTGCAAACAGTAAGCCGAAGAAATTGATCTGGGAAACGACTTACAAATGACGAATAAGTTCTGGGTGAGGGAGGCTGACTGGCCAATGTGACCAGATGACGTCTGGTAAGAGAAATGGAGTCAAAATTACAAGAAAGCAAGAGGGGCCGCCGCACGTACCCGTGCTAGATGAAAGCAGGGGAGCATCAACCCTAATGCTTTCACTTTCAATGAGATGTGAATTGTCATTCCAAAAGTACGGAACCGCCTGAGCATTCACGTTCAAATTAGATGGTGACAATAGGGATTCCAGGTCACTTGGGAAGCTCATTGTGGATGCTGATCCGGGACGTGAATTTGATGGCACAGATTGAATAGAAGCAGGTGAATTCTGGATAGACGAGGGGGGTAAACTGCTAGGTGGATTAACATCCGGGGACGTTGTCTGTTCCTTTTGACTTAAAAGTGCCTCGAGCTCCTCTGAGGACAAGAATTTGGTGATGAGTCCCACGAACTTAGCAAACCATATACGTACTTATCCGAGTCTCCAATCGCTCAAACCTGTTCTTGGGACTATCTGATGGGGCAGATGGGGTCTCCGTTGTTGCAACTGATCTGAGATTTGAACACAGGACCAAGCTACGAGCGATGACGCGTACCTTCGTCAAATGTGCATTCCGGCCTTTCCGGCAGGTTTGCCCCAGGCTGCGCATGGTCGCGAGCATGCTTGTGCGAGCGAACACACGTCGAACAGGGTCGCCTGGCATCGCTGGTAGAGTATCATCTGAGCAAGGCAGCTCTCATCTAGATATGACTTTACCATTTCTTGTAGCGGCATAGGTCAGAATCTTGCATCAAATAACATATTAAAACTCACCAATTTGCGCCTTCTGCACTGGTGGCAGGCCTAAAACATAGTTTGAGTGCCTTGGGAGTGAAAGAGAAAAAGTCTAGGACCTGATTTCTTTTGAGTACAGTAGCGCCGCCTGTTCCCGAACCAACTGAACCTGGTGCTTTAGGCATCGATAAGGATTGGAAACGTCTTGATAAAGAGTATGGCAACGAGTGATTACAGCATGCAATCTTGGACCAACTAAGTAAGGTCCGCTAGAGCGAATAGTGGAAGTAGTGCAAGTTCAAAGGCGTTGAAGCGTCGAAGAACCACCAGACTACAATGTCCATCCTAAAACAATCCTATAAGTAACTTGCTCAGCCATATCCGTCCGGGATCATAATATTTATGGCAGTCGACATCAAAACCGCAGTCACTCAGACTCGCACTAAACACGCTACCGCTCGATAACTAAGAACCCGTCATTGACGGGAAAATGCAACATATAGGTCGTAACGGAAGCAACAACATAAATGGGCGTGATATGATATAACAAGGAAAATCCATCTATATGAGCATGGGAATAACAAGTCCACTCTCATACGATAACACAACCACGGCCACTGCGCTTCTTTTCCTTCGGGGGAGGGTTCACTGTAAGTCTGGTTAAACACGTCTCAGTGATGAGGATGAAGACGTATGCGCACAAACAGCACGGATAACCTCATCGAACACGGTCTTCAGGCCCTTCTGCGATAGCGCAGAACATTCGAGATACTTGACGGCACCAATGTCCCTCGCCATCGACACTCCTTGCGTGTACTGGATGGGCTGCATGCGCCTAGATACATCGGGATTAAGGAGAGATCTCAGGTGGCATGCCAGACTTACCGGTCACGCAGTTTCTCGATAGTAGCAGGATCTTCGCGCAAATCCAGTTTAGTGCCAACCAAGACCACCGAAGTTGATGGCGCATGATGCGAAATCTCGGGCCACCACTGGATTGCAGGAGTCAACGAAAACAGCGAGTGTATTTGCCCGAAGAGTGACACACCTTGGTTCTAACGTTCTCGTAGCTAGGTGGACTGACGAGCGAGAAACAGATCAAAAAGACATCTGTCTGAGGGTAAGAGAGTGGACGGAGACGATCATAATCTTCTTGTCCAGCGGTATCCCATAGGCCGAGAGAAATGGTTTTCCCGTCGACCATCACATTTGCAGAGTAGTTGTCGAATACTGATGCTGAGTGAGACGGCAGTACTTTCAGGTCACCCACCGATCATACCTGTTGGTACGTATTCTCCCTATGAAATAACTTAAATATCGCTCCAACATAATCGCGCATAAAACTCACTGGAAAGGCATTTGTGGTATAAGAGATGAGAAGACAGGTCTGGACCACCCATAAATCTCTCAACGCCAGAGCCGCGATGTGAAGGAGAACTTGCCTTGCCGACAGCACCATCACCAACTACAACACCTGAATCTCGTGTCAGCTGATATCAACAGTAGGCAAGCAAGACGCACATTTGATATTGTGCATTCTGATTGAATCCTACTTGGTTGCCTGAAAGAGAAGCCCTCAAGGAGAGCGCAGAATAAGCGAGTGCTTGTATAAACCTGCCAATTTCACAAGGAGATAAGCCCAAGTGGGTTGTGGCTGTCAGCAAACTGAAACAGAGCGTCGCAACTCGAGAAAAGGGTTTAAACATACCTTTAACTCTGAAAGATGGTAGGAGACGGCTGACGACGAATAGACGAAAGAATGCTTTGCGCTTAGAATCGGTGCGACTAGGCTGTACTTGCCTGATAATCCTTGATGGGCCTGTACAATAAATGGATCAACAATACCTTAAATTAGGAATATTTCGTTCATATCTCCGCTTTTTTCTCACATATCCTCATGCGCCAGTGGGATACCGAGTGTACTGCATTTTATTCGTTCGACATAACGGCGCAATAAACACACTAGGTCACAGGGGTAGTTCACGACGTATTTTCGAAGCAAAACTTTGGCGTTGGAATAGCGATGTTTGTGAATTTGAGATCCCACTCCGGAGGAAATCCGGCCACTGGGAAACCCTAACCTTAGGTTACCCAAATGATGACTGTAGGAACAAATACATGTCAAGGCAAAATAGTGTATACAAGTAAGGTAGGTTGGGCATGAAAACAAGGGTGTACAAGTACAAGTCTGAAAGCTGAAACAATTGCCAAAGCCAAGTGAGAAATTCTGGAGCTGATAAATAGTGAAAACCGTTCAGATAACAACATACAAAGGCAAAGCGGATCGAAAACTGGTAGAGCAAACGAACGAGATCACTCAGGTTAACCAAATGTCACCCTGCGTTTCTTTGATGGCGGTGCCAAATCATCAGCAACATCCAGTAACACTCCCTCGACTTCCGCTTCATCCTTCTCCTCTGCTTCACGATGAGAAATATGGGAAGTAGAAAGATCGAACGGTGCCATCAACCCAATGCCTAGGCCGACGAGGCCGTCATCATTGGATTCTGGTGTTTCATTGTCCGGTAGACGGAAATGTCTTATCACTGGGCTTTCCGCCTCTGGACTAGACTGAGGCAGCGATATAACCCTCTTTTCGGGTGGGTGTCGCAAAGTAGATTCAAGCGGCTTGAACGGGCTCCCAAAGGGATCATCGCTGGTCAGGCGGGCAGGGCTTGGTATCGCTGCACTGCTCAAGCTGCTCACCGAAGATGAGAGCGAATTATCAGAAAGCCAACCGCCCTGCAAGTCAAAGGAGTTGTTCATGGCAGTTTTTTTCCGGTCATGACCAGGCTTGCGACGTAGACCGCCACCAAGTGGGGAGTCATTCAAGCGTTTGCGGAAGTCAAGGCGAGTAAAGACTGGAACTGGCGAACGACTATCAGAAAATAAGTGGCGCGGTGAAGGTCTGAAAATGATAGGAGAGCTTCCTTCGGTGAATATGCTGCCAAGGTCGCCGAACGTCTTTCCGCGGAATGTGGTGCTGCGGGGAGTATTCATAACACTCGTCGTACCAGTGCTTGGGGAGCTTGAATCAATAACAGAGCAGCCTTTCGTTGCAGGAGTCGCACGCGCGAGCATGGACAAGCAAAATTCCCTAGCCCCAGAATGGAGGGGGTGGCTTGGACTCGGGAAGCGCCAGGGCTGGTCTGAAGGAAGACGCGGTGGAGAGTGGCGGAACGATGGTGTCAATGTTGGGTCGTAAGGAGACATGGGAACAGCAAATCTTGATATTTTTGGGGACGCACTCGAGTCATCAACTTGACTTGCACGCAAATCATAGGAATCTGTCAGCGTGACTCCTTCATCCAACGGCCTTGGGTGTTTGAGGACAGGAGGAGACGAAAGTGCAGGAAACTCATTTTGTTTAATGACAGGTGCAGAGGGTGCGGATAAATCATCGTCATCTGCATCATCGTCATCCTCTGGGTCTGGGGTAGGTGTTATGCTATTCCTCGAGGATAAGGTTCTTGACTTCCTGGATTTGTTTTCCGGTCCCCTGGAACCCCGACGATCATCTGTATAATTTTCCTTGTCGTGGTGGTGATTTCGTTCCCCTAAAATGAGAATTAGCTATTAGGAGATGTCAACTCTCGAGCATAAGCTTACTGCCAGATCCGCGGCCACCGCGAGTGCGATCATGTCCCTCACGACGATTTGACATGGCAATCTTGTGTTTCTCATATACGTGTCGCCTCCACATGCTTTTTGCATTGACCCCTGCGTACGTTCTCCTGCAGAATGTGCAACGCAGCCTGGGCTCTTCCCCTTCAGGCCAGCCATCAGGGCCCAAAGCCTTGAGATCCTTTTTCTTGGCTGGACACCATCCTCTGGGCGGTTCGAGCTGCGGAGGATAAGGAATTGCATCTGAATTGGTAGATGAACCGTTGACAAAATCGTTCTGATCTAAGAACCAATCTGGATTCGCAGCCATCAACGAGTAGGAGAGGCCTTCCGGGTACAGGTGAGCATTTGGAAAGGCAACGAACGGTGGATGAATAAAAATGATATTCGGGTCAGACAGGGAGGGATCCATCATGGGCATGTGTTGAACTAAGGATGACGCAGAATGCGTCCGCATAGCAGGTTGTAATTTGGGTGGCGGCGGGACGGGAACCGAAGAGCCGTTTGGTGTATATGGCTTTGGCTTAAATGATGCGGCGGCAGGCGTGAAAAAAGGGAGGTCCGAAGCAGACGTCAAACGTCGTTTCAGAACGCGAGTTGCGTTCGTAGATGACGTGGTAGTGAATGAAAGCGAGGTGCTCAGAGTGGGCCGCGTGTCTGACATGGCAGGTGACTGCTAGGCTATGTGTACCGATGATTTAAGATTACTACCCTTAAGCGCCATATATTTTCTGCCCAACACGAGTACTCACGCATAAAAAAGACTTCTGATGGTGTCTCAAACCAAAATGATTAGATATTGATGTATGTGACGGTGGGCGGGCTGGTAGGGGATATCACGGGAGGGGTCGCTACAAAAACTGTCGACCAGGTGATGATGTTACTCACTACGACTATTTCTCACATTTTAAGCGGAGCTGACACGTCCCCCCTCTGTCCTCAACGCGTCCATCACGTGATACTGAATTTCGTGTTACTACGGAAAACAGTTCTTGCAAGACCCTACAATCTTATATTAAGAAATAAAATAACCAGAGCAGGTGTGCAAACAGAATCAACTAATTAAGTATTGACGAAACATGGAAATAAAACACTAGTGCCCCTTTTCGATACTGTTGATGAGATGTGTAGCACCATGATCACACAGCTGGCTATCTTGGAGAGTTTCTGCCGCGAAGCACATGGCGGTCGACTGAACTATCGCACGGTACACGCCAGCACACGATGGGTAGCAAGGCTAGAGCAAAAGGAGTCCTATCCAGTGATTTGAATGGCGCACTAAATCAAACCTACTAGCAGCCCACACTCAAAGGCAAACTTCGACGCTTACGACTGGTCACCGCAACTGGAACTGAGTATGATATATATGGACATTTGTCGACACAAGGAAAAATACGTCCTGCACCACGAGAGTGTGAAAAGTAGTATACAATGCGCATGTTTCCAAAGTGTCATATACTGACATACAACCAGGATGGGACGATGGCCCACGGCAAGACCAAGGCTTGGGAACATCCTAGGTAATACGGAATGGCTGATCTAGAGTGCCAGTGTAATGTACCTAGTCGATACGACAACATAAGCGTGGGTTAGAATTATTGTTATTATTGTTCGGCTTACCCAGCAATCATAAATATACCGCCCAAGGGAGTGATAGGTCCAAGGAACTTCAATCTGGATAGGATGGTATGACGATATTAGAGCACAGACGTTAACTATAAGAGAGGTGCCGCACTTCCACAGAACAAGCGCTATGATGGAGCCAGAGAAGACAAAGCCTCCTCCTGCAATCGCAGGGCCAGCGAACTTGTGCGTCGAAAATCGAGGATGCATCGAGAGCACAAACAAGGCCAGGCCATTGAATATCTTAGCGCTCGAAGTTAGAAAAGAGTCATGGTATACGAGGAGCAGTTGCAAACCGCGTAATGAGACGCCGATCCCCAGGCGGACAAGCCTTCGGGTGTGATGCCTGGTCTGCGCTTCAATGCATGGGAACCAAATGCGCCAGCAATCATTCCTGTAGTAGCTGAGCACCAAGCGCCGCACAACAGACGTTATTCAGACCATGTCAACAAGCTGTGCCAAAATAACTAACCAAGAATAGCCCCCGCCTTCCAAAGGAGCGAGGGTGTTACAAAAGTCGAACCTCGCGGTAGAAGGGGCGTAGACGAGTTGGGAAGCGCCATTTCCAAGAGTACCAGTACTGCTGAAGTGAGAGTTGTCAAGCTTCAGTTGGTGATGTAATCAGTATGCAATGTATTATATTGTTGCCGAACGTTTAGACGCTGTAAAAAAGTCATCAGGATCTGACTGTGTAAGTGCTTGCAGCCAGCCATGGGTAAAGCACAGAAAAAGACAGGAAAGGGTCGGCTTGACAAGTATTACAAGCTTGCAAAGTACGCATTTTCTAGATCATCAGAAATATCACATTATCCAACCCATTGCATCTAGAGAACAAGGTTACCGTGCGCGGTCAGCTTTCAAGCTAATCCAATTGAACAAAAAATACACATTCCTCGAATCAGCCCGATGCTGCATCGATCTGTGCGCGGCACCTGGAGGTTGGCTACAGGTGGCTAGCAAGTACATGCCGACAAATAGTGTTATCGTTGGTGAGTGTTTTACAGACACTTGAAATTCATTCTCTTCATTCGTTCACTTCACCCTGCAGGCGTGGATCTTGTACCAATAAAACCTATACCTCGTGTGGTCACGTTCGCCGCAGACATTACCACCACGCAGTGTCGTAACCTCATTCGTAGCGAGATCAAGGATTGGAAGGCGGATGTTGTTCTTCATGATGGTGCACCGAACGTCGGTACTGCATGGGTACAGGACGCATACAGCCAATCAGAGCTTGTACTGATGAGTTTGAAACTTGCTGTGGAATTTCTCATCAAAGGCGGGACATTTGTCACCAAAGTTTTCCGAAGTGTCGACTACAACAATCTCATTTGGGTCTTCAACCAGCTTTTCGGAAAGGTAGAAGCTACAAAGCCTCCGTCATCTAGGTGCGTCTTGTTATCCTGGTAATGGTATCTAATATTTACGTGGAGATAGAAATGTGTCTGCTGAGATTTTCGTTGTCTGCCGGGACTTCCTTGCTCCCAAACACATTGATCCCAAATTTCTGGACCCTAAACATGTTTTCAAGGATCTGTCGACTACTATTGCGTCCGGTACAGACAAGGGTACCTCTGCAAACAACGCACAAGCAAATGTGTTTCAACCTGAAAAGAAGCGTCGGAAACGTGATGGTTACGATGACGGGGACTACCTTTTATTTAAAAAGGCTTCTGCAGCTGACTTTATTCGGAGTGCTGATCCAATAGCTGTGCTCGGACTGGTCAACAAAATAACCTTTGAGTTGCCAGAGGAAAAAGAGTATGACCGTTAGTCCTCTGACGTGCCATTTTAACGTGTTCTTCAGGTGGTTACAACTTGATATCACTACTCCCGAAGTTCAAGCAAGTTGTGAGGATTTGAAGGTGCTCGGCAAGGGTGATTTCAAGAATCTGCTCAGGTGGCGGACTGCGCTTCGTCAAGAAGTCAGTGGTGCCGTTTTATTTCACTGCTTACGGTCGCTCACATTTGCCCGTAGATCGGGTTAGACGTGAAGGCGGAGAACACTCAAGATGTTACAGAGACCGTCGAGATCACCGATGAAGTTGACGAAGAGCAGCAGATTCGAAATGAGGTCTGTCCTCTGGGCCTATGGTTTTTCATCGTTCTGACTCGTGTATTAGCTCGAAAGATTGAACGCTGAGGCAGCTGCGCGTACTAAACGCGAACGTCGTCGTGCAAATGAGATCAAGACCAAGACAATTCAACGAATGCAACTTCAAATGACCGCTCCATTAGATATCGGTCTCGAGCAAATCGATGCTTCGCTAGGAATGGGCCAGGAAGATATGTTTGATTTAACGGGCACTGAAAGGCAGTTGAGAAATAAAGGTGGGATTGGGATCATACGGGTGGATGACGACACACCGGAGGATGAAGACGAAGATGAGGTGGTGGCAAGGGATGATGAAGAGGATGAAGTCCTTGATTCTGATGAAGAAAGGGATCGAAAGGCGTCACGGCTCGAGGCAGAAATGGATGGCCTATATGATGCTTACCAAGAGAAGCTGAAGGAGCGCGACTCAAAATTCCAGGCTAGAGAAGCGAGACACAGGAACGGAATGCTGGAGGAATGGGGCGGAATTCAGGATGGCGATAATAGTGAAAGCGACGAGGAAGGCGGATGGGATCAAATGGAGGCCGCAAAGGGGGACAATGACGATTCCTCGGATGAAAGTGATGATGAGGAACACGAGATGCCAGGCCGAAAGAGGAGAAGACCTCAAGCAACAGAAATCAAATCAAATAAGAAGGTCAAGCTCGTGACGAAGCTAGAGGAGCCAACCGTAGGGGGTCGTGCTTCCCAGGTATGGTTCAGCCAAGACGTTTTTGGCGGTGTAGAGGATCTAGATGATATAGAGGGTGAAGAAGAAGGGGAGGAGGATGTAGACATGGCATCAGCGCAGCACGATGGTAGCGAGGAAGAATGGCAGGATGATGTACGTCCCAAATCATTCATTTTAAGTTTCATGCTTATGAGATCACCTAGTCTGCTGTTTCATCTGATGGTGACTTTGAAGTTGTGCCCCAGCGGGATGACAACGACATTGAAATGTGGGACGCTGAGGGCGAAAACCAAGATGAGGCTAAGAAGGAACATATCAAAAGTTCGTGCGATGGGCTCACCTGGTATTTTCGATGAACACTAACCAATGTTCTAGAGTATGGCCTAACTACAGCGGAATCTGTGTCCATTGCTCAGCGATTAGTAAATCGCCAAACTACCAAAACGCATCTTCTTAATGACGGATTCAACCGCTATTCTCTCAACGCAAAAGACGACTTACCGTCGTGGTTCTTGGATGATGAGGGAAAGCACTACAAGCCGAATATCCCCGTGACTAAGGAGGCTATTGCTGCTCTGCGAATGCGTCAACGCGCACTGGATGCACGTCCAATCAAGAAGGTCGCAGAGGCCAAGGGGAGGAAGAAACTACGGGCAACACAGCGGCTGGAGAAGGCGATGAAGAAGGCGGAGGGTGTGAACGAAACATCAGACATGAGCGAGCGCGAGAAGGCAAAGCAGATAGAGAAGCTTATGCGCAAAGGAACTGCAAAAGCAAACAAGAAAAAGGAAACGAAAGTGGTGGTTGCAAAGGGTGCTCAGAAGGGTGTCCAAGGCAGACCAAAAGGCGTCAAGGGGCGTTATGTTATGGTCGATGCAAGGATGAGAAAAGAGGTAAATCTTTCGTGTGCGTTGATCTTGCAGAAACTGACTTTTGAACAGACACGCGCCAAAAAACGGAGAGACAAGGCAAACAAAAAGCGAAAATGAGCACGATCAGCTTACCACCATATTACAATCAGTTTCATGCAATGTCCATACCATTCATCGTATTCGTGCATCGATTATTAGTATAGTGTATACAATTGATGGTAAGTTAAGGGACTGGGAGATCTGTCTTGAGACCCTGAGCAGGGATTGAAATGGTGCTGATAAGGTCACACGATGCAAGGAACCGAGTCCAAGCTTCATGACCCATAGAGTTATCATACGTAACCTAGTTCATGAATAAGCCCATCATAAACCCAAATCTCGTGGTCACACACCTGACAAGTTGTAAACTTCTGGTTGCTCTCCAAGTCCAACACGCTTTCTGTTATGACTCGCGCAGAAATAGACTGCTTCGTGTGCCCGCTAGCACCCGTCGACAGCTGAGGTGTCTCGGTAACCTTACGCACACTTAAACTAGTCTGAAGGAAGTAGGTCCGACCGCGAAAGTTGAGTGTAGCGGGCGGCTGTGGTTGAATTGCTTCACGGTCTTGAGATGTTAAGCTGCAAAGATGGGATGAGTGACTAAATATGAAAGTCTGCTTGAAAGAAGCGTACAAATGTCGAAGCTGCTTCGTATAATCAACAAGCAGCGGAGGCTGGTCACTTGCACAAACATCTGCATGTTCAAAGACAGTGAATTGGACATCCATTGGACTACCCCAAAATTAGTCCATATCACAGTAGGCTGGAGAATTAACGAACCGATCAGGCATCATGATATCCAACGTGGATTCAACGCCTTCGAGGCATGTTGCTTCGGAAACGTTGACAACCGCTTCTTGAGGGTTCCGCTCTGCGTATTTTAAAGGTCCTTCTGAAGTGGCCAAGTCCTGGAATGACTCCAGAGAATATGAAGGGTCATGATCAGCATCGAGTTCCAAAGTTAAATCACCAGCCAATTCGCGGTCTGAGTCACTGTGCTCAAGTCCTGCCGCCTTGGTCTCGGCCGTATTTGACGTCGAGAACTCCAATTCTAGCTTGATTAATTGCTGATGAAGACTATTCTCAAGCTGGGACTCTGGAAGCGTGCGATACAAGACGCGGTGAATGACTTTTTGGTTAGAAGGTGGCGAGTTCAATAATGTAGCAGGGAGACTGGAAGCCCAGATTAAGACATGGTTGAAATTACTGTAGCATCAATAGACATACCTGGGAACGAATGTGAGCGGGGTATTAGAAGTGTGCAACCATTTGAGAATTTTCGATAATGTCCAATTTCCCTTTAAGGGGGGACTGAGGACGCTATGTCCGGTCGGTGATCCAGACCCAAGAATGATGTGTCCAAAGCTTGGGTGATGTCAGAAAAAGCGCCCTTGATCTAGTGAGCACTTACGAGGCAGAGACAAGTCTCTCGTGACCAGAGGTCTTTGGGGCACCCAGGAGCAGTGCCTCAAGGTCTGTAGATTCCCTTCGAGAAAACGTCAATAGAAATCTCAAGCTGGCTGAGGGGAGAAGCTAACTCAGTTTTTGTTACTACTTTTCCCTGCCCACCTGCCAAGCCACCAGTCTTCGTCATGTCTTCGGTGGAAGTAGCACTGAGCCAATCTGCAACTCTGCGAACCCGGAAAGATCCACCTTTCATCATCGTCCAAGGCAAAGACCGAGGAGAGAGGAAAGGGTAGATAGAGTACGTGTGCGGCATGAAGGAAGGCGCTACAGAATGCTCCAGCTTTGCCTTTGTTGGCACATAACAAAGGAGAGGTGAAGAATAGCCACCTTGAATCTAAGCCGTTTATCAGTCCAGTAGGATGGCCGCCATTCGTATAATGACGCAGCTAACCTCTGTTGAAGCACGGATAGCAAGCCGTTTTGCAGTGTCCATTTTGTCCGTGTCTTTAGCACAAATCCTGATCTAAATGCACTTTCAATACTTGCTTAGATGATAGGTAGTAGAACCTGCCTTGCCCTTGTGGCCAAGGTTCTCCACATAAGCACCGGCAAGACGTGATATGCGTTGGACCAGGTCCTGACGAATAGGTTGTTTTGAAGGCAGCTCGACAATTTCATCAATGATACCCTCAGAACAGGTTAGTTTTCTATCATCGGCGTGAACTTCGGTAACCTTACCTTTTTCAATTCACTTAAGTGCTCTGTGAGTTGTTTCATTGTGCCTCTCAATCCCTCCACCCGCAAGGCAAGTGGATTAGAAGCTAGCGAAATGTGGACGTTATATTGCATGGAAAGCTGCAATAAGTCGGCACCATCTGGAAATTTAGTCGTTACAAGAGGAATGTCATGAATTGATTAGATTTCACCTTTCCCAAGAATGAGAAATAGTTGACTGGGGTTGACAGAGAATGCTACGGAAATCAGCTCAGCATGGAAGTAATATGCAGAACAAAACTGACTCTTTATAACAACCTCTGTCTTATCCCTCTGCCTTCTCTCGATTTCCTTCAGGGAGGGCCAGTTCCACTGCTTCTCCATAATGGATTCCGCATATTCTACTTTCCGTCTGGAACTACGTGTCCATATAGGGTCGAGGTTATACAACTCTGTAAAATTCCGTAGCTGGTCCTTGCTGAAGGACCGGCAGAGTGTGTCCAAGAGATTATTGTACTCTTCTGCATATTTAGACGACTCCGGTGACGAGTGTCTCTTAGGTCTGCAGCGCTCTATGTCATCCAAGGTTGGTTCCAAGCCAGCAGCGTGTATTGAGGCGAGGTATAGGTCGACACGAGTCGGCTCTAGTGGATTTCGAGACTGTGAGGATGTATTATTCTCCACTAGCTTCTCTGCCTTCGTTTCCCTGGGAGCTTGGGCCCGCTTTGGCGTTTTTGTCTTCGCTAGCGTATTACTAGGTCCAGCAGATAGTGTTTCTGTCTGCTGAAGGTTACTTATTGGAACGGTCGAGGTCGCGAACGCTGCTTGTGACGAGTAGAGTCTGTGACGCCGCCAACAAAGACACGATGAGCACAGAGAGCGCGATGCCCGTAGTAGCGACATCCAGAAAGAAAGCCTAGTGCCGGTCCACCCTTCAAGCTTCAAGAATCTTCAAGTTCGGGCAGAAAACTAACTATAGTTCGCAGTGGCAAAGTACATGTACCACGTGACTACACATAAAGCACCGCCAAGTAATCGTAACGGCGCTCGACCGCGCCAGTCCCCGACCGTAACGATCAATTTATTAGTTTGATCAGAGTTTATATAATAGTTTATGCATCATGAGTATATCTCTACATACAGTATCTACTAGTGCAGGTAAAAACGTAACAGACATAGTAACATCATATTCACTATCATTCAGCATCTTATGGGACCGCCAATCATACTAGCAGGCGCACGGTGAGCATATCGGCTCAGCTTCGTTCCCCGGTCAGCCGACATGCTCACCGCGACAAGAAGCAGCCTGAGAGACTAAGTGAGAGTACTTTTCGGCGCGGACAACACTGGCACACGAAAGTCGGATTTGGATAACTTACATCGTGCAGATGACAGACAACAGAAGGGTGTTTTGTGAAAAACAGGGAGCACTGTGGACCGTCTGCAGCAGATAAATGAACAATCGTAGTCGTAAGTATGACAGGGAGAACGCTTGACATTTTGATTCAGACAAAAGATGTTAGCATCGGACACGGCACCCAGTAACCAATAAGGGAAGTGATTTCTACGCATAAAAGGACAGACAGCATGACATTTATTTCCTACAGAACCTTCTCCCGCTAAATTGGGTGTCGGGGATAACTTCAAGTATGCCTTTATATTTCAGCAGAACCGGCTTCAGCGACATGGTGGTCTGCGAGCATCCCTTTCTCATCATCTTCGCCTACCTCACCTTCCCAACCATTGTCAGCGAGGTATTTCATGAATTTAGCGTCTTCGTCGGCGAGGTCAACCCCAGTCATGTCTGGGACGCAGAAATACGTGATCAGGACACCGGTTACGCCACAAATAGCGGCAATGATGAACGTCCACCTTCAAAGGCAGTTCAGTGAGTGGATTCACATCAAGGAAACCTTCTAACGCACTGTTTACCCAGATTGTTCTGTATGGGCGTGAAAGCCTGAGTGCCTACGGCTGCTCCGGTCTTCCCGATAGCAGCAGATAGGCCGTAGCAGGTGCCGCTGTTGACTAGTTTGTACTTTGCACGGGATCACCTAATCGTCATGAATGACGTACCGGATTGGAGTCGCATATGACTCGGAGCTCGTCAGACCAAGCATATCACCAGGTCCCTAAGAAATGTGAGATGAAATGTCGCTGGGTTCATGAAAATTGCACAGATACCATGTTTCCAACTGACTGCATAAGCCCATAGCTATGAGAAGCTGTGAAGGAGGGACAAACGGGATCTAATGAGATGGCTCACAAAATGACGAATAATGGTATAATTTTTGTGATCTTGTTGTAGGCCACTCCAATGATAAGGCCAAATAAGAGGTATCCAGAGAAGCCGAGCATCATCTAAATACAAATCAGTATGTGCTTATGATCAAAGAGGCACTGCCCACCGTATTTCTTCGACCCAGTCTGTTACAGAGATAGGCACCCACGAAAACGCCGGGGAGTGCAATTACTCCGAGAAGAAGTTGCCATTCTGCCGTCGCCTTTATGTTGCCATTGTTGATAACGCTCGAAATAATGGTACCCGAGAACACACCGTTAGGGAATGTGACCTGAAGGAAAAAGGTGTGAGATGTGCGAATAGCACGCCCGCAATATTTGGCTCACAAAATCGTAAAGAAACCTGGTTCTACGATTAGATACAAAGCAACCAGTGCCTTTGATCCGAGAACGACTCACCAAGCCCCGCAAGTTCCGATCAGCTCTCGCCAATAACGCTTGAATACGAGTCCATATGGGACGCGACCTAAAATCACATTAAGAACAGGGATATCAGAGCAGACTTATACATACGCTTGATAGCACCCTTGCGGTACAGCTTAGAGCTCAACATCCGAAGACGGAAGAAGAATACAGTCAAAGGGAGCAATATGCCAATACCAAAGCACACGCGCCAGACCGTCTCTAGATGGTTCTCTCCAGCAGCTGATAAGGCAATCAGAAACACCGATACAGCGAGGGGGCCGCCAAACTGATTCGAATTGTTGAGATCTCCGTCAGAATGGGATGAGCATACGCACGGATAGAACAAAGTTCGTGACCATGATGAATACTGCTCACTTCTTAATGTCATAAATACTTCGGATAAATGGTATAAACTAACCTGGACCGCGATTTGTCTGTGTCGTCTCGTTTGCAGCTTCGCTAGCACTCGTGGAAGAAGCCGGATATTCACCTCCAACGCCCTAACAAAATTGATCATTGAGAATGTATCATGAAAAATTGCATACAACACCCGTGATGCCTCGAGCGATAGTTAAGAACCAAAACAATCCCTGGGCGCTTCCATTGGCACCGTGGGCCGCGGTACCAAGGGTAGCACCAATGACAATCAATAGGGTTGTTGAGACAAGGGCGGCTTTGCGTCCCACTCTATCACAAATCAAACCCACAAATATCTGACCAAGTACAGCACCTTTTAAATGTCAAAATCAGATATGTGCAGGCGTCGCATTCCTACTAGTACCACCACTCACCAACTAGCAAGGAATTTGAGACCCGAGTGGACACATTAGTTGTGTAGTCATTTGGGTATAGTTGCTTGAAGATAACCTAGTAAATCAATTCAGGATCCGAACTTTCCTATTACTGCCTGATGCCGACGAACGTTGCTCATCGTCATCAGATTATTTTGGTCTGTGATAGATCAGGTGACCAACTGTTATCTGCGGTTTAAGGCCAAAACCTACAACCGTCACTGATCAAACCAAACCCAGCGGCAAGGATGGCGAAATATGCACTGAGCGACTCTTTTTTGTTGCGGTCATGTGCTGCAGCCCCTTGGTCCGCTTCATAGGTCTTTGGAGTGACCTTACGAAGGTCACCGGCCTTCGGCTCCTTCTCATCAGCGGAGTTGACATCTTTCTCGACAGACATAAGTTCTGAGGGTGCCTGGAAGAAAACAAGCTGGTGGGAGAGATTGAAGGGCTCACGACTCATTTCGTAGATCCATCATTTTATAAGTGTATACACGTGCTACAATCATAGTGAGGCTCTGGAGGATTACTGTATGTTACATATTTAGTACTGTACCGTAAACGCTCAACGTGAATCACCTACATCCTAATACAGGATGCTCATAGTCCTGAGGCCTAAACGTTCAAACGTCTAATCATCGTCAATGAGAACAGAACGTGTCTCATAGACGAGCACTCGTCCAGAGCACGATTGTGCCCCAAGGTGCAAATTGTACATGCTGCCTTTCTCGGTGAATGTGAATAGCGGACAACAACCAACCGAAACCAATGTCATTCCGAAAGATGATAGTCTGAATCATCAATATATCAAAGGGATAAACGATAAACGAATTTCATTGGCCGACTACGCTGCTGATGTAACTCAGGCACCCCATATGGTAAGTACCCCCGTCAAGCTCCTTGAGCAGGTTGAAACCTATCATAAGCATAGAATCAAGAACGTGGATGGAGATGTTGTAAGTGCGTAGCCTAGTAAATTAAAAGAGCGCCGAGCTTTTCCGACCGTTGGATTGATGTATACGCCTGTAAGTTCCCCAGATTTGCGCTGCCAAATGAATCATTAATGAATGCTCGCAATATGCCACGTGTACGCAATTTTAGTTCTCGATACAGCTGAAACTTCGCTCGGCGGATTGATGGAAGGTATATTTCCAAGGTAATACCGGGATGCGTGCATTGGCCAAACAGAAGCATCAGCGCCGTGCAGAGCGCAGATACAATTCTGTTGTTTGAACAGTTGCTTTCGCTTCACGAAGAAGCACGGAAGTTGAGTCAAACATTTCCTGTGACAATTCTGGGATGACCTATTGTGCGTTTCCGCAAGTCAATGATACTCAACGAACAGATGGTGGGAGTCTCCAAGCACTTGCATCTAAATCGACATCACGGAGAGGCGATTCCAAGTCAGCGCAATACACAATCGAAGTGTCCAATTGTCATGACCTCACGTAAAGTTGTACCAATGCCAAGTATGCATAATATGGTGTGCGCACATAAGGATGCCCTGGTGGGGCATGTAAGTCATAAGGAAGTAGGGCGAGGGGTACTACCAGGCTTGAACAGCAGATCAGCTACCATCCTTCAAGAGAAGAAGGTATGGGGGACTCGGCGAATTTCAATGCAGGAGAATACAGCGAGAAAGTATCGAGTGTAAATGTGGCATACAGCATTGTCCGAATTAAGCGATTACGAGCAGGGGCGTCTGCGAGTGAATATTGCCTCATGCCAGAAGTGAGACGATGAAGAAGTATGAGCGCTAGCCTTCGTATGTGACAGAGCGGGAGAATTGGGAGAGGGTGATATGATAGAAGATAGCCATCTATAGCGAACGTCCAGGCAATGTTAATGCAGACCGGGAGTGAGATCTTGAGACAGAAAGGAGGACACTTGACTGGAATTTATGATCCGAACCGCGTTTATGTGATCAAGTACTATGAATAGAATTTGGCGTGCCCGAACGAGCTGGTACGAGAAAATTATACAATTTTCCGTGCAGGATGGTCGCCCCAAATATTAGCATGATGAGTGATCCTGTCGCAGCCGTAACCGCAAATGTTATAGAACGCACGTTATCGAAATTGACTTGCGATTGAGCCGGCACCATAGAGCCATCACAAGCAATAAGGAAATCTGACAGACGCTCGCGACCAAGCTGTGGGGAGCTAACTTTGAGCTAACTCCTTGCCAGTGTTGCCAGCTTGGAATGTAGTAATTATGTAATTCACGCAAAAGGATACTCCGCTTGAACTTTATTTTTGTGAAGCCAGACTCTACGGCCGACGAGAGCAGCGAGCAAGGTAAAATGGCCAGTCTTAACGGCACTTCACACAACCCTATCGACGACGAGCTTGATTTTTCAGAGATCGAAGCCAAGTGCGAATTTCTTGCACTTTCTGTTTAACTTCTGCTCATTTTCTCCCGCTTAGATATCGCGTGGACTTAGACGATGGCTTCGACAGTATAATTGTGGTCGACGGCATACCTGTCATCGACAAGTCTAAGCTCGACAAGTTACTCGCAAAGATCTCCAAGGAGTTTTCCAGGAGAGGGGCCGTGATTAAGCCAGATGACATTTTTGTACCATGGGACGATAATGCAGGAAAAACCAAAGGGTACGCTCGCTCTAGCCCTATTGCTATACTCTGAGAACTAAAGTATGCTAGCTTCATCTTTGTTGACCTTGGCAACCCAGATGCGGCTGCCTTTGCGGCCAACGCGATGAACGGACACCCTTTTGATGCGAAGCATACTTTCCGCATCAATCGATTCACCGACATTGAACGCTATGCAAACATTGACGAGACATACGTTGAACCCACAGTGGAGGAATACCGTCCAAAGGTTTGACTTCTCTACCACGATAAAGATGTCAGACTCACTTGCCAAAGGAACATCTCCGAGCATGGCTCGCTGATTCTCAAGGACGTGATCAGTATGTGACTTACCGAGGCGATGACGTGGAAATCCACTGGCACGGGAAGCCCTCGCAATGTGAAGTTGCCTACGCAAAAAAGGTATGTGGCTGTCCCAGTCATCATTCCATTCGCTAAATTTCTTGAAAGAATTGGACAGAACTTTACGCCTCATGGTCACCACTTGGTACATACTTTGCTACGCTTTTTCGTCAGGGTGTCCGCCTGTGGGGTGGACCATCATGGGAACCCCAACATCGTTTTGCGCACCCCCTCGTCAAGTTGATCGACTTTTCTCCATGCGAAAATTACCTCGTCACTTGGTCACATGATCCTATCTCAGTCCCCGCTAATCTCCCTCAAGGTCCTGAATTCTTTTTCTCCCGAGGACGAGGGCAATAACATTGCCGTTTGGGATATCAAGTCCGGTCAACTGCTTCGCACGTTCCCCACTACGTCTTACGAGAATGAGGATCCAGCGATGAAGAAACAAATGCAGTGGCCTGCCTTGAAGTGGAGTTCCGATGATAAATTCGTTGCTCGTGTAACACCAGGACAGCATATCAGTGTCTACGAGTTACCAACCATGGGTCTTCACGACAAAAAAAGTTTGAAAATCGAGGGGGTTGTGGACTTTGAATGGTGTCCTCACGGAGAGAAGGACAAGGAAGACGCGGAGAAGGCTGCGAAAGCCGAGAAAACCGAGAAAGGTGCCAAGAAAAGGGAGAACATGCTTGCTTATTGGACGCCTGAAGTCGCCAACCAACCAGCGCGAGTGACCCTCATTAGTTTCCCGAGTCGCACTGTGCTACGACAAAAGAACTTGTTCAATGTTACAGAGGCAGGTGTTGTCCGTCTATTCTGTGGTTGGTCCTTTATTGAAGATCGATGCTATAGTGTAAACTTCATTGGCAAAATCAGGGTGACTTCCTTTGTGTCAAGGTTGACCGTCATACCAAGACCAAAAAATCTATTTTCTGCAATCTCGAGATTTTCCGAGTTCGCGAGAAGGACTATCCCGTTGAAGTTGTCGAGTTGAAAGGTGCAGAGACCCCTGACCTTACCGGATCGTTCACTAACATGTCATATAGACACAGTGACGGACTTCTCTTGGGAGCCTAAAGGGGAGCGATTTGCTATTGTGTCAAGCAACGACCCAAACCTCGGTAACCCTGGGCCCGGAATTACAATTAAAACCGACATCGGCTTCTACCAGCTGGATCGTGCCAAAAATGATTTCAAACTGCTTCGTATGTACTATCAACATTGGTTGGCTTTGTTTTTTGACTTTTCCACAAACAGGCACGCTTACGTCAAGGACTAGTAATACGATACGTTGGTCTCCTCGAGGCAGACATGTAGTTCTTGCGACAGTTGGTTCATCGACCAAGTCCGAACTCGAGTTCTGGGATCTGGATTTTAGCACTGAAGAACGCCGAGAAGGCCAAAACGTAAAGGAAGAATGGGGCAGCGGTATTCAGCAACTTGGTTCTGCCGATCATTATGGTGTAACTGATGTGGAATGGGACCCAAGTGGGCGATACCTAGCCACCAGTGCAAGCGCATGGAGACACACGGTCTGTCGCCCTTGTGGTCACCACTGTGCTGTGCTAATTGTTTTTGTGCTACACAGCTCGAAAACGGCTACGCTATTTGGGACTTCCGAGGACAAGAATTAGAAAAGCACATCCTTGATCGCTTCAAGCAATTCATTTGGAGACCGCGGCCCCGCAGTCTTCTTACAAAGGATCAGCAGCGGCAGGTTCGCAAGAACCTGCGTGAGTATAGCCGTGCATTCGACGAGGAAGATGCTGCGGAAGAGAGCAATGTCAGCGCGGAGCTTATTGCTCATCGTAAGCGCCTCCTTGACGAATGGAACGCATGGCGCGCACGGTGCAAGCGAGACATTGCAGAAGAGAAGCGGAGTCGTGGACAAAAACTTAATGGCGAGCACCACGAAGAGGAAAAGGAGGAGATTGAGGAATGGATTGATGAGGTTATTGAGCAAATCGAGGAGGAAGTCGTGGAGTGAATGTTCCTGTATTTAGTCGCAAGCATACACGTTGCTTTCCTATGCCCTATTATAGTCAGTTATCTCCATTTATGGGGTTGCACGGTGTTCCGTCGAGGGTTCTACCACTCGACTCGGCTGTTATCGGACTTCTCCACCGAGGACCGAGCCGGTATCTAATCTAACATTCAATTCTCTCTCGTGGTCGCCGCTGGCGCTAATCACAATACCTGTTTGATATCGTATCGCATTAAACCAACCAACCATAACCCTTCCAAGCTCTCCTGTTCTCCTGCTTAACGACGCTTGCCATCTAATTGGCGCTCATTTTTCAAGCATGGTACCTATTGGACCATCACTGGCAGCCTCAACCTCAGCCTCGACACTATGGGCAACAGGTAAGCTTGATCTGCAATTCTGAGCTACTTAGTTCCAACACAACCGTCTGCAGCCTCAAAGGAGTGGGTGATTCCAGCTAAACCCAAACCCGGGAGAAAGCCCAAAAAGGAGAGTTCTGTAGGCCCTCCAGCCCCAAAGGATGATGAGGCAAGTACTTCCCTACTACCCTACGCTTCATATTGTTGACATTGACCGCAGGACTCGGAGTCTGCAGGTAGGCGTGTTCAAAACAGGTGGGAAATTAAGCAGTCCTCTGGTACCGTCCGCTTATTCTCACTTCAGAGCCGCCCAACGTGCATTTCGCGAGCGCAAGCAGTCTCAGCTTGCTGAGCTACAAGCTCGTCTTCAATCTTATGAACAGGGAGAAATTGAGCGTAATGTCGCACTCCAGAACGTTGCGAAGAAAATGAAGGATGAGAACGATGAGCTCAGGAAGGAGAATCAGATGCTGAAAGAAAAAATTGCTCGTCTCGAGTGGGATACAGATTCGAATGATGGAGACAGAAAGAGGAACAGGGAGAATATTGTGGTCATGTCACCTAGCATGTCTCCCCAAGGATCTATTCGCAACAGCAACAAGCGAGCGAAGATGGAAGCCGAGACGATGGACTCACCGCAGGGCCATTTCACCTCCTATAGCCCACCATCAACTTCAGTGGCTTCCTCTCCTGATGACGGAACCACCCCCAGCTTCTCTTCAGCAGGCCACGAACGTCGTTCAGGACTTTTTCCCACACCCCCACCTTCCCTCACACACATGCTCAACTACCCTCCGTCAGAGCCTGTCCCAGCATTAGACGCACAAGATTCAGTGGATTCTTTCCAATGTGTACTGTGTAGTCCAGAGGTTCCTTGCGTTTGCAGGGAGATGGACATGGAGCAAGCCGTCGCTGACAATAATTTAAGCCACATATCACTCAAACCGGAACATGATCATTCTATTATGTCACCTATGGACCAACCCACGCAGCTGGCGGCATCTACATCTTCGCAAATCAACATTCTCGAGAACCTCCCGGCATACCAAGCGCCTGTCCCAATACGTCGACGAATGACGGGTCAGAGCACAAACCCAGTCTTCTCTGTAACTCCGATTTCGGTCCCATCGTCATCCGCTAAATGTTCAGGTGACCCTGCTAATTGCATGGCATGTTCAGACGACGCTTTCGGAAAGGCGTTTTGCCAGGCAATCGGGCACTCCGTCAATTCGACGTCGCCGTGCATCGACTGCCCTGTACGAGCTAACCAATCTGACAATATTGTTGTCGGTGGTTGCTGTGGTGACATTACGAAGTGTGGGTCTTGTGGCATAGCGCCCATGATTTCGTCCACGAATCCTCCTTGCTCTGAGACGTCGATACCGACTGACGATGCTTGGCGTCAGCTCAAGTCGCACCCAAATGTCGCATTCGCAGATCTGTCACTATTAGCCGAAGTGGTTGCTCGTAGATCCAAGTGCACTGGCTCACGGGTGGTAATATCACCGGCGCCAGGATCCATTACGCCTGAACGTAGCACACTCATGGCGGGACATTCTCGCCAGGGTGGATCCACGGCACTAGATCATCATTCAATGCTACTGACGAATCCACATGGGCGGTACCATCAACAGCAAAGAGAGCAGTCCCCGCCACCAATGCTTGTTCCGCAAGAGGTGTTGATCGAGTGTGGACGTCGAAGGATGCGGGAGGTGAATGCAGATGGCGTCAGAGAAGCGCTCCGACTGCTAGATTCTAAGTTTGCACATGCTCGATAAGTGCACATGGATATTCTGTATGTAGTATTTATTAACCGTGTCGCGTTATCATATATGAACATCCATTCCAACTTGCATAAATGAGTTGTTCCTATTCCTCTTTATGTGGATATCCATCGTGTCTATCAATCCTACCGGAAAGCGGGCGAGACCCCGTCCACTCCTCAAATCGCATCCACTCCGTTTTGATTGCCTTCATCTTCCAGTGCAGCAGACGTTGCTGACGCATAGACAATTTGCGCCTCCCATGCTCCGGGTTCAAGCTATAGGAGCGAAATGTTACGGCTAGTGTGCGGAGATCGACGTGTTCCAGCTCGGGAGGAAATGGTTGAATTTGTGCCCACATTTCGCGTAGCACGCGTCTTGCTACTGAATATGCTCCCACAGCAAAATATGCATGGGCGACAGCGTCGATGGAGGGCACATCAGGAACAATACCAGCGCGAATCATTGCACGGAAAGCCTGCATAGCTTCCTCTGGCTTTCCTCGGCGACCATAGCCATTGATGAGAATGGTGTACATTATTGCATTCGGCTGGATGCCAGCTTCAAGGGCATCTCGAAGCACTTGTTTGGCGCCTCGGATGTCACCCATCTTCGCATACCCGTCCATAAGCGTTGAGTAATGGTGGATGGTTGGGTGAAGCCCTTGATCCAACATATTTCGGAAAGCGGTCTGAGAAGTCCCCATGTCAGACCTAGCAACTGCTTCATGCCTCAGCCTCAGTGCAATAGTGGCACGATCACTTTGAATAGCCTGCCTGGAGACCGACTGCAGGATCGGTCCGAACCAGGACTTCAACCGTAAACGACGGGGAAGTTTGAGACCGGCTGTAGGATGATAGTGTTCAGTGGTGTCCAGAATACGTCCCTCCGGAAACCTGGGGTTGTAAGTTCGCTTCTTAGAGTACTTGGCAGCAGTCGTGTCCCACCCACATCCGTGAACCCTGAATTTCTCGCGACGAAGGATGCTCCGCAGGATAATGTGGATGTGTCGGATGGTGGGTCGAAGCGAAGGGGATGAAAATGAACGAAGGACACGTATCAATTGACGAGGACCGGTCCCTTGTGCTCGTTCGAGAAAACTCATAAGAATTTCCACTGTGTGACTATCGGGACTAACCCCAACAGCACGCATCGTCCGTAAGATATCTCGCATCGCTTTGAGGCCCATGACATCAAGCAATCCGCTCATTAGTGCATTGAATATATGCACTGTCAAGGGAACACCCTGGACGTCAACCGGGAGAATTGTTAGCGGTTGCACCTGCATCATGCTACAGAAGACCCCAGCAGCAGCAGCAGATCGCGTGTTCAGCAGCATGGCGACGATGCTAATGGCTTCGCGACTATGACCTGCAGCTAGATATCCTCCAATGAGCGCTGCTAGAGTGGAGGGATCTGGATGGACACCAGCTCGTTTCATGTGGTCCAGGAGTTTGAGCATTCGCGAAAGTTTGCCTTCTCTTGCCATATAGCGCAATAGAATCGAGAAAGTAGCCGCATTGGGCTTTACGGACAGGGGAGTCTATGGGGGTGTGCTCGCCAACGAGCCCGGTGGTACTGCCAGATCCCGTGGAATCTTGGCCGCGTCCACCAGGAAGATCGAATGCTAGCATAAAACGTGTTGCTGCTTTTTCGTCTCTCGAGTCTAGAAGCTGTTGCACGATGCTGTTGAGCACAACAGTGGACAGCTGCCCATCTAAATCGCGCAAATTCTCGAAGGCACGGATTTGCACTTTCAGGTCTGTTCCAAGAGAACGGTAGGCGGCGACGATGACAGCATGAGTAGAAGGATCCACGGGGAACCCAGCGACAGCCATCTTCTCCATGTACTGCTTTGCAGAATTCAAATTTCGGTTCCGAAGGTGACCTGAAATAAGAAGATGAAACGTTCGCCTGTTTGGTGGGAGGTTCGCGTTTGTGAATTCCTCGAACGCGTGGTCGAGTTGATCGTAACGTTGATCCTCCATGAGAGCGCGCATATTCCAATTGAGGAGTCGGACCGATGCACGGCCACAATGGTGCCTGGCGGTTGCAACTAGCAGGGGGATCAAGGCCCAATGGCTCCGACCTGCCAGACGATAGGCAACGCCCTCGTAATGATTTGGTTTCAAGTAACAGCCAAAATGATGAGCGATGTTCAGAATTTGCAATGCTCGTTGTGGGCGTGAAGTTGCGACCGCGTCCTGGGCGAGACGGTTGACACACTCCCTGTCGGTAAAATACCGAGAATAGATAGGAACATCCTTGATCCTTTTTACGGCTTCGCAATCCACCAACTCTCTCGCCTGTGCGAGACACGTGTCGATGGCAGCTACCACTTCCTGTGGGTAACTGTCCAGAGTTCCTGTGGTGGAAGATTGCTTGGCTTTCACAAAAGGTTGCGAGTTTGTGCCGCGACAATGAGATGTCCCAAAATGAGCATGGGCGGGTGGAAAATTTCGTTCTGCACTGGTCTGATGGTCTGATGGATGTGCCTTGGAGTGAGTCACTGCCTGAGTTGAACATGCTGTATGGCGAAAATGACAAATGAAATTGATTGGCGTTCCAAGAGGAATGTGGCGACCGATGCAGATTCGGACGGCTTGCTTGAGATGCTGCCTGTGAATGGGGCTGGCTCCCCCTAGCATCGACAGCCAGAATCGGGGAGGCTGTGAAGCTCGACCACCGTGACTGGAAGTAAAAGTTTGGTTAGCCTTGAAAGTAAACAATTTGAATGAAAATGATCTTACAGAAATTGCAGAGTCGATGATATGGACTCTCGAGCATGCAATAGCTGACGTCCAGAGCAAAAGGTTGTTTAATCGGAAAATTCCGGTAGGGAATATGCTTCATACACTGACTACCACTCAAAGCAATTCTACATACCCCAACTATTCTCGCAGCGCGCCACAAACAATATTGGTGAACCGTCTATATCTCAACAGGCCACCCGTGTCTTCAGAGAGTAACAAGTAATACACTTGACATCAGTGTAAGACTGTAAGTTACATAGAAGAGTCGTATTTGACACGGCTACTCGCCGGCTTATCGACACTAATGACAACAGATTGCACTGGAGCCGGAAGAAAAATCACACCGATGGGCCTGCCCGATGGAGGCGGCCCACCTTACTCGAGAGTCGAAACACCCAACGCCACCTAAAGTGAGTTTCATAACTAATCGAATTCGTCAAAGTGCGTGTGCAGGTGAAGCAACAGCGTTCCAGCGGCGATCTGTTTCCGTACATTTAGAATATGGTCAAGATGCCTCCCGCGATCATAGGAATAACAAGTGATAGCGGGTGATTCAGTCCGCTTGTCCGGGGGTTTCCCCGTGCCTAATAGATTGAAGCGAGTAGCGTCTAATCATTGAAGTAACATTGAAAGGCCACCCTGGTCCCTGGCGGTAGCAAGAAAGAAGATAACTTGCGTCTAGCGGATGTATGTTGGTGCCTTGGCGCTGCCAGTGCGCTTGATCTGTTTAGAACCTTGCCTTGTTCGATGCATTCCCTCCCGAAACTGCACGACGAGATTGCCAAAGTCAGGGAGGCGATCATGCGCACTTGGCGTCTGAGAGTTTCTGGGCTTAAAGGTTCACCAAATGCCGGTACCGAACTGTGTGACATACCGAGAACTATCAAGGTACTAGTAGTAATGTTGCCTTGTCGGTTATTTTGATCTACAGTGAGTCGTGCTTGAAGCGGGACTGCCATGCCGTCGGACTGAACCAGGGCCTGAACCACGCTGTCTGAGTTCAAGGTCTAAATTTCTATTTTAACGCGAATGCAAACCTTACATAAGTCAACAAACGGAATGAGTCATTCCGTTCGTCTTCGTTCGATTGATCACGAGCCACCTTGTCACCTTTCAGAATGATTCGTGTTCGCCACCGCCGAAAACGTTTCATTCAATCTGGTTACTACTTCAAATCCTTAAGTTGAAACCTAACTCGTAACGAGTCATTCCGGTAAGGTGATGGAACAAGGACTAGTTGCCACGATGGCAAGAATACAAGGTCAGTGATTGGAAGATCAAAATATGGTTTAGTTGGGGCTGTAACACAAGCAGTGACTTTGCTTGGCCCGTTTCCACTGGCAGTATTTTCATTTTCATAGACACGCCAAAGATAAGTCATCACGTGATTCGCTAACCTCCGTCCCTGACGGAACGCTCTTTGCCATGTATCGCACACTCCGAATCCGATGCGCGATGTGATTGTTATAGTTTCATCTTAGACCCGTGCCACTCCGAGCTACTACGAGATGTCGGGATATCTGCGCCCCAAACTAGAAATTTCTTGCCCTGCAATCACAAGTTTCAATTCACTTCCGTGGTTTGACAGGGTCAGGCTGACACGGCCATCTTTCTCGCCCGTGGCGTTTCTCAGGTTTGATCTCGAGTCCACCACTTGGGTTTCGCTTGTTGTATCCTTTTTTAGCGCCAGGTTATACGTTCACCTCGCACTGCGGTGTCTCGATCGTTTCAATATCTGACCTATCGCCGTGATTTGGAGGCTATCCGTAACACGCTTAACAACGCTTTACCACCCGCATTTGTAAACAACTCCGTCCCGGGATATGCTCTGACTCGCAGCTTAGGTCCTCGTACAGCATGCATATAAAAGCCCCTCCGGCCAATCCTCCTGTAGTCATCTCACCTCCTCTCCTTGATGTCTACTTACCTATCTCACCTCACCGTCCTAGAACGCAGTGCTTCTTCCTACCCAGACGTCCCGGTCTTCAGAGTGCCCCGATCAGATCTATTAACTGGTCAGGTACATGATTGGTCGTCAATAACTTACAGCCAGTTCAAGAATGACGTCGAATTCACTGCTCGATATTGGTCTCAGATACTCGAGTCTGACGGCGTACCAGAGCATTCCGTCGTAGGTTTATGGTATGTCTGTCCAGCCCGCTCTTTAATCTAGGTCGCTGACAGTCGTAACTGCAGGCTACCGGGGATGGCATACCAGGACGTTCTCCATATTTATGGCCTTTCGCGAGCTGGTTACGTTCCTCAGCTCTTCAGCATTCGTTTGCCAAATCCTGATGTTGTGCTTGAACTGCTCACGAAGGCAGGCGCGAAAGCTTTGATATTCGACTCCCAATTCCAGTCATTGACTGCATCGTTCCCCCTTCCCGTCCATCTGGCGATTGAAAAGCGGGACATGGCATCTTTCGAATATGACCTTCCTCTCATACGACCCACCTCCAACCCTGACAAAGCAGCATTTGTTTTCCACACAAGTGGCTCTACGTCAGGCAGCCCCAAGCTCGTCCCTTGTAATTCTCGCTGGCTCGATGCGATTGTGGCGAAGGCTAAGGTGACCAGCACTCCCATAAATCCGCGTCAGCAAGACGTTTCTGTTTGGATGTATGTCCATTATCCCTGTATTACTCTTCCCTTCCTGACTCTTTTCCAGGGGCAGCATGTGTCACATCGCTCAAACATTCAGTGAGCCCTACGTCGAATCGTTTATGCTTTATTTTCTGACATGGTTCTAGTGCTCATTGGCAGTTTGCAACACGGGTCTTGCGTCATTCAGCCAACGAAAATTGGGTTTTCTTCAGAAGAATTGATCGATATGATCCACCACTGCCAGCTCAATCGCCTGAACCAGTTTTCCACGTTCCTTTCCATTCACCTTCGCAACTCGCGGCAAAACCGCAAACTTCTTGGATACCTTCAAAGTCTTGATCAAATTCTACTCAGCGGATTGTCATTGCCTCGGGAGGATGAGGATTGGGCATACAAAAATGGATTGAACCTGAAGGTAAGATTCGTCTAAGCATATTTTCATCCTCAGCTTAACCTTGAGGAATTAGAACCTCTTCGGCAGCACCGAGTGTGGTGCAATGCTCCTCTCTATGGGTGGCAAAGGCCGGGATGCACCTCTTCTTCGTCCTATACCGGGAACATCTTATGGCTTTCTACCCATTGATGCCGACACTCAAATCGAGTCAGAGCACAAGACGTCAGCCCAGATGTTGGAGCTTGTTATTCTTTCCAGCTCTGACGACTGCCCGGACGCGTCTTTGCGCAGCAGTGACGGTCACTTCCACACCGGAGATTTGTTCCAGGAAATTATGCCCGGGTCATATGCATTCCGTGGTCGCAACGATGACTGGATCAAGAGCGAAAATAGCTTGCGGTGTGATACAAAGTACGTCTGACTTGCTGTGGGATTCGAAGTCATTGATTTACGAGATATGTAGAGCAATCGAAGATAATATTCGAGCTACCTGCGGTGACCTCATCGAAGAATGCATTGTCGTGGGAACCGGGCGTCCGTCACCCGCTCTTTTTGTTGAGCCTGCTCCTGGTGTCGACTCCGGGAAGCTCAAGCGGGACATCATCCGCAAAACTCGCCAATTTCACTCCCGGCGCTACCTCCATGAGCAGATCACAAACCCAAATTTAATTATTGTAGTGCCTTCAGGATCTCTTCCTCGCACTGCGACTAAAGGCAACATTCGGCGCAAGGCTGTTGAGGAGGCATATCAAGCTGAACTCGACAAGATCTACGCCTCTCTGCTGTGAAGCGGTCCACAATATCTTATGATTGAAATAATCGTCTTGAATCTAACTTATATCTATACCTTGCTTTATTAATTCTACACATGACTAGCTATTGGAACCAACTAACTTTCAATTGACAACTGTAGCAGCACAACTTACATTAATTACTATATCCCCTACGCAAGGGGAAGTACTTAATCGAACCGTATGTAACATACATCAAAGTGTCAAATACCTTAGTATCAGCGGACTAACAATTAAAGAAGTTACAAAATGCATCACAAGTGCCCGATATGAACGTTTTCAGGTGTGATGCAAAGAGTCAAACGGGTTATCTCTTGCCTTCCCATAGTCCTGACAAGACCTGTAATTTCTCCCTTTTGTACCATACTTCTGCGATACTCTATTTCCTGTTGGACGGCATCACGCAGGGAAATCTCTGGGGCAAAAGGAGGTATGGACACCGGGGATAAGGTAATGTGGTGCGTAAGGGGAAGCGGCATGGGCACTGGTGGAAGATCGCCCACCATCGAACTGGGCGGAGCGTTCGCGTCATGGTTTCCAGAGTAAACAGGGAATGAATGTAAGTGTTGCTTGTAAAACGTCACCGGTCCACTGGATCGCGAGGCGAGATTCAAACCCCAATTAGTCAATATTATGAAAGGGGCATGAGACAAGCGAAGTCGCCCAAGTGCCGTGAGCACATGCTGGAGTGGGTTTGCCGATGAAGGGTGTGGCTCCCTTTGGGGCATGTTGCGCATCTGCTCTGCGATGAAACGGTCGGTCCAATAAAATGCGCTCATTGAATCCACGGCAAGAAGGCCAATTTCATGTTCTGGTATGGAGACCTTGTGATACGATGGGAGATGTAGAAGACTGGTGGCGAGTTGGAGGAGCGAAGTTGGCCGAAAGACATGTAGACGGTGCAGCGATTCCTCGGTTAAACGTCGTGCCATCTCGATGTTGTGAGGGAGAACAAGCGACAAACGTGTCAACAGCAACTGATGAAGTCTTGCGACATCAAATGATGCATCTGTGTCATAGACGACTGCAGCCAATCCATTCCCCCCAAAGTCGATGGACATTTCCCTTGACGGAGCAATGCAGAGCAGTACGAAATGATACAAGAGATGGGTTTTCCCTGATGAAGCAGGACCCTGAACCTCTATGACATCTCCGCGGCTGAGGGATGAAAGTAGCGATGCAGGAGCATAACCTTCGGCTGAGATGTGATATCCGAAAGGCGGAGCTGACGAGATTCGGTCACTGGAGACATCAAATGAGGCGATGTGTTAGATCTTACTGTATACCCTTACGGAGGAAAGCAACTGACTATGATTGAGCTAAGTTACCCTTGACAACGGGGGGAATGAACTTACATTTTGGAGGGACTCTCGAGGAATCTCGTTTAGCAAGGAAGCCATCCGCGCTCTAAAGTGAAATGTCAAGCCTGTAGCACCCTGATAAAACAGACTTACTGAAAGATGCCGTGGTCGATGAGAGCCACTTACTACTAGATTTGCATTGTGCCGCAAGACGTTTGTTACGGCAGTGGATTGTTCTTACTACTGGACACCCGTTCTGGACCCGAAAGACATGATTTCGCATGACAAGCTCACTTGACCAAGCACATACATACTCACAGCACATCAACTCTGGCCTGCAAGCCAAATTCATGTACCAATAACTTTCTAGGGCGCTCAGATACCAGCGTTACGCCACTTCACATCGTTCGCCGGAACATTCATTAATATCTGAACTGCACCATGAATAGTGTCCCGACTTCTCGGGCCACTCCACCGAGTTCCAGACGCCCATCTAGTGTCGCCACGTCGCCTCCCCCCGCGAAGAGCCTTTCTACACCCCGTCCAGCTCTGGCTTCTGTTCGTACCCCAAATTCACAGGGCGCAGCGATCTCACGCCGCTCTTCTACGAAAGCAGCACCAACCATGGGACCAGAGTCTCGTGAGTCGCTGAATGTTGCCCTGAAACATGAGACCGAAAAGAAGGAACAGGTGCGTTCATAATTCCGAGAGAGAGTGCTTCACTGACCGCCACATCAGTTGCTCGTCCAAGTCCAAAATAAGGATCAGACGATTGCTAGTCTGACAGCTGAGAACGACAATGTCATGTCTGCCCTGAATTTGGCAGAATCTCGCTTGAACGATCTGTACGTTGATCAGGCGCGGATGGAAGAGGAGATGGCAGCCCGTATCGAAGTCTCTGACAAGTTGCGAGCACAAGTCAGGGAGCTTGAGCGGGAGAAGCGAGATCTGCAAAGACGATATAATGAGCAGGTCCGTTTTTGTCTCTTCTCATACTTCATACATACATGAATGATTCGTAGACGTCAACATTCGAGGCAGAGCGCCAAGCAGCCTATGACAACGAACAGCACCTCAGATCACGGATTCAGTCTCTTACGCAAGCCCGCAAAGTTTCTGAACCGCCCCGATTTGTTGATGCAACCCTTACTATGGATTCTTCTCGCCCCGATTCCCTCAGCACCGACGTTGAGGCGGAGGCGGAGGCATCAGAAGTCGCTGTCCCTAGCAATCACGAGGACCAGCACTATTCTACTAAGCAGGACCTCAACGATCCAGAAAGCGAACCAGCTGAAATGACCGCTCTCAAACTTGAACTCTCGACCCTATCAACATCTTATACATCCTTGCAAAGTACTCTCGTACTTTTACAAGTGCAGCTCGTGGATTTGAAGAGAGTCAACAATCAATTACAAGAGGACAACGAGAGTTACATGATCTTGTTACGGGAGAAGACGTTAAGTGGCCAATTTGATCTCTTAAAACAAGTCGGTGGCGCCCCAAACACAACGGACGGCGGCTACGATGACGATGAAGTGGTGGCAGACGACTGCGCGGACGTAGGCAGTCTTAGGAGTACGAGCAGGAGCGTGTTGGACAGGGTCGAGGAAGAGATGATGGAGGATGATGATTTGGAGCAAGGTTTCAGAACTGATTCGCCATCTTCAAACCGCCACGGACGTCATGTGCGCAGGAATGACTCGGCGTCACATTCTCCCAGTCGAGCCCCGCGCGGAGAGTCTCTTGCCGACCTTCCTATCACCGGTCCAGGACTTGACTTGGCTGCTGAACTTGGCCGTGCTGAGAACAAGGACATTCTCTCCGGAGATTCCATCGACGGCGATCGAGCTCTTGGTAGCAAAGGAAGACGAAAGAGGGTATCTACGGACACCAAAAAAGCCGCCACTTCTGACATGCCAGACTCAAATACAGACTTAGAGGCCCTGCGATCAGAAGTCAAGACTCTCAAAGATGCCAACAAGGCACTTTCTTTATATGCGTCCAAAATCATCGACAGAATCATTGCAGAAGAAGGTTTCGAGCATGTCCTCTCAGTGGACTATGAGAAGTCTCCAAACACGCATTCTAAGTCTCATTCTCTGGGTGCAACAACCACTGCCAGTGCACCAGCGAAAGCATCCAAACCTCGACCACAGTCAGCCTTTTTCTCTCGAGCAACCTCGGCCCCTACCCCCGCTCCCGAGAAGACGCCATCGTCACCACCTCCCATTTCCGATACCTCTTCCCCGAAGACATCTCAACGACGTTCTATGTCTATCGACTGGAAGAACTTCTCTTTGTTCGGCGGCGCAGAGAAGAAACCCGAACCAGCTAATTTGCGACCTCTTACGCTGAAGTCAACTTCCGCACCCATGACTAGCGCACGCAAACTGGAGACCCATGAAGACGAGGAGGATCGGCGGGAAAGAGAGCGGCTTAATGCAACCATGAAACTCATGGGTATTGAGCAACCTGCTCCTTCTCCATTGGTGTCCATACAAAAGAGTTATTCGACCCCCGAGAGCCCTCAGACTGCTACAGCCAGTCTCTTTTCAATGTTCAGGTCACGATCCACCACTGGTCATTCCGAAACTTCATCTATTAACTCAGGGCCTTCGACACACAATAGTCATCAAGCGACAAATGGACTTGGCATTATTGGTGACGGGCGGTCTGAACTCACGCATGAGGCTCTGGAGCAAGCAGAGGCAGAGAACTCCCTGGCGGCATTAGATGCGCATGAGCAAATGCTCATTGATGAGATTGCCAAAGGTAGACCGGGAGGTTTTACTGAGCCCCCGAGGAGCCTTGGAGAGGAGTGGAGAAGCCGTAGAAGCAGAAGGAGCGGAGGTGGGAGCGGGAGTACAGTTTGGAGTGCTGGAATGAGCCGCACAGGGGATGAGCCAGATACCTGAGTCTGAGCTACTTTTTGTATGATACTGCATATACCTTATTTATTACATACCACATATATTTGTAACGTGTTGTTGCTGTGTTGCGAATAGACGACCTGTGGATCTCATACGATGTCGAGTGTTAATGTCTGATTCGAGTTGGAGGTTAATTTACATCTGCAAAAACCTTCCCCAGTTGATGTACTCAACCCTAAGCTCATCTTGTCGTGGCGTCGGTCGCGCACATGCAGTAGCGGATTTGCAAGGTCGCTTGCGTCATGTTCGCGTTACGCATAATCAGATTCTTCCTTCAGCATCGTTCCGATAGCTGCTGCGATAGGGGTTGTGGTTTGATGGTCAATGGCCCGGGCAGAGCCCCAAGATGATAATACACAGGTGAGGTTTTCCAAAAGAAAAGAATTAGCGAGATGGAAACGACACATCGCGGATCCAGCAACACGAGCCTGTACTGTACAAATTGCACTATTGAGTGTTGCCCTGACTGATAAGAGAGGCCAGATAGCTGGTTTCCTACGAGAATCTGTGCCCTCGTTCTGTACAAAATATAATTAAAACACAGTATTAAGATAACTACCCTGACCTCAAGGTTATGGTTCTTGCACTGGGAGCTTAACGGAACCTGAGGAACCTCGATACATGCGTATCTGGTTGTCATGTCTCGCTGGGACACTGCCATGTTCGGCAAAAGGGGTCAAAGTTAGGACTGAAGCAAATGCAATGTGAACATACAGGAAGAGCCACAAGGAGGTGCAACTTAAAGCAGTGGGGTTATGAGCATACATTTGGCGAGGGATAAAAGGGAATAACTTTGACACGAAACGTTCGCGAGATTAAACAACTAGGATGTAAACCATGCCATCGGCAGGGGAGGGGAAAATGGCACAGGATGTAGACATCAACCATGTGCCTTCCTACAGAAAGTCAATTTTATTTTCCTGTAAATGGGCGTTTATTGTTGCTGTGGTAAACGAGTAGATGATTGAATGACAAAATGATATGTTGGAACCTGCTGTGTATCTCAATTCCAACATGTCGCGGAGTTTTGTTCAATGCGAGCGCAGTACCCTCATCGCATACATTCTACGTCGTGCAGAGGCTGTATCGGTGTAAAAGTGTGGCCGATGTGTGGCAGGGGTGCTGGGGTAGGTCGGCCATGAGGTGAGTGTCAACGTTAACATGCTCCGGGATGTGACTCGACTTGCCGTAATACTGATTTGATGAAGGGGATTGCAGTGACTCGGACTTGTACTACATCTGGATTGGCGAGAACATGTATGTGTCCATTGCTAATGGGAAGTTGTCAAACACATTTGGGACAGCAGATATGTGTTTTCGGTGGGGAAAGTTCACTGCAAGGAGGTGCACCGATGGACTTGCAAGCTCGTCTGCAATCGAATCTCAGCAACTGCCAGTTTAATCCTGTAGATACACAATAAAATACTTGATTTACTTTCTTTCTGTAGTGATCACACAGTCTGTCACTGATATATGAAATGCATATTGCTTGCACGAGACAAATGAGCGAAATAAAATATAATTGAGTGGGGCTATTAATGTACGAAAACTACTTCGATCAGCAAGCGAACAGAACGAGAGTGCATAGCAAAACAGTGCAGGCCAAGAAGCAAGTCAGGGCCATTTGCGATTCAAGTGATCCACGGAGTTGCAATTACCTGGAACCAGTTCCTACATGAAGCTGTGGATGAAAGTCATCAATCATTCAACCATTGTCAGTGAAATAGTGCCGATCTACGGAATAAAGGCATAATCACCCAAAAAACAAGCCAACCGTAGCCCTGTTATATTAAACGAGCGCTGAATCCTGAAGTATCAGATGGTCCCCGTGGTGTTTGGGCGCGTGTCCACCGTGAACAAAAAAACGGGACCCGGAGCACAGTCATTGAGAGGCTATGATCTACGACAATGAACGCGCGCAATGCCTCCGAAACACAAGGCAAAGGTACTGACTCATCTGAGATCATATCGTTGGGAATTTCAAGGCGTCGAATAATGAAACGGTCCCCATGGGGTCTGGGAACAAAACAAACCTGCGTTATTTGCCACATTCTAACAGGAGGATATGATATGCCTCGGCTACCGGAAAAGGAGATGGATTCATGCTCACCAGGTATATATAGCCTATCGTTTCCTATCAATACGAACGCTTCTTATAGCACCACTGACATGTACAGTATTTGGTGATATATCCCAAACGATCAAACTTGGAAATTTGTGCCATAGCACAGTACACGGTACTGTTTGATACTGTCGGAAAATAAACAAGTCAGTGCTTTCAGATTTGTATCGCATATCTTTGCTTTGCTTGAAATCTGACGCGTACTTCCTAAGTATGCATATCATTGAAATGAGCGCTAATATATAGATGGGTTCGAACGACCACACTCACACGAGTCATCCAAACTCTTATCATCCATACACTTCCCGAACAATGCGCTAGATAACTTCCTCGTGAATAAGTAAATACGTCGCTCCTCGACATCTACCTGGACGGCAAAAATCGGGGACATTGGCATTACACCGATGGTCGCATATCATCCATCATCACCGTGCAAGTCTCGGAACACCAGGTATAGTCATGAATGTAGTAGCAGTAGACTCTCGTACATTTAGATTATCGTACATCGAATTTATTGCGCATTTGGGACATCAGCACGCTTCACGAGTGTATTCTGCGCATGAGTGCGGATCGTTTGAAATGGGTTAGACGAGTACTGTGGATTTGAGAGTATCAATGGGTGTCGAAGTTTCTCAAGTTCCCTGAAAAGCGGATTAACACAAGCAGACAAAAGTAGAGAAAATGTATGAACTCACAAAGCACGTTTTCGCTGGTTCTTCTTTAGCGGCATTCCCTTGCCCTCTCCAATCATGAAGCGTTTTCGGTTGAACTTTGTGAGCGCGAGCATCCTTTGTCTCTTCAGCTACTGGACTGCCTTGTTCCGGCGAGTCACCCGTATCAATGGCTGAAAGAACAGCGCCAATGTCATCAAGTCCGCCACCGACTTGTTCTCGTTGTCGTCTATTGAATCGGCGTCTCTGCACTTTCGAGTACGGGGATGTCTTAGATTTCAGTTCTAAAACACAAGATGAGAAGAGGAATGATGATCGGAAATATGAAGCCTACTTTCAATGAAAGCTTCGTGTTTGAGCTGTTGTTTCTCTTTCTTTTTTATTGAGTGACGAGGCTCAGTAGCCTGCTGTGGACATTTCTTGCAATATCACTTCCCCCTGACGAGTATCGAGATTAAGCACAACAGTAAATTTAAACTTGTATAATAAATGATAAGACGCACTGAAACCTCTACCGCGGCACCTACTTCGACCGCTTCTACTGCATTCTCTTGCACTGCAAATTGTCGCCGGGCAAGCTTAGCGGAAGGTTCATGGGCTGAAATACGTTTCCTGCGCTCTCTAGGCTATAATGAATATCAGTGAGATGTGTAGCAATGAGGCTCATTGCCCACCATCTTGATAGATTCCGAGAATCAAACGTCCAGTACATGACGTAAGATGCTAAAAGCTTCTGATCCTAATAAGTGTAAACAGATCCTAGGTGTAACAACGCCGTCAGTGTAGCGTATTACTATTAAACCCTTCCCTTCGCGGTCGTGCCAAACCATTCTTGATCAGTCCCCGAGTCACATGTGCACGAGCGCCGAATCCGCTTCATAGCTTTCATGTAGCGACACCAGACTTCAGCATCGCTTTACCCGGAGTATTACCCTCGAAAACCAAATATATAGATAGATATAGCGCTCCAAATTTGGATCTAGTCTAAGCAGTACAGTCGATATAAAATGGTAAATGGCATCGTGCTAGAATGTGGCTCCAAGAGACATACGACTGTATCCGAACATGAGCTTTGCATGAACTCATTCAGGGGGATCTTCGTGCTCAAGCCGAACCCGGGACTGCTGGGCGCGAGCATCGTCCACGAAATCCCAGAAAGAAGGTCACGGCCTTCACTTGGCTTTGCGTTCTCGACGCCGACTGCAATAAAGGCTACAATAACCAGGAGGGCGCCTGCCAGTACTTGCGCTGCGGCAGGCTTACCAAGGAAGGAGTCCCCGATGACCGCGACCGGAATGGTGAGACCGAGACCGACTGTCACCACTAAAGGTGTGGTCTTCAGCATCGCAACAACGTATAGGTAGTCGCTCGATAAGGTGATTAACATCTGAAACATGTAAACTCCCAAGACTGAAACATGAACGACAGAAACTCACATTCAATAGAATGATAACAACAGCATTATGAGTAGTGGGTATCTCAAAGCGCTCTATTCCAACCAGATGCAGGATAACACCCACGGGCCAAGATAGGACTATGTTGAACAATCCCACAAACCCAAAGAACAATTGCATGTCAATTCTCGACTCCTCCCTAATCTGAACCTTGATGAAGACAACATAGAATGCATAAAACACAGACGACATCAAAGCCAAGAAATCACCCAAAACTGGTAATGAGTTAGCCGCCTTATAAATTATTGATGACCCTATTCCATCTGACTGGTCGTCGGGAGACCCGTCAGAAATAGCAACAAGGATCACACCAACAAAACTTGTTACAAGTCAATGAGCCGATTCATCCATGAAGAAGACGAAATAACTACATACGCAGTAAGCACAGCTCCAATCTTTACCAATGTTAGGGTTTCCACGCGGAACATACGTCCAACGGCAAGAGTGAACATCCCTCCCAGGGATGGCATATTGGTACAGTTGATGAAAGACAGTAGTACAGACACACTCACCACTCGTGCCAGACAGGATTGTTGCACTTGCAACGCTGGTATATGCCAGAGCAGCGTTCAAAGCCCAGTTCGCAACAAACCACAGGAAACAAAATCCGAGGGCCATCCTTGCGGTCTCCTTCACAGTTAGCGGTCTATCGACCTGATCAATTGGAGCTATCAGCTCCACCTAGAGATAGTCAGAAGGGTCATGTGCAAGGGCGATAGATAGCGTAATTACCGCAGGCTCTGCATCGATATCAAGCTCTTGCTCCAGCGGCTGATAAACTATGGTTGACCTACAGTCGGTATACATTAGCAATTAAAGTATGGAATACTGCTTGAAGTTACCTTGCGGACTTGGACAGACCCCACCGATCAGCCCATAGTCTTCGTGTGATATATGGCAGCAAGTAAAATACAAATGACGCGGTGTTGGTATATGTTATTCTGCATCACGGTAAATATGGATCCAACCACAAGACAGGAATCGCACTTACAGGAATGGCTTCTGGTACCCGTCATCATACATGTCCTGTATGAAATTAATGAACATCACTGCCCAGAAGTGGGCTCGTGTGCTTACTTGCGTCAAGAAACTGGACGCAGTCCATAATAGGACAACGACGAAGAGGAGAACGAGGCCGACGATGTAATTCCCAGTGGTGTTCGTGATCCTAGGGGCACCTTCTGAGGACTCGCCGCCGGGGTCGGACACGGTGGCCATCTGAACCAAAGGATGATCGTTGAAACAAGACTAGCACTGAATGAGCATACGTACTTATTCGATGAAGGGCGGGTGCAGGATGGGTTGCCGTCAAGTTGCCGTGTGAACATTCAGGCGAACCGAGAAGACATGATGATTGTCAGTACCAGTGGCATTTAGCACTCTGCAATCGACCAATTCAGTGGTCTGATCTTTATTGCTGCTCCATGTAAAAGTACACGTGTATGAGGAAAGGTATGTAGATGATACACCGTGCAGGAACGCCTAAGTTGGTAGTCCATGATAATGAAGGAATATATATATATGAAGTGATAGCATAAAGTGGAAAGCGAAAACGATGGATCCGATAAATATCTACGTGATCCGGGATATAAGCCACATAGTGCACTAAAACGGCATTGTAGGGCGAAAACCAGCGTACGACTTGACCTTCTCAAAAATCCTGAAGAGGCTGATGACAATGTTGATGCAATACGTGACCAGGCCGACCCCAACCAGGCAAATCAATGCAAGTTGATAGTAGCAAAGCATATCTCCCACTCCGCCCTCAAGGTTCGGAAGGTTTAGCTCTGGCCGACTGAGTTCGTTGTACCAAGCAATGCTTCCTGCCGACGCACAGGGGATAAGAGAGGTGAAGAAATTGTCGAAACAGAGGGAAAACGCCGCGGACCATGCACAGATGAAACAAACTTCGAGGAGGGTGTGTGCAAGTTTGGCAGATGTTCGCCATAATCCCATAGGACGGCCAAAATACTCAAGCTATAATGGTATGAGATGGTGATGAGAAATCAAGCTAGAGAGACTTGCATATATTGCCACCATAACATGGACCAAAGTCAGAGGTGAAAATATTATCACCAAGGTTCTGGCAAACATATGTTCATCAAATTGTCACTTATCAAGGCGCAAAGTGACGTACGGAGAACTTCCTACGATTCCCATGACACCATCTTGCAATTCGATCAGTACGTATCCTGATGGCCACCGCTAGGGCCGCAGTTGTAAACGTTATATTGATGAATCTAAATAGCTAGATCGCAGATTTATACACACAACAGAGTGAGTAGACAGTATTGCACTCACCAATGGCACATATATATTCGTAAGAATGAAGGTTCTAAAGCGCTTTTTCCTGTCTCCTGACTCATTATCTGAACGATCTCCAGTCATCCCAAAGTGGGAATAATCATTCGTAGGGAAATCGCGCGTTGGTTCCCATGGCGTGTCCCAACCAGGCGTTTTATTGTGAGATAAAGTGAAAGGCGCGGAGGACTCGGCATGAGGATGCGCAGCTCCCTTCTCCAGTGGAGAAGCTGTCTGAAAGTGGGGCACATTCCACGACTGAGGATTAATATATGATGATAAGGGTGGTCGATTTTGGTAGGTAGCGCCTGTTTTGCCAGCCGCTTGACTCGATGACTCTCCCAGAGGTTCTCGAGGACGTGCGAACGTCCCCCAGGGTGATTGATGCTCGGACAAAGTTCCATTTAATCCTCCAAATGACGAACGAGAAGCGGCGAGGTCGGATGGTCTCTGATCATATAAATGATGGTCATCATCTATGGGAGAAGGAGGTTCATCCTGCGCCCAAGCTGGACAAAGTAAGTGACACCGCTCGATTAACATTCAGAGGTTCATACGTGGTGCAGTAACGACGGTTCTCGTCGCTGAAGGTACTATAAGTGCACGACTGCGGGCTGATACTGCAAGACTGCTGTTTGACGGGATCGATAGAGGTTTTCGAATACTGGCAGCTGATAGAGACATGGACGAGGGAATTTTTAAAAAGAATAGAAAGGAATGGACCAGCTAGTGCAGATTGAACGCCGGTCAGTTATCGAACAGTAGCGTTCAAGCCATCCGGATTGTTATGAGCGACAACAATACGAAAGTAGTCTGCTCCATTGAATACATATATTGTGAAGCGACGGTAAGTGCCGAAATGCCGGCCATGGTCACACCGATGGGGTCATTCAATTATCGGTAAGTTTAACACATGGAGGACGGTTTGCCCTCAGTACCAGTCGGCGGTGTCGGCTCGAGATTCATATCTCAAAACGACCTAGAAGAGGCAAAGGCACGCAGAGAAGATCAGTGGAAAGCAGCATATGCCAGGTGCGCAGCAGATACAGCCTTGGGAAGCAAAATGACGCATGAAGCTGAACTATGCTAGGCTGGGACAGGTGCCTCCGCCGCAGCCTGTGGAAGATTCTTTCGATGGTCGAAGTTTAGCAGAGGTGAGTGACACTGCTCTTCCTCGAGTGTCCACTTGAAACAGAACTGTGGATAGAAATTAGCTGCGAACAGGGTGCGTTCCCTCAACTGCTCTTCATTCTGTAAATTAATAGGTGTGTTAGGCCGCGAAACAGGAAGAATGGGAGGAGAAGACGAAGTTAGGCAAGTCGGAATGATACATTTCCATGGTGATCTTGACTTGCCCAATTGTAGCGAATCAATTTCGAGCACTGGAAGAGGACGAGATCATGTTTCTAGATTCTATCAGAGAAAAGCAGGCCGAAGAAGAACGCCTCCGGAAAGCACAGGACGGCGAGGAGCTTTCAGACTTCAGAAAGTATGCTTCCACTCATTATCCATCCGTCGCTGACATTGAGAATCTGCAAAGAGCTGTTGCAGCTAGGGAAAACGACCTCAACAAGCCTACGCAACCTGTGGCACAACCACGAAAACAGAGTGATGATACTCCGGAGAAGCCTAAAGCTCCCGTCGTGGTATCCAAGAAAGATGTCAAGAAATCATTGAAGGGTGTTGTAGTGAAGAAAAGACCGAAATCTAATGTTCCAACACCTAGCGAATCAAAGGCAAAGGATTCTATTAAGAACGTCGATAAGGATGTACCACCGGCCACAAAACGTCGCAAGATATCCGGATCATGACATTCATCATATTTCCATCTTCCGACTTTCCTGTAGTTGTCCTTCCGGATTTGTTCACTGTAGTAGTATCATCTAATTCGAGAACACGCTGCCCAGTCTTGACATTCCATTGTCCTCTAAATACGACACCAGAAGCATGCGTAAGACATGCTGTCCGCGGGCTGGGTCTCATCCTCCCCGAGCTGTCGGTGTCGGTGTCCACCGCACATGGTTCAGATCCCTTTCCCCAGTCTGTCCCAAATTTCCCCAGCCAGACATTCGACCCATTGCCTCCGCCCTTCTCGCTGCTGCAGTACCCATCGTAGTTCTATCCAACAATCTCTTTCCTGCAGGTGTCAGATTGCCAGGTGCGTCAGCTCTCCGCGGAGTCCAACTTGGAGGGCCCATAGAACCTGGCTTTGAGGAACCTCCTCGGGCTGGTGTGCGTCCAATAATTGGGGTTGGCCCCCCAAGGAGGACAGCTTTCGCGCGAAGGCTTCTTGAAGCATGGGCGGATAATTTGTGAGATAATGCCTCGCGGCTCGACGGCGCAGCAATATGGAAAGGTGTGCTAGGCGGTGGCAAGGCTTCTGCTGGATCATCGGACTTTGACAATATCCGTGGAGTTGCATTAAGGGTTCCCCATGTCATGAGCTGATTGACGGCAGAAGGGCCCAGTTCAGCAGCGGTAGGTGAAGGTAGGCTGGGTACAAGTGAAAATTCATTGGTGGGGGACCGCGGCCGATCTAGTGAGGGTGGTTAAGAGAAAAGTAAATTGATCAACGCGAAATAAAACTTACATGGCGTGCCAGTAATGGCGGCATCAATTCGACTGCGAGTGGGACTTGGTGGGGCGGATGCAGCTCGTGATTGAGAATCTCCTTCATCCTGTTCTGGTAGACGTGTATTCACATGTGTTATGATGCCGAGATCATCGCTTGCTTTAGCTTTCGATGTACGCCGGTGGTACGGAGACAAGTCGGCGTCAGGGGAGAACATGAGAGAATTACGGGCCTGTAATCCAGTAATTCAGCCATGAAATGAAAATCCCGTCTGAACCAAACACACCTTGAAATTCCAGCCATCAACGCCGGCCGGACGAGTATCTTTCCTTGGCGCCATAACGTCCATAGGCTCGTCTTCTTCACTGAGGATAGCCACCTCCTTTCCCTTTCCATTATCGTTGTCCTTCGCATCTTGACTTTCACCTTCCGATTCCTTCACTGACTCTCCACTTTGCGTGATGAGTCCCGCGACAGTAGGAGCCTCGATCACAAACTTCTCTCTCACACCTGGTGCTGGGGCAGGCTCAATCATCATCCTCTCCCTCGCCTCAATCATCTTATCCCTCTGATCCTCGACTCTCTTCTGTGCCTCCCATGCCCAGCCCCACCTCTCCTTCCTCTTCCGGTTCTCCTCATCCATAATTTGCGTAAAGCTAGCGTTGTCTTCCGAGGTATACCGCGCCTGGAAGTTGTCTAGACTCGTGTCTGTGTTATACCGCGGGCGTTTTATCACTGGCTCCCCGCGTGGCGTGCGTAACGGTGTCTCGGAAGGGCCAGCACCGTAGGGCGTCGCGGATGGCGTCTGCCATGGTCGTCCGCGGTAGGTGGCGGGGGTACTGTTAACTTCTTGTAATCTGCGCACGGATGCGTTGATTAAGTGGGGGTCTCTCGATGATACAGCATCAAGGTATTCGTTGGTCGCGTCGAGATGCACGAGAGAAGGGAAGAAGTCTCTCGCTATGATGTGAGACAAGGCTGCTGTGTACTCATCTTCTTCGAGCACTTGTTGAGAATTTAGCGAGCGAGATGATTCAGATGGACCGGGGGTAGACATTGCACGGTGGAGGAGTTTGGGTGGTGGTACTTATATACTTGAAGTTAGTCCAAATGGACTGCAGTCACTGAACGCAGTGGACGTCACGGTGGCTTAGAGGCATTGTCATTATGGTTACGTAAATGATCATTAGGAATAATTCACACAATTCCGCAGAGAAAAATAAAATGACAGATGGAAAAAAAGAAAAATATGAGAACAGATCGGAAACAAGTAATGTATCGTGGTACCAGCGGAAGTGAGAAGCACGAAGTGTCGCTGGTAAATGGGTAGTCGTTGTGTTCTGTCATTAATGTCATAGGAGGCATGGATCAGCAGGTACACCCTGCAGAATAGTTCGCGAAAACGAGTGGGCATGGAGTAGTGGTCCTAGAGACCTAAAGTGCGTGCAGTCTAAATGATCGTCAGAGTGCGCCGCTCCAAAGTCAGCATAGCGTGTCACACACGGAAAATGAGATATTCTGAAAGAAAAATCAAGAAGCGCCGCCACGTCCAAAATTGAGCATGTTGCTCGCGGACCTGCCCCGAGGTTTCTTGTCAGGTTCTAACAAACCGCCATTTTCCTGACTAGGAAGCTCTAATCCGCCGCTCTTCCACGCACCGGTGATACCAGCAGGTCGACCAATCCTACTTTGTGACAATATCGAGGCACTGCTGGCTGAGGATGGGATTCTAGATGATGCCCGAACTGTCACGTTGGGGTGCGGTAGCGATTTCAAGTCGTTCTGGACTTTCCCGTTGTATGAGAACGGTCGCTCACGAGTACGGAATTCTGAATCCGAAGAAGGAGTGGGTGACCCAGCATTGCTGGAACCTATGGAGGAACGTTTCGGTAGACCGCCATACGGACCAGTCCCTGGCGCGGTGGACTTCTTGTATCCAGTGACTCCTGGACGAGAGATCGGAATGGGAAGGAAAGTGGGAGTTGCGGGGCGAGATGAAGGAGTAGGGATGGAACTCATTGTTGCAGTAGTGCTGAGGCTGGCTCCAGAGAGGCGTGATTGAGGTCGACGACTATGGGTCATTGTACTTTGGCCAAATTGACTGGGCTTGGAGAAAATAGGAGATGATGCCGACGAAGGAACTCCACGGTGAAAAGCACTGGGGGGTGAGGGACTGGATGAGCGTCTGGGTTCCTCCTCAGCGTCCTTATTTGGAGAGGGAGTAGTATCGTCCATAATGAGAACCCATCCTGCATTATTAGGGTTGGGAGTGGTCGCACCACCTGCCAAAGCAGTATCTACGCCAAGTCGCTGTGGAGTCGGTCTACCAAGTTTGCTGTCCGGTATCACAGAACGTGAAAAGGTACTCTTGGATGACAATGTAGAGGATATAGTGGATGTGGAGGCCATCGTGGATATTGTCGCTCCCTGCCGCCCAGCATTGCTGCCCATCCGTAAGCGAGGGACACGTGTGTGAATCTTCTGTTCTAGATTCCTGACACGAGCACGCATTTCGGAAACCATTTGAACACCCTTGCTTCTGGATGCCATCATGGGTACGGCAGTGATGTTGGATACGCTAGAACTGGCAGTAACAGCAGCAGGTCGTGGAACAAGGACAGGAGTCCGGGGAGAGTTGCGTGAAGCAGCAAGGGTTGGAAGGGTGCTTGAACGGGTCATCAATGAAGGCGAGGAAAGTATCAGGGTTACGTTTGCTCAGTTGGAAACCTGCGCGCTGGAGTAGGACGGATTGTCCATGATTTGAGCTGGCAGCGGTAGAAGGGGGGCGAGTAGGGGTAGAAATAGAGGATTTCTCGTTGGAAGAAAGATCAGATAGTTCAAGATCTGGCGGTGGCGGAGTACTAAGCAGATTGTCATCCGATGAAGCCGTCGAAGGAGGAGGAAATAGTGATGAAACGGTGGTGGAACTGGAAGTTTCGGTCACAATGCTCGCTGCCCTAGAACGAGCAGCTGTTAGCTGATCCTTGAGGATAGAAATTTCTACAGATGAATCTAGCAGAGAATGGTGAGTGCTCTATCCCCATGCAATCCAAGATGACACACCTCGTAGCTCATCCTTGACACGTTGTAGTTCTTCTTCCACATTGGCCTTGTCAAGGAGTTCGTGCTCGAGTAATATCTTTTCTTCCAGCGCCTTGGAATATCTTGTCTCTATATCCGCGAGACTTGACGCGACCACACGCTCATTTCTCTCGAGGTCATCATTGCCCAACTCCAGGTCGCGCAATCTGACCTTCAATTTCTGAGACTCCTGCCTGAGTGTATCTAACTCTCGTTGCAGGGAGGTGGTGGTTGTATTGTGCGTGGTCTGTAGCGATATAAATTTGGACTTTATGAAGGGTTAATTAGCGAACTGGTTTCGGAAGACGCGTAGATAAATACCTTCCATTCGTCTCGGTCTAATTCTGTCTTTGCGACCTTGACTTTGAGATCCTGCTGTGCTTTCTCTGTACGGTCTATTTCTTTGATTAACTCCTCCTCAAGCTCTTTACTAGATGTATGAAATTCATCGAGTTCGGCACGAGTCTCTGCCAGCATATCTGCGACTTCATTGTACTTCGCTTTCCAGTCCGTGGAGGAGTAACTGTTTGGAGAACATAGTTAGGAAATCAGATTGAGTGTGGCAAGAAGGGCATGAGTACTTGTCTTCTAAGGAGGCCATTATTGGGTCTCTGCGTAGGGCATCTGTAGGAGACAGAACGGCCGTCATGGACCCTGTAAAGAAATAAAGTACAACCTAGAAACACAACCAGAAAATATCAAAGGAGAAAGGAAAATTGGTGGAAACAGGAGAAATGCTTGCAACTTGGTTCTTGACCTGTGCCTTCCAACATTTGGTTGACGTCCACAACTATGCCACACTTATGATTACATAATTCAATGATCATCCATAACAATATTGCAACTCCCGAACATAGATATCATTCATGTAATAAGTCGTGTAGGGCCACATCCGTAGCAGAGCCCGCTACCGAGTCACACCTAAATAGTACTTAGTTACTTCAAGATAAAGCCTCAAATCCAACGAACAGCGAGCAAACGAATCAAATCTCCGCGGTTGGCATGAACAAGCGATTTTCTTCCCCCGCAGCCTGGACCATATCCCTAAGACAGACAACGCCGATGATAAAGAGATAAAACCTCACGGAGTATATAACCAAGTAATAAACGTTGTTCTGAAAATCCCTGAGAAATCAATGCGCAAGCCAATTGAGGAGCACGTTGCACAGCTCCTGCTTCGATGCAAACGCCGGAAAAAAAATGACGCAGAAGATTGGCCTTCATTTCTTCTATACGCAGTCCGTGATCATACGCGATTCGTGATAATTGAACACCATCAGCTGGAAACAGTGACAGCGACATAGGAGTTTCGAACAATATCTCTCGGATCCTGCCTTCTGCTTTGACAGAGTCATCAGATTTGGAAGAACCCGGGACCGTTAACCAAAGATCCGTATACAGAATTAATATTGTTATCATCTGAACATATAACGACATCAATCAATTGTAAGCAACATTCATGTGCAGGTAATCGGATTTCTCAATGATTCTCTGTTATATGTCATCCAGTCACGACCAAAAACCACATCGCTTGGCGCCGTGTCAATCACAAGGAATGAAAAATCAGTGGAGAAATTCGTAGAACCATCCAATATAGTAATTATGGCTCGAAAGGAGATGGAATATATAACACTTCGTCGGCGAAGATGGCGGACTAAAAATTGAGAAGTAACAAAAGACGAAGAAGCAGACAGATCGCGCGAAGCGGCGACGTCGAAACCTTCGAGTGTAACCGAGGGCAAAAGCAATGCTGATGTAATCATAGCATCGTCCTATTAATCCCGACACAGGTTGTACGAGCCACCATTTAATGGGTTCCCCGTCTATTTGTGAAAAAAACATGACAAGAAAAACCCTCTACCTAAAGGTAGCGGGAATTACAAAGTTTCAGGTTTCGCGCACTTGCGCTTTTCAATTCGTCCTGTCTTAGGACACCTCATCTCTTGCCACGAAACAGGATCCATCGATGCACCTAGATATTCGTTTAGAATTCGTACACCACGGAAGCAAGCTTCACTCTTACCAGCTTCACTGGTAGCAAATATAACACCGAGGTCGTTGCGTGCGGTAGTGATGTAATAACTGCGAGCATCACCAAGAGAAATCTGCGATGATTGAGTAAATAATTTACCGCGTTCACTTGATTAGCTTACCACTACACCCTTGACAACATCTCCACCACGAAAACAGTCGCCGATCTTCACCTTGTCTTTCTCGGTAGCTCTGACATCTTGAGTGCGTATAACACCATTAAATTCTTCACCGGCCGCCAGAGGGACACCATCAACGACTGAAATGGATACCATCGCCTGTAAAGGTGACAGACGAGTGACGGTCCCTAGTACGACTGAATTTGCTGCTGGTGGATGTGATCGTATGCGAGATATTGCCAGGGTCTGCACACATTGAAAATCGAGTATGATTGGATCGTCAAGAGAATTAACCAACAGATCCTTCGTACTGTGCGACACCAACTAGGCTCGCTCTAACTTGTCCATCCTTTAAGTATAAACCTCCTCCAAGTTTTGGTGCTGGACCACGCGGAAGCGATACCAATTGACCTGGGAGTAAGATATCGGATGCCATGGGAAATCAAGGGAGCCTAAAGCGAGCAGCTGCCAAATAATAACGTGGAACGATGTGCAAGGGAAAAGTCGGGAGACCAAGTATTATGTTACTCGCGTCGTTCGGATTTGTCGCTATTTGGCTGTGACTACATACTTCAAAAATCTCAGCCCACTCTGACCGTTATACTTCCGTTCTCGAGGAATCGCGCATTTGCTCCTTCAGCGTTCAGCAACAATGGCTTCCTCTTCTCTCGCTCGCGTCCTTTCACGGCGTATGATTCCTATTTCTTCATGTTGCTTACAACTAACATCATCCTGAATAGAGATGCACATGTCTGCACGGAGACATGCCCTCACCAAGTTCTCTATGCCTGCCATGAGTCCCACCATGACTGAGGGTGGTATCGCCTCTTGGAAAAAGGCGGAGGGTGAAAAATTCACCGCCGGTGACGTGCTGCTCGAGATTGTACGTTGCATATTTTGGCTTCCACTCCGTCCCTCATCTGTTCACAGGAAACGGACAAGGCTACCATTGATGTGGAAGCCCAGGACGACGGTATTCTCGCCAAGATTATTGTATGTTAATTTAAAGCTTCAAGCTTTCATCCTCTCATATTGCCTTGCGCACATTTAGGCTCCTGATGGTTCGAAAAATATCGCTGTCGGCTTGCCCATTGCCATCATGGCTGAAGAAGGCGACGACCTGTCAGGTGCAGCTCAAATGGCTTCCGAGCCTTCGGCCCCATCCCCTTCCCCATCCCCACCCAAGGAGGAAAGCACACCTGAGCCTCCCAAAGCCGAGGCCCCCAAGCCTGCTCCATCCCAGGCCAAGCCTGAGCTTGCCAAGGGCGAACGAATATTCGCATCTCCCATTGCGAAGAAGATTGCTTTGGAACGCGGCATCCCTTTGGCCCAAGTTAAGGGCACCGGTCCTGAGGGACGCATCATCCGAGAGGACATTGAGAAGTACCAACCACCCGCGGCAGCAGCAGTCGCTACCACTTCTTCGGCACCTGCTGCTTCCCTTCCAGAATACACCGATATCCCAGTTACAAATATGCGTCGCGTCATTGGCTCACGTCTCACGCAGTCCAAGCAAGAGCTGCCCCATTACTACGTTACCGTCCAGATTAACATGGACAAGACGATGAAGCTCCGAGAGGTCTTCAACAAGACGCTTGGCGAGAAAGACAAAGCTGCTAAGCTCAGTGTTAACGACTTCATTCTCAAGGCCGTTGCATGCGCATTGAATGACGTGCCCGAGGCCAACTCGGCATGGCTTGGAGAGGTCATCCGACAGTATGTACTTCTGCGGACACAAATGTATCGAGTCTAACTCATCTTGCCTTTAGATACAAGAAGGCCGATATCTCACTTGCTGTTGCAACTCCCACTGGCCTGATTACACCTATTGTCAAGGATGTCGGTTCAAAAGGATTGGCAACTATTTCTAGTGAAGCGAAGGCTCTCGCCAAAAAGGCTCGGGATGGCAAGCTCGCTCCTCAAGACTATCAGGTAAGTTATGCTTTCATCCTGGCGGAATGAAATTCATTACTTCGACAGGGTGGCACGTTCACGGTGTCTAACCTTGGCATGTACGATATCGATCACTTCACTGCCATCATCAACCCTCCCCAATCGTGCATCCTTGCTGTTGGCACCACGCAGCCAACAATCGTCCCAGCTCCTGAGGAGGAGCGTGGTTTCAAGACCGTGAACATGATGAAGGTGACGCTGAGCTCGGACCACCGGACGGTGGATGGTGCTGTGGCTGCTCGCTGGATGACTGCGTTCAAAGGTTACCTCGAAAATCCTCTCACATTCATGCTCTAAAAAGTAATGTTTTCGGGTCTTTGAGGTCTACCCATTGTTTCTAGACTAGATTACATTTATCACATGCATGCGTTATGTTTTTGTTGATTTGTGTGATGAAAGCATGAAGCCTTTTGTGCGGAGTTTATAGTCTCTCCTAACGCTCCAGATCCATGGAAGGAAGATGGTCCTCCGCGGAGCTAAAGAATTATTTAGTACATACGCGCCCCGAAGGCCGGATCCTTCGTTCGCGACGACCTGCTAAGCCCCCGCATCGTTTTCCCTCGACAGCCTGGGATGGCGCACGATAGTAACGAGTACCTCATCGAAACTCTGGGGCAACTGGTCGGGGCGAAAAAGGAAGCTACTGCCCTGCGCGAGAGACTCGCAAATGTAGAAGAGGCACTGACCGAACGCGACCGGTTGAATGCATTGAAGCAAAATGAAAATGATGAGGTACATAGACGCGATCTCTTTGACGTTCCCCTCGCCTAATTACCCACAGCTTCGTATCAGAAACGCGAAACTCGAGCTTGATATGATGCAATTGCAGAGCGCGGTATGTCGAGTGCATATCGATGCGATTGCTAGAATATTCTATGTATTGACGCGTTGTCAGAATGCAGTACTACAGCTTGCAACGAAAGATCGCGATGGGTTGCATGAATTATTAAAGGTGTCCAAGACGGATGTTGCTACGCAGCAGCAGAGGGTGATTTCGAAACTAACTCATTGACTCGATGCAGCCTAACACGTGTTTTTAGGTTAATACACTGGAACAACGGCTTCATGAGTTGGATGAAGAAAAGAATGTCTTGGCGCGTGACCTTCAAGCAGCTGCACAGATTGTACGCGTAGATGTAGGATCATTTTTGGTGAATATATATCATGCCACGCCAACTAACACTCCATCCAGATTGGCGTGAACACGAATCCTCTCCCAACTGTCCGTAGCATGCCCAATGGTGCCAATTTGCCAGTTGTACGAGGCCCCTCGACAGCTGGGCCATCTCACGACCGAAACTTGAAGGAAGAAAGGGATATATCAGTGGATATTGTTGCAGTACACCCTCCCTCTCGGTTGCCACCTCCTCGAAACCAGGCAATCAGGAATGCCCCGCAAATAATTCCTGATCTTCTGGATGGTGGAACTGTATGTTTCACCCGGCCCTTTATCTCAACATAAATTGGGGGAGGATCACAAGCTCTTATTTCAAAGTAGGCTCTCGACCTATATGTTTGATGGCATCAGCTTATGAACTCTTCAGCATCGCAGCGCCAAAGCCTCTGGCACTGAAATTTGGTATAACAAGCTACCTTTGCCCGAACTTGTGGGAGAATCCTTGGTGTCCAAGAAGTCCTGGCATGGCTGGGTACATGTTTGTTGGCTTAGGGGAGGAAATTCACAAGTTCGTTCAGCCAGAGGTACACGAACTCTTCGTTGGGGTTGCGAGAACCAACTACAGACTTATGGGCCAGTATCAGGCCCATCGTGTTGAACCCTTAACCGTTGAAGAATGGCTGACGCTCCCGGACAAAGTAAGCATACTCAATCACGAAGACATCCGAGTCATCCCTTGATTTTGGTCCATAGGTTCGATCCAAGTACTGCGAAACTACACAGCGAAAGGCGAAAGACTCACGTTCGGTCGAGGGCATAAGCGCTGCTTATGAGCGTGGTGAACTTCGCGTTCCCTGCGTCAAATTGACATGTCTTGATTTCAAGGAGGACCTCTATAAGAAACTGAAGGCGCAAAAGATGGGACAGAACAACACGAACTCCTTGTCATCTCAGCGTTCGATTAAACATGAAGCGACTGTCATGCGCTCGTCACAAAAACGTCCCCGTATTGAAGAGACCATTGAGGTTGACAGGTTCTCCGCGGACAGTACTTGACTCTTACTAGTAGGTCACCTACTAGATACCTCCTTACATAATTCGCATCACGATCATCGATTTCAAACTTAAAGCGACTACCAGTACTACTACTGCATACTCTAGTCCACAAGTCCTAATAACTTTGTATCATAGCTTCGATTCCATTTTCCTGTGACCGTGCTTTTATCAAACGTTGAAGCACGAGAACTAGACAGACATCTAGAACAATGCCAGGCCGTCGTCGCGAGTCTCCGCTCAAGAATCCAAGTTGAGATTAAAGTGTTTCGTAACGAACAACACTCACCGACTTCGTCAGGCAGGGCATATATCGCACTAGGACTAGAGGGGTCAGCTAACAAATTCGGCGCAGGAGTCATCACACATGCTGTAGATGGATCGACCGAAGTGCTGTCGAACGTTAGGCACACTTACATCACACCTCCCGGGGAGGGATTTCTTCCCCGAGATACTGCTCAGCACCATCGAGAGTGGGCATTAACGGTGATCAAAGATGCAGTCGCAAAAGCAAACATTACGATGCACGACCTCGACTGTATATGTTATACTAAAGGTTAGCCGGATCCCTCGCGAAGTCTCGTGCTTAAATATTTCTCCAGGCCCCGGTATGGGTGCACCTCTGCAGTCTGTTGCTCTAGTTGCTCGCACCCTCTCATTGTTGTACGAGAAACCCCTTGTTGGTGTCAATCATTGTGTCGGACGTAGGTATATCCAATCATGGTATGCAGCTTCCATTGATATTGTCGAAACAGATATCGAAATGGGACGGCAAGTCACTGGAGCTCAGAATCCAGTGGTACTATACGTATCTGGTGGCAACACGCAAGTCATCGCATATTCACGGCAATGCTACCGGATCTTTGGAGAAACACTCGACATAGCTGTTGGAAACTGCCTCGACAGGTTTGCCAGAGTAATAAACCTGAGCAACGACCCAAGTCCAGGATATAACATTGAACAAGAGGCGAAGAAGTATTTTGTTTTATTTCTGTTCGTGGTATTTTAGTTTACCTGGCGTGCACTCAGGGGGAAACGACTCGTCCAGCTACCTTACACAACCAAGGGGATGGACGTTAGCTTGTCTGGCATACTGACTTCCATCGAAGCTTACACATCTGACCGTCGGTACCGGGCTCATGGCGAACCTTGCGAAGAGTCAGAAGATATTATCACGCCGGCGGATCTCTGTTTCTCCCTTCAAGAGACGGTGTTCTCCATGCTCGTTGAAATCACGGAACGAGCGATGGCTCATATCGGGAGCAGGGAGGTGCTCATCGTTGGAGGGGTTGGCTGTAAGATACTTGTTCTAACCCGTCATAGCCAGCCTGATTTATCTACTTCAAGGTAATGAACGACTGCAAGAAATGATGGGCATTATGGCACAAGAGCGAGGTGGATTGGTGTTTGCGACTGATGAACGGTTAGTTTTTTGAAGCACGAATAACGTGGTTTTCTTATTCATGATGTCGCAGTTTCTGCATTGATAACGGCATCATGATTGCTCAGGCTGGTTTACTGAGCTACCGCATGGGATTTCAGACACCTCTTACAAAGAGCACCTGTACGCAAAGGTCGGTGGCCCAATACCATGGATTGGTCTTGCAGAAAATAATTGTTCGTATTCAAGATTCCGGACCGACGAAGTGCATGTTGCATGGCGATCTTGAATATTTGAACCCCATCTATTCTACAATTAAAATATTGTTAGTACCCGTCTGTGTTATCACTGTGCAACATTCGCCAACACTAGCTCCCAGTCCTCGGGTTCTCCTTTCATCTCTCGGCCGAGCTGCTCTAGCCTCTGCCACCACCACCTGTGACTCTTTGCGTACTCTCCTGTATCATCTTCAGATACCCTGGCCTGCCAAGGCTTGTCAGCCAAAATGTAGTGAAGGCATCTGATCTCCTCGTCTCTCCACAGCGGTTTGTGAATTAACATCAATGTCTTGAGCGCATTGTAACACCATGGAAGAGGTTTCCACATTCCTCTAAATAAATCTGATAGGAGGTCTTGGTCTGGGAATGACCAAGTTGAAACTAGAGGTGAAGTGTAAAGGTGGTTGCGGACGGTTTCTGCAAGAGCCAGAGAAGGGTTGAGAACCACGATGCCGGAATTCAGCTGAGTGTGCGGACGTGGGCTTGTTTCTGTAATGACCATTGGAGTAGTCAGGCCAGAGGGGTGGATCAATGGAGTATATGCGCAGTTCTCGGGAACCCTGGAAGACCAAATATGAGGCATTATAATAGCAAATAGTCAAATGGCACACCAATCAGCAGGATAGTGGGGTAACTTGCGTGGGTTACAAGCACACACATGCGCAGCAGCTATCCAGTTGTTTGGGAGATCGATGTCAAATAACTCGTCCATATTGCGCATCACGATCATATCGGCATCCATAAGGACAACACGCTATGCTCAAAACCATGTAAGTCATGAGCACTGCAAGGTTTGAACCAAATACTTCATATTCTTTTAGTTCAAATGCCCTTTATCTCGCGATGAGTGGTCCATCAGCTCCGTAGCTGATTTGTACACACCTCAGCTTCGTCCATGTGTCAGCGAATCTTGCGTCATGAGTTGAAAGTGAATGCTTTCCCTCTGGAGGGCGCAGCGATTCGATAGGCCGCATGGAAATGCCCCTTCGCTCCAGAACACTCCGAGCATCCTGGGGAAGCGTAGGAGTGACCATCACAACAAGAGGGAACGCAGAAGCCACAGATCTAAGGTTACAATCGAGCACCAGAACGCCAGGTAAATAACTGGTTTTTGTGAGTAGAGTCACATAGGCCATCCTTCGAGCCATCGCGATTGATATTATTGGGGAAAGGGAGGGGAGCGACCCAGCCAAGATAACACGGCAGTGAATCGATCGATATACAAATACTACCGAAAAATCGGACAGTCGGATGTTGCGGTCCTACTTAATTACAACATTCTGATAGCGCATTCTATATCAATCTGCACTAGGCGAAAAGGAGTTTTCGGGTATATATCCAATTACCTTGTCACTAAAACTTGAAATGCGGTGTAATCGGATGGGTGACCTCACAAGGACTGGAGGAGGGTTCGGCATAACTCATGCAAAGGGATTCGTGTACATGCGCAATGATAGAGAACTAAGAACACATCGCAAGAATAACATGGGAATTTAGCGCAAGCGGCTGTCATAAAAACATACTCAGTTCAGTCCACGACCCATAAAAATGAAACCTACCGAGCTTCACGCTCGCTCTCCAGGAGTGCAAGGATATCCTCCTCCCGCACAGGACCCTTGACGTTGCGGATAATTGTTCGCGTAGTGTCATCCATAAACTCGACACGGACTTGCGTGACTCCACCACGGGAGCCGGTGCGTCCGAGAACCTGATGCCAGAAATTGGAATGAGTATGTTCGCGAGGGGTTAGCAGACATATTAACCTTGATAACCTTAGCGAGTTTGACGGGTGCTTTTGATGAGTCCTGAAAAAAGTGAGTTGCACGAATAGCCCAAGACTACAGTATTTGCTTACCATGTTTATTGGGGCTGTCGACAGCGATGGACGAACTTTTGGCGTGGATGATGGATGTTTAGAGTTTGAGATAGACAAGGTTTCAATCAAACTCCGACGGCATTCTCCGTCCTTCACACAGTACAATCAATGTTAACACTGAGGCTTTTTGCCAGGCTGTTGTACCTAACCATATGCTAATGGTGCCATCATTGACTGACTAGCATCGGGGGGATGTCTATATGGCTGAATCAGTGAGTGTATCGATATTTGCTATCTGCTTAAATTGATATGTTTTAGCTAGTTCCTTAAACAGCTGAGTCACAATCATATGTTATGGTTGTTCTCGCAGCTGCCGTCCTGAAAGAACGGAAGGAAATCAAAATCAAGCCTAATACCTACGTACTAATGATCATATCCACTAGGAATTCGACAACTCAAATCTTCTTGGTGGCATTATGGGCTAACATTCCGGTATGATAGAGTACTCCCATGGTTCTACATGGCTTAGCTAACACAGACGTCGGTGATGAGTCTCGTCGAGCTCTTCAACAATACCGCGCCTTTTGTTTTCGCGCCCCGTCTGATCATCAGTAATTGGGATACGCATGCCAACGGAAACTGTGTACATGTCAGCACGATGTTTGGGGATTGTGTATGTTGGACTTCGCCACCACAGTACGAGACCTCGCGTGTATGCTTTTGGCATGCGAAGGCTCAAGTCAGGGTCGAGCTAGAACGAGGTGTGCAAGCACGCTACAAGTGATCAAACTCCGGCCCTGATAGAGTCCCTTAACTTGCTTGGAGTAAGTAGATCAGGGCCGATTCTGTCTGTTCGTGCCTTACCTGACAGCGTAATTTATTCCAGAGGACCAAATACACTATAACTCATGATTCTACCCTCTCCCTCTCTAGTGCCGCTCCCATCGTCCCTGACCTCCACTCCCACCTTGAGGGCCAGGCCGTCATTTCTATTCCGCAAATAGTCAAGTTACTCATATTCTCATAAATGTAAGACAAGGTACTTCACCGATTGCGGTTGAAGACGTCGTAACTATGTCTATGCAAGAGATCACTTTGCCGTACGGACGTCAACATGTCAAGGTCCTGCAAACTCGCTGATTTCGAGGTTCGATCTTAGATCATGTACTTGTCATGGTTATATGAGTGATGGTGGAACTTCATTTGGTGTTGTCCAGCCATGTTGAGGTAGATAAGCACCTCCCACGCTACCTAACAGGAGGGTACAGACAGACAGAATCTAGCATAAGAAGCAGCGGCGACGCAGGGTGACCCTTCAAGTTGTCAGCCGTGTGATCATCGTTGAACCATTGGCCGCATCAGGCCGGTGAGCCGTAGATATCGTCGTATATGCCGAACCAATGCCTATGATCATATATAGGAAATTTAAAGGTTTTCGTTATATTAATTGGAATATATATAAGTCATATAAAGCCATGTACTAGTACAGCCACCGCAATTAATCAACGTAAAGCACCCTGGGTAGACTCACGAATTGTCTGATGTGACTTCCGTTGGTAACGAATTATCGAGGACGGTGATTCGTGACATCACATGGAAAAGTACGCCGCCGTTGAAGCTCTGCACGATGTCGTACAATGGACACCACGAGTTCACAACCCTTAGAAGTTTCGATGTACCTTATAAGTATCGTATGTTGGCGATCAGCAGCCCACCCCTCACTTGAATTCGCCATTTGATCTTCACAGTTTGATGTCAGGACTAGAAGCGTCTCTCTATGCTCTTGACTGGAATAACTATACATCAGGTTTGTCAGCCTTGTTGAAAACGAATCATCGTGCTGAACTTCGTCGTTCTCCAGTCGCAGTCATTGCCCTGATATCCTATGAATATAGTCAGTAGCTTTCATGAACCTTGCAGTGCGGCTGAGCGCAATATTATCTAGTGCTTCAGTTCGAGAAGAAAGAGGTAATGAGGGGGTCGTTTCATCATCGTCGAGTACTCATGATCATATCATCGCAGGTCACGTTCGTTTGGGTTAGAGCTCAACCACAACGTTATGAAGATACGGAACTGACTGATTATGCAGCTAAGAGAGTGGTCAGTGATGTCATATCTATACCTTGTTGTGAGCTCCACCTTGCCAAGTGCTTCATGGTTTCCCATTTTTGTTGCTATGTCAGGTTCGATATTTTGGTATTGTCGTTGCAATGTACGTCGCGGTGATTGTATCCTTCAGGTGGTACATTGTATATTGACGCTGACGTCCAGGAATTCCGCTATCTGTGCGTGACGTGATACTAACTGAGCTGTCATGAACTGACTAGCGCTAGGGGGAGGTCTATTTTATATGCCTGAAGCAGTGAGTGTATCGATTCTTTCTTTAGAGAGTTCTAGGTTGACTAAGATTCAGCCGTACGTCAGAAGTTCGTTTTACGGCTAGGTTTGATCTGCTGCTGACCTCTTGTTTAGTTGTGAGTATATCGTATTCAACTAAAACTAGCTTTGCTCATCATGAAATTGAGTTAGGTTATGGTTTGTTTCTGTTCATGGAATGGAGTTTTTCTGTATATTTTTGCCTGACGGAAGGCAAGTCATGTAGCTAGATTCTCGCACCTTTGCGCTTACCGATTTTTCATTTGCAGTCATTCTCATCTGGCGTCTTTACGCCCTATCCAACAAATCTAAGCCCATACTTTATGTTCTACTGGGGTTTTTCCTACCTATCGTCGCGCTCTATATAGCAGTGGATATATTTTTATGGAGTCGACCCTCAGCGATCTCAGGTGAATTGCTATTCTGAATGAATTCTTTGCAAGCTGATACCTGTTCGTATAGTGCAGGAAACAATAATAACTCCAAATATCAAGTACTGCGGGCCTTTCTTCCACATCGGGCCTATGACTGCGATATATACTTCCATCCCCGTCATATGCTTTGATATTTTCTTGGTCGTTCTTGCCATCGCCGTCCTCAGGAAGCACCTAAAGAACAAAAGGAACTTAAGACGAAGCCTAACACCTACGTAGTAATGATCGTCCGATATCACGTCATATACTTTGTCGTGTAAGTTCCCCTTCGTTTGTTACGTTCTCTGAAAGCATTCATTGAATCACGCTAGGAATTTGGCAGGTCAAATCTTCACGGTGACATTGTGGGCCAACCTTCCGGTATGATCTCCTGTGATTCTAGAGAGATTTGTTCTAATACAGGCATGCACAGACGGCGGTGATGAGTTTCGTCCTGTTGTTCAAGTATACCGCGCCAATGATTATCGTGCCACGTCTTATCATCAGCATTTGGGATACGCATGCCAACGAAAACTGCGTACATGTCAATACGACGTTCGAGGATTGTGTCTGTTGGACTTCGCCGAATGTGGAGCTGCCTGAGATTGAGTCCCACGTATGATGTTTCAATTTGAGGAAGGAGGTAGTGTGAGGTCCATACTTGCCCCTGACTAGCGTACGCCTCAAATACCTACTGAACTAAATGCTGGTCTCTAGACTCAGTAGAATTCGTGAATGTAGATTTCTCGTAGATACATTTGTGCATTGACTACCATAACCTGCGCGTTCGACTAGGAATTCCAGTTAAGGGAGTCAGGGACAGGACTATCCTGAGCTCATCCAGTGAGTAGTTCCTGTCACTTGGATATCATCCATATAGCTCGCAGTCCAAACATGCCGCACAATCCTTAGATATTGGTAAGGTATACTGACAATGGTCTGATCACATCATTCAGGAAATAGCAGTAAACGTGATCCGCTCGTGGATTAGATGAAGAGTAAATAGTACGACAATATCGTAGGCACGATCACGTCGCCTGGGTATGGCTTATAGACGCTTCTTGTGCGACGAGATTCTTCACTTTGTTCTCCGTGGCCTTTCCTTTCAACATATTCTCTATAAAGTATTCGCCAGCCTAGCAACCATGTGTAAGAAGAATCGTCCGAAACGAAAGATACTAAATGGCTGACCTTATAGCTACTGCGGACAAGAGGACCGCTGGCCACATAGGCGAAACCCATGTCGTCAGCTATTTGTTTCCATCGGTCAAACTCGGAAGGTTCCACATATCGGTCAACCTTCATATGTCGCTTCGTGGGCCTCATATATTGCCCAAAGGTTACAACATCGACATTAATTTTGCGAAGTTCTGAATAATAATTCAGCAACTATAATCTTGACACGAATGCGCTTCAGCTTACCTCGTAAAGCATCCATGACCTGCTCTTCTGTCTCGCCGACACCAAGCATGATACTTGTCTTGGTGATGCGGACACCTTCCTTCTTTGCGTGTTCAAGCACCTTCAGACTCTGCCGGAAAGTTGCACGACGATCGCGCACAAAGGGAGTCAACTCCTCCACAGTCTCGATATTGTGTGCGTAAACGTCTAGGCCGGACTTAGCCACGAGAGAAACATTTTCCAAATTGCCCGCAAAATCTCCTGTCAATGCTTCCACAAGAATCTGAGGCGCCCTGTTTCGAGTATCCTATTCGTGAGCGGCACAAACGAAGTCAGCATGTAGCGTACTTTTGCTTAATCTTCATAATAGTCTCTGCGAAGTGATGTGCACCACCATCTACAAGGTCTGCAGAAGTAATTATTAGTCTGGGATCCAGTTATATTAGTAGTCAACGCACCATCTCTGTCAACACTAGTGAGCACTATGTATCCAAGCCCCCATCGACTAATGGCCTCTGCTGTATTCTCAGGCTCGTGAGGATCCAATGGAGGTGGGGCACGGGAAGTCTTGACGGAGCAGAATCTACAACCACGAGTGCAGGTGTCTCCCATCAACTAAAAGGAGTGAAATTAGTCGATGAGCACAGTAATCCTAACGTCATGTAGCACACCATGATGGTAGCCGTTGCTGCCCTCTTGCCCTCCTCAGCAGTTGCACCTTCCTTTCCACCCCAGCAGTCACCAATATTAGGACACCGTGCTTCCTCACATACAGTATGAAGACCGAGTCCCCTTAAATCCTTCTTGATCTTGTTAAAAGATGCGCCCGAGGGTATCTTTGTCTTTAGAAAGCTAGGCAGCCGAGGTCTGTAGTGCATGCATAAACATGATTCCCAGAGAAATATGTCAATTTATGCGCACCCTGTAGTGTTCCCGAGCACTACATGTTCTATGGGTTCTCCTGAGATGAAGTCGTCTAGTGATGGTCCAGAGACCAGCGTTTCCCGGAAGCTGGACTTTGACTTCGGCGTTGAGGCCGACGGTGTTGCCAGGTGCCGAACTTGAGATGAAAGTCGACAACTGGAACGGGGGCGGAGAAGTGAATTTATGAGGAGCGAATGGGCCGACATCGTGATGGAGGACAGCTAGTACTAGAATAAATATTATTAATTTGCACAAGCGAGAAGAACATGTCATGCAATGAATCGGAAGGCGGCGGCCCACTCGACAAAAAAGGCAATTTGGGCAGCGCTCGCCGTTCGAAATCAAATCAGAAGGTTGTCTACTGGACTTTCATGAACGCGCTTTCCAGAAGGGAGGAGGACACACTCCTGAAAACTACTAAAGCGCGTGCGTTGGCGGAATGTGATCCAATAGTCAAAGGTTCGGCCACGTATTCTGGCATAATCAAGAACACTTATATCGGCTTCATGTCACTTAGAATTCGCCAGCTGTGCAACCGGACGCACGCTGTCTGTTGCATGGGCTTGCAGGGACAAGTACAAGGCTTTACAGGAGTGTATGCTACAATAGTGAGTCCCACCTGCGGCACTCACAGTGTCCAGTACATTGAGTGAATGTGTTTTTCAGCACAAGCGAAACAGCTATGGATGATGTTCGAAGGGAATATCTTCGATTAAGAGACCAACAGAACGTGCCTCAAGCACCTCTATGATGATGATGGGATGTTTTGATAGTATTTTTCGCCTTCGAAAGCGCAAGGCATGCCCTCAGGTACACACGGTGATCATTCACCATCCAGAGTCATATCAGTCCACAGGACTCTCAAATATGTGGTGTAGCCATAGATTGAACAAAAATTGGGACGTGCACTGTGCAGGCTCTCAGTGAGGCAGGAAACGTCAAATACTAGTACAAGTATGGACTGTTTTATCAGTTTTTCTTTCCATTGTTGATGGCAAGCCATTGAGCACGAAGACCCATGAGAGAGGAAATGAAACTGAACATGATAATCCGTCAGCCGAGCACAGTAAAAGAAACCGTTGCCAAACTGACCCAGCAAAGCCAACAATCCCGTCGTTGACATTGACAAGACCCAAGTTGGAAGCGGGTATCCAAATGTCGAGAAGGTCGATAATGAATTGGTAGCGTGTGTCCATGCGCAAGCTATGGGGATGTTAGAGTCATTGGTGATATAGCATTGATTATTTCAACGTACTTTTCAAGCGCGAGTTGCCTGACTTCTCTTTGAGCTTCATCGCTAAGGTCTTTTTCTCCCCAAATTCCGGAGTTACGCAGTTTCTTTGCGTCGTGAGCGAGTCGTCCGGCCTGGAAATTTGAAATCGAAAGTCATTATCTCAGCTGAGCGATAGGTCTCACCTTCAGCAGTCCATGTGTAATGCTAAATAAGATTCCAGCCAGCCAGAATCTGTTGGACGTCTTTGTGACCTTCTCAGCAGTGCTGGGCTTGAGGGCAATGAACTTTACGGCGTTCGCCTGACAGATTATTTGAGAAGTTGTAAACCATCCATGGATCACTTGTGACTTACCCACAGAGCTGCGTCATATGTAAGATACCCGAAGTAGGCAAGCTGCCGACCAATGCTAGTCACTTGTTCGCCAACTTCGCCCGTTGATGAAGCAGCACGCAATGCGGCTTGGAGATGCTCGACAGGTTTCCCAAGTCGCATGACTGCACACATGTCAAGTATGATTATGCGACCACATACAAGCCTTACGTTTACGGCCAATCCCCAGGTGACTCTTGAGAGCTGTCCATCGAGCAGCCCCGACCTTGTTGCCCCGGGAAAGGAGGAACCATGCGAGGAACCGAGAGAAATACTGAACTGTGCGGTAGAGCTAGCGGATAAAGCGCTCCGATAAGTATTCCGTTCCCAAAAAATGAGATCATACCTTATCCCGGCCGACATTGACTGATCCAAATTTCAAGGACTGAGAAACATAAGGGTGGAGAATGACCTGTGATGCGACTGTAGCCATCTCTGGGAAGTACAAATGATCCTCGCAAAAAGAGGAAGGTTGAATATAGGTGCGGTGGATGCTACTTAATGAAGACTTTAGATGAGAGACCTTGGCGGCGTAATTACCCTGCCATTTATCACGTGGATTTGCTACTTACCCGAGATATCACCGGTGACAACGTCGAGCAACCTCATGCATATGATTTCAGAATCAGACTTCACAAGAGCAAGACAAGACACTTAAGGGAACCATGGCAAGTCTCCTTTCAAGGATGTCGAAGGTATGGACTTAAAGCCGTTTATTAAGCGGCTTATAGATCTATGTCAGACGCGGCGATTATTATAGATATCCGATTTATACTAGGCACGTGGTAAAACCAAGAAATATGGACCGATGATCACGCTAGAACGATGAAAGCGGCGTCGCGATGCGTAGCCGTGGACTTTGGGCCATGATCAAGGCTAGTCACCTACTGGGCAGGAGGCTCATTCTCCAGAGCTCCAGATCTCATGTCAGGGCGTGGCTCCCGGTGGGTTTCTTGCGGGTGATTTCGGACGGCAAAAGCCGCGCGTAACATTTGCGCTGATGATCTTGCAGGCGACACAACCTTCTGCCCTCCATTCGCTGTGCCCAGTTTCATCGCTGCTAGAGACTGCTACTCATGACCACGGGCACTCGGCTTCCCCGCCGGGTAAGTTCTGTGCTCCAATTCTCACGTGACATACCACTCATTCTGGCATACTCCAAGCTCCTCCATGTGATTCCTCGTCAACGACTGTTCTCATCATCCATCATGGTAAGTTAGGTCAATGAGCTCGAGGCGGAAGGAAATAATGATTGCGTCAGTCAAATCAGGCATTCCGCACTGAGCGCGACACATTTGGTGAGCTCAAGGTCCCTGCCGATCGCTATTGGGGCGCGCAGACACAACGGTATGTACCAGGTCTGAGATGTGTGCACTACTGAACATTTTCCACAGGTCATTACAAAACTTTGATATCGGTGGTCCCTCCCAGCGACTACCACCCCCTCTGATCAAGGCTTTTGGCGTGCTGAAGAAGGCTGCTTCCATCGTCAATGTCAGCTATGGCATGGATCCTAAGGTTGGCGAAGCCATTCAGACGGCTGCTGATGATGTGAGATATTGTGCACTAGGCATCGAATGTGTGTTTTTAACTGATCTTTACTCCAGGTCATATCTGGAAAGCTCATGGATCACTTCCCCTTGGTTGTCTTCCAAACTGGAAGTGGGACTCAGAGTAACATGAATGTAAACGAGGTGATCATAATAAATGTTTGGTTCATTAGTGTCGTAACTCAGCGTGGTCAACAGGTCATATCGAATCGTGCGATAGAACTCCTTGGCGGTGAACTTGGGTCTAAGAAACCAGTCCATCCTAATGACCACGTTAACATGAGCCAGAGTAGTAATGACACGTGAGTTGCTGAGTGGACTATGCTTGATCGCATGGATTTATAGGTCATGCAGATTCCCAACAGCTATGCACGTCGCTGCTGTGACTGAAATTAACCATTCGTTGCTTCCAGCACTGACGCAACTCAGGGATGCTCTTAACGAAAAGGCTGAGCTTTTCAGCGGGATTATCAAAATCGGACGCACGCACTTGCAGGTATGAATAGGTCGGCCTTTGATGTGGATGTTGTCTGATCGCTACTAGGATGCCACACCTCTGACGCTTGGCCAAGAATTCAGTGGATATGTCCAGCAAATCGATAATGGCATTGCTCGTGTCCAAAATGTCATTCCTCGCTTGAGCCTTCTTGCTCAGGGCGGCACTGCGGTTGGCACAGTGAGCCCGTTAACATTCAGCGAAGGGTAAAGATGCTCACGTGCTGTGCAGGGTCTGAACACCAAGAAGGGTTTCGACGTCAAGATTGCTGCCGAGATCTCTACCATTACAGGCTTGAAGTTCCAGACCGCGCCTAACAAGGTAAGACAGTTTACGGGGATTGTGTCGTCTGACTACTGACGAAGATCCGCAGTTCGAAGCTCTAGCCAGTCACGATGCCCTGGTTGAGGCTCATGGTGCTCTGAATGTCATCGCGTGTTCCCTGATGAAGATCGCCAATGACATTAGATTCCTTGGTTCTGGCCCTCGGTGTGGCTTTGGTGAACTAAGCCTCCCTGAAAACGAGCCTGGCAGTAGTATCATGCCTGGCAAAGTTAATCCCACGCAGTGCGAGGCTGTGACAATGGTCGCCGCTCAAGTTATGGGTAACCAAACTGCTGTTAGCGTTGCTGGAGCCAGCGGACAATTTGAGGTATTTGTATTTCATATACGGCACATTTGTTATTCAAATCGTCTACTATTAGCTCAACGTCTTCAAACCGGTCATAATCATGAACGTGCTACAGAGCATTCGCCTTCTTTCTGATGGTGAGGTTTCATAACTCAATAACTCGTTATCGACGTGCTGATCTTTGTCTGATCAGCCTCACGGTCTTTCACTAAGCATTGCATAGTTGGCATCGAGGCTAATGAGAAGCGTATCAACCTACCTCTTGAACGAGAGTTTGATGCTTGCAACGATTTTGAACAGCCACCTTGGCTATGATAGTGCGTGCTAAATATAACACCGCACAATGCCGGTCGAAGTTGATTGTACTTTGCAGACGTGGCCAAGTGCGCAAAGAAAGCGCACAAGGAAGGAACTACGCTGAAGGAAGCAACTGTTGCCCTCGGATATCTTACACCTGAAGAGTTCGACTCAAAAGTGAGACCAGAGCTGATGTTATACCCAGATGACATATAGGCTTTGTTGCGTGGTATTTACATTCAGGAGCTGCTATATCTGTAGATGTGGAATGACAAAAGTAATCCGCCTCCGAGTCCGAGTCAACCGCGGTGAAACGACTATCACCACAGTTGGTAACCAGCTCATGTCAGATGTTCGATAAAGAATGCGTAGCATACTGCGGGTGGTGTGAAGATCTGATAGATATGTAGGAGAGAGAAGCTCGTCCGCCAAGAACAGCAAGGAAGGAACAGGGAATACAAAAAAGGCAAGAATGCTAAATCCAACCGCAAACGAAATATACCACGTCAAATCAGTCCAACTTCCCGTCACAGCACTCCCTTGTCTCTCCTCGTAATCTGCACAGCAACACTCTTCCTCGTCATCCACAACGAGCTCACTTTTTCATCCGAAAATCTTTAGTTTGTGCTCATCACCGTCAACGTCGAGTGCAACAACCACCCTTATTTAGCTTCTGAAGAAATATTCGGACATTAGCTCGACTGCCACAGCGTCCTTCTCTTTACATCCCCTGGTCCCACGAGGCGACCTGTCTTTACAAAACTAAAGCCGGCTACTGCCTCATTATTTCTTCCTCTCTTTGCATCTTACTTGTCGCTACTTTGTTTCTCCATGTCACTCAGCCGAATTCTCAACGACGAACCACCCCCGGCGAGAAAATCCTCTTCCTCGCGTACTGGTGGCATCGATCCTTCGTTAGCAGACGTGTCCCCTCTCTCCCGAGCCACAGTCATGTCTCCTCATCCTCAAACTCTTCGTCGGAGTCTAACTCCTCTCGGAGAGCAACCACCACTTCCTCGTGGATATTCTTACCAGACATCCTCTTATCAGGGTACCGGAGGTTGGGATCCATACTCGGGTGACTATGTTCAGGGAGAGATCTTTCCTCTTGGTCCAGGAGGTAACTATTATTCTCAGCGTGAACGGGATGGACAACACCAGCCCCCACCTTCAGAACCGCGCGCATCTTCCGTGGGCGCTTACTATAAGGAAGGCGAAAACGAACCCACCCCGCGAAAACGTAGAAAGGCTGTGGTCCCAGATGACGACCCCGATTACCAACCTCCAATTGTAAAGCGCGTAAGTTACATCAGATATACATACAGCTCAATTTGGTTTTACTCACCTTCCTATTCTTATCCCCTAGGCACCCCGTCGAAATCCTCCTCGTGCAAAGGCAAATCGTCCCGAGTCGCCTCTTATGGAGGGAGCAGATCCTGCACCAGCTGCACGGGAGTACCATCAAACTGAAGAGGAACGACGTCTGGCATCTTCCGACCTCTCGGACTGTGAGGAAGTATGGATTGGCGACCTTTCCGACTATATCATAGAGACACATTTACGCCAGCGTAAAGTGGAATCGTGGTTTGATGCCAGCGTTTTGGTTAGTTCCATGTCTAACTTCCCGTCGGTTGATTCACATTTTATCATAGGAACGCAACTCCAGCACGGCGCTGACACTGTCGCGCCACTATGTATCCCGCATTGCACGGATGCCCCTTCCGCCTCCAACGCCCCCGCCGATACCTCCTTCTGTTGAAGAGGAACTTCTGTCCACTATTCACGCTTCCCCACCTCCCGATGCATATGATTATGGAGCACCGGATAACTACGAACCTGGCTCGTCTAGATTTGGTGCAGAAGACGCGGCTCGTTTGTTTGAGGAGTCTTACCTCGGTCGCAATCAGAAGCACAAGGACTCACTCAAGCGTGGTGCAGATGGTGCAGATTCAGACGAAAGCAGTGACCTTGAGATCCCTGTTTCATCCAGAACCAAGCCTGCAGCGAAGAAACGGAAGGTCGACAAAGACTCTGCTTCAATCGCTGACGAGTTCGAACGATCTATCGGCGGGATCAGCCCTTCTAAATTATCTTCATCAAAAGCGAAAGGGAAGGGCAAACAGAGTCAGTTGCGGGAAGCGAGCACAGACAGTGTTGTACCGAGTGCAACACCCAAAAGTCGCAAGAGGGGTGGTGGCGGGAAGAAGCTTTTGCCACCTGATACTCTGGGGGGCCTTGGCATTGGCTCCGCTGGAGCATCGGTCGCTGGAGACATCACGCCTTCGGCATCCAGGCCTGTATCGCCTGCGCTCACTGCAACTTCTGTCGTGTATGAGTTAGACGAGATCATTCCTCCTCTGAAGCGCGCTAAAAAGATCGATGAGAATGCTATGGCCAAACGCTTGAAGAATTTGGAGGAGGCCCAGAAGAAAGTTTGGACAAACATCGCTCGGAGAGACGTCGCTAAGGTATGCGCGGATGTAGCATTACGTTATGTTTGCATTCTCATCTCGTTGCACAGGTGTACAAGTACGCCGCGATGGGCTACCAGGCTCGTCAAGGTCAGCTCAAGCGCTTGGCCACGCTATCATCCATCCAAGCACGTCGGCCTTTCACGAAGACCGCAAAAGCTCAAAAGGACATTCAAGCAAAAGGCAAACGCTTGATGCGTGAGATGTTAGTCTTCTGGAAGAAGAATGAACGGGAAGAGAGGGACGTCCGAAAACGCGAACAGAAAGAGGCCATTGACAGGGCCAAGGTCGAGGAAGAGAAAAGGGAGGCGGCGCGTCAAGCACGCAAACTTGAGTTCTTGATCAGTCAAACTGAGTTGTACAGCCATTTCGTCGGTAACAAGCTCAAGAGTGAGTCCTGTTTTTCGGTGCTCTGGCGGCTGTTTGCTGACACTCAGATCTCAGCTTCTGAAGTACAAGGAGATACTCCTGAAACCTCGACACCAGCGGGTGCTACTCTCGAAGACGTAGACCCATCAGTACTTCGAGAGATTGACTTTGATGACGGTCAGTTTCCTTTATCCGTATCTTGACCATTTGGAGGCTGAACTTTATAATCAGAGGACCAAACCAACCTTCACCGACATGCGCGGCATAACGCTCAGGAAGCTGTTGCTCTTGCCAGACAAAGGGCTCAGCAATTTGACACGCAAGCTGCACTCGACAGGAAAACGAACGAGGCTTTGAGACTCGCCAAGGCTCAGGCTCACATCAGGGACGATGAGGAGTCGGGGCTCTCAGGCACTTCGAATACGCCCTTGGTTGATTGTAAGTTCTTCCTGGATGCTCAGGCTAAAGAGATTGATAATGGTGTACACACAGTGGACTCCGATGAACTCAACTTCCAGAATCCAACGTCACTAACTGGAGAACTCAAGATCAAGCAACCGAAAATGCTCATGGCGCAGCTAAAGGAGTACCAACTCAAAGGTCTGAATTGGCTTGCTACGTTGTACGAACAAGGTATCAACGGCATTCTCGCTGACGAGATGGGTCTCGGAAAGGTGAGATTGATGAGAATACCGCGCAACTCGCCTTACACTTCCTTGCACCTTAGACCGTGCAATCGATATCTCTCCTTGCGTACCTTGCTGAGGTACACGACATATGGGGGCCATTTTTGGTTGTCGCACCAGCCTCTACAGTTGCACAACTGGCAACAGGAGATCACTCGCTTTGTGCCTGGTCTGAAAGCCCTGCCTTATTGGGGGAACGTCAAAGACCGAACCACCTTACGCAAGTTCTGGAGCAAAAAAGAAATCAGTTATGACAAGGACGCACCATTCCATGTCCTGATTACAAGCTACCAATTGGTCAGTTGCAATCGCATAATGTTTGCAGCTGTGCTAATTCCTGTATTAGGTTACTCAAGACCAGCAGTACTTCCAGCGCGTGAAATGGCAATACATGATTCTCGACGAAGCTCAGAATATCAAGAATGCCTCTAGTGTGCGATGGAAAACACTTCTCGGATTCCAATGTCGCAATCGTTTGCTTTTGACTGGCACACCAATCCAAAACTCAATGCAAGGCGAGTGAGATAGAGCAACAGCATCACTACTTACTAATCTCCACATAGAGCTCTGGGCATTGCTCCACTTTATCATGCCCAGTCTTTTTGACTCCCACGACGAGTTCAACGAGTGGTTCTCAAAGGATATCGAGAACGCTGCAGAGAATAAGGGCAGCAAGCTGAATGAACGTCAACTACGGCGGTTGCACATGATATTGAAGCCTTTCATGTTACGGCGAGTTAAACGACATGTTCAAAACGAATTGAGCGAGAAGGTTTATATTCAATTCACTCACCGAGGAGCGATCGCTCATATTTTACCTTACCCAGATTGAGATCGATCATTACGTTGACCTGTCATCACGCCAACGTACTCTCTATCGTGCACTTCTGGCGAATGTATCTGTGGTAGATCTATTAGAGAAGGCCGCGAACATAGGGGATGCTGATTCTGCTCGATCACTAATGAACCTCGTGATGCAGTTCCGGAAGGTGTGTAAGATCTGGTCTTATCATTTCTTAACACTGACCAACTTGCTTCAATATAGGTTTGCAACCATCCCGAGCTCTTTGAACGTGCAGACGTGGTAGCTCCCTTCTCATTCTCTCGCTTCGGTCAATCTGGTCCGCTGAACCGTGAAGGCGATTTCATTGCCCTTCCTTACTCGACTCATAACCCTATTGAGTACCAAATTCCGGCGTTATTCCACCAAGATGGCGGGCTTATAGATGTCCCTTGTGAAAAGTCTGGACTGCGTAGGCGATCGGACTGCACGAGTACCCTTTTCAATATTTGGTCGACGGAGTGGATACATCGTTCGACGTTCGACGATGTTGAAGGTATGTGATGGTGCTTGAGTGGCTGCCACTTGGATGTAACGTATTATAGGTTCACCTGCGTTCGCATTTCTTCGACTCCTGAACGCCACACCAAGTGATGTCCACGGCCTTCAGGTGTCTTCCTTCATGCGCAATTGGCTTCGGGCCCTTGAGGAAGAAAACAGGATTGTTGAGGACAGAGGGATTTCATCGTAAGCTAACTATGACTATTTTTTCAACGTCCCACTGACCGCTTTCATAGGGAAGCAGAATTTGCAGCTCATACTTGCGCACATCCGTTCAGCATAAGCCCCCGTCTCTCTTTGAGCCTGGATACCGCGGAAGGCCTGCCACATCTTCTCGATATATCTTTA